ATCTGGATAGAACGCCGTATATCAACGGTCTCACAGCGCGCCGTTAAGACGTAACCGCTGTCATTTCGCTAACAAGCAGCTAACGAAATCCTGACGAGAACGAGGTTAGGCTTAACCAGACGTAATCGTCACACTCACGGCAAAGGTGGACGGGCTGAAGAAGGAGATGACGGGCTAGGAGGCGGAGCGTGCCGCCAAGCAAAGCGGCGGGATTGGCTCTCCTGAGAAGAAGCAAGGCGACGGGGCAAAGAAGCAGTTGGGTTCGTTGGCGGAGGCGAAACTGTGGACGGACCTGAGAAAGAAGGAGGACGCGAGGGCGGCATTGAAAAGGAAGGTAAGCTCGTGCGACGAGCCTCAGTTAACTTGTTTAGCCAAAAGCTGTGTTGGGCTCAAAATGCCCAGCATTCAGTTGGGCTTTCAAATGCAGACCTTTAAAGGCTACGTTGTTGTTGCGCAAACGCGAAGCTTCGACACGCGGGCACTGGTTGATTCTTCTTTGAAAGGCTCTTTCCACCAGTCGTGCGCACCTGCGTCGATAGCTGAGCCAAAACGTCAGCAACTTTCTATGGAGGTGCTGCTTATGCTTGCAGCCCAACGGCCTTTCGCAGGAGTACCATTTGAAGTTGTCACGCAAACAAGTCAGTTTCGGCAGACTTAGTTCTCGTTTAAGGTGACCAGCATCTCGCGGCCCATAACGTGGGCAGACAAAAACGAGGATTTTGACACTTCTCGCAGGTTGGGGACCTGGAGCGCGACTTGAAGGCAGCCAAAGCGGACATCCAGACCGGGCAAAAAACAGGAGGAGTGGCCGACATCGAGCTGAAGAAGGAGATCGTCAAGCTGACGAGAAGGATTGACGACTTGGAGGTGAGCCAGCTATACTAGGGGGGCCTTACGCAGTACGCTTGCTCGGTCCTGGAATGTAACTCCATCTCCAGATTCTGCAGAATCTGAAATTGAGTTTGTCATAGTGACTGCCCATTTTGAGTTGGACGTGCTCAGAAAGTAAGCGGAGATGCGTTGCACCGCTTCTTCTGAGTCGCTACGGGAAGGGCAGAGTGAGTGGTCAAAGTGGCCCAGTCCTGATGCCATGCTTAAGCTGCCGGAATATTCAACAACCAACACTTCACGCAAAAAATCCGTTTAAGCATGGGCCCCCCACCGTTTTGGCATCGCCGTTTGCCGTTTTCAGTCAAGGCGCCGCCTCTTGCTCGCATCTTCTGACTCATGCGAGAGCTCAAAAGTCTGCTGCGAGATTTCAGAGGACAGATCGCCTTATTTGTAAACCCGTCGCGCTTCCTCGCTCCAGAATGTTACGACTCTGAATTATAGTGCGTCTTACAGGAGGAAAACTCCGCGAACGCTGCCGAGTTCAAAGACGCAATGCAGGAGCGGCGCAGCAAACACGAGCGGGTTGTAGCAGACCTGGAGCAAGGAGCCACCGCCGCCCAGGAAGACTTGAAGCAGACGCGTGCGGAGCTGAACAGCGTCGAGATGGAGCGGGAACAGCTGTCCTTGGTGAGATAAGTGCCGAATGCTACCGAGCCTTAGTACAAATGAATGACGCACTGAACAATCTCACTCAGGCAGCCAAGTCGCCGCCTGCAACACGTGGCGACCTTTTACGAGATGCCCCGTTGCAGACCCGTTGGCGAGACTTTTACGACGCACCGCTGCTTGTTCTCTGCTTGAAGAGTGGCTGCTTGGCACTCTCGGTCATTGTCAAGACTTTCGTGCAACCTGTTGATGCCTTCTACACTTCGCTCGAAGCAGGCACTATTCTCTGAGGATTCGCCTTCTTCTGCGCAGCAACTCCTATCCCTCCAGCGCATGCTCTCCGGAGACAAGGGCCAAGCAACTGCGGCCACCTCATCCTCTTCTAAGCCCGTAAGTTTGTCCGCAGAACTTGCGTTGGTCTCGAGATAGGTTTCTCTCTAAGGGCCCGGTTTTTGCAGCCCTGCTAGAAGTTTTCGGAACTGCTTCCGCAGTGCAAGCATGCCAGTTCGCAGATGCAACCTTCAAAATGATCTCTAAGAGTACCCACTTTGAGGATTCTTCTGTGCAGGCCAAACTCGCTCGCTCGCTGGACGTGCGTCCCGGCCCGTGAAGTCCTCCCTCGGTGAGTATGCAACTACTGTTCTTGGACTGGTCACTGCTTCCTTGCGGACGGCCAAGTGTCATCCTTGTAGGCGAGTTGTCGAGCCTCCGTGACAGTTGAATGCGCAGTGGGAGCAGCTCAAACCGCCTGGCATCAAGTGTCGTTTCGTCGCTCGCAGGCATCCGGAACGCCGTCATCGGTCCTGGACTCGGCGTCACCAGCTCCTGGAAAGCGGCCGAAGAGGTATCTTTCCACCGAGTCTTCTCTTGCTTGTCACAGCTGCGATTATGCTAACTTGTCCTTATCACTGCTAGTAATGTCGTTTTCAAAATTCGACGTGAGAAAAGTTTTGCACATGATCCCTCTGTCGAACTGTGCACCTCTATCTCAATGCACGTTCGGAACACTCTCTTTCCGGCCAGGCACAACGAGTCCTCCATCTGTGCAAGCCACTTTCAAAAGGAATCGTGTGATGCTCCTGAACTTGTGTCCTCTCTGGCTTGCAGCCCATCCCGTACTGTTTAACGCGGTTTCAATCACGTCGACAAATTTAACGGAAGGCGAATATTGCTCAACAACAATGTTGTTATCGTGGAGTTGTTTCGACTTATCCTTTACACTGAGGTTTTGTTACAACTGTTTGCCTAATATCCAGATTGAGTTGACGGAAACGTTTCATGTGACCGGTGGTCATCCAAAAGCCTTACAACGAAGCACGCAGTTTTGTCAGATGACGTTCAATTAAGTTGTTGATTTGGCAGAGAGTGCGGACCAGCGCTTGTCAAAAGTTCGAAATTTGAACCCCTTTTCCGTTTTTGATCGACACCCAATGGAGATCCGTGAAACTACGTACACGGTTACGGAAAGTGGCTATGTATGCAAGCCTCAAACGCGCGCAATGTCCATGACAGCAGCACCACTGCGACGTCGATCGTGGCAAGACGTGAATCTCATTCACAGGCCTGACTGCAAGTTAAGAGACTTGAGACGTAGTCTTTCATGTTACAAGCTAGAGCTGAGTCACTGAGTGACTGAGTGCATGATCCACTGGGGATAACCATGGCCTGTGCATAATGATAGTAGCTGAATCGTACGCTAAACCGGATACAATCCAACTAGGTACTGAGTAGCAAGTCTAGGCAGCCGCACGGCCTGCCGACGAGATTATTTACATAGACAACTGACCGTGGGCGGCCTTTTGCACGGGCGCGGTATGAGTAGTGCATGCATCACCGCTGCTACATGTGCTGCACACACTGACCATGAAGGGCCAGCGCGCGAGATGCTGAGCATGCACTGCATTGCCGGCCATGCAGTGGCGCGCTTCTGCGCCGCCATCATTGAGTCTATTGGATGGGCCCGCGCACGCAACCATCTACTTCGATCAGCTCAACTAGTACGGCACGCATGAGGCCGATTTGAGTCCCATGATGGCGCCGCATATATATACGTCACATGCATGTGCCCCGGTAGTTCAAGTGGTGACTGTTCTACCAAGAACAATCGTCCTGCTGTTGTTGAATTCAGGCTGCTGCAGCACATTGTGTGGAGCGGGCCGCGTTGCGCTACTGTAAGCGCGCGCGAAGCAGGACTTCTATATAGTAAGGGGTAATAAAGCTAGCACTTTCATGTATGTCTGTGTTCACGCAGACAAATTGAACTCAGTGGACATTGAGCAACTTTAGTTTAAATTGTATCCTTCCTTCTTGCATGCATCTACCTACAATCTAATTATGTACATTAATAAGACTACATCGCAATTGCCTACAGTTTAACAAGCAACTATTGCTAAACCTGTTCGAGTACAACTCTCAATTAAATACATAGTTGCAAGCGCAAGCTGCCCTATCTAGCTGTCCCTATCAATCTCAACACGATATAAATTATGCATCTGTTCTGCAAGCGCACCTGCATCAAGACCCTGGCACTTCTTGATCTGTACAAAAAACTTCCTACCGCACTTGGCATAGGCTTCCAAAATACTTGAAGTAAGTTTATCGTTGAAAGCAAGTCCAAGCATTTTCAGATGGCGACACTCTCGATGGTGGCGTCCGTCAAGAGAGAGCACCCGGAAAACTGCAGAATTTCTAGACTCTCTTCCTCCGCAACCTGCCGCAGCAAAGCGTCCGGTGTATACCAGAACCAACCTAGGCTAAGGGTCTTCAACCGTAGGCCAGGCCTGCATCAACGAGTAACAAGTACGAGTACGTCACGGTGAGTTGTTATAGTTTCAAAACAGTCTGGCACAGCAACTCAGTCTGACCACTCTGAATTTCGGCAAATCGACTCTGCAAAACAGGTACCTCTCGAATCCATCACAGCTCTAACCTGGGCAATCAAATGCTTGTCAAAGCAGCAATACTGGAATAATGTAAAATAGCGACTCACCCGCTGCGTGGAACTTGGAAGAGCTGGCGGTTGTTATAAAGAGTCAGGTGCTGGAGCTGTTATAGGCGCAAAGTGAGGGCCTTCAGCCCCCTGTCGGTGATGTTCTGCTCGCATGTCAGATCCACGGAGGACAGTGCGGGGCAGCTCACGGCAAAGGCCAGGAGAGTCTTGTCCGTCAGCCCGCAGGCATGGAGAACAAGCTCTCGGAGCCCAGTGCATCCCTCTGCTATATACTTAAGGCCCACAGCCAGAGGTATTTTGTCCGACTCTCTTTTGAGAGTGAGATGCACCAGCCCCGGGCACGCCTCTGCCACATCGCACAGCCCCATGTTGTTCAGCGCGCCGCACCCCTCGAGGTCCAGCACCTCTAGCTTGCCGCAGTGGACCCCCTCAAAAGCGCGCCCGCTGAAGCCCCCGCACTGCTCCAGGATCAGAGTGTGCAGTTCGGGGCAGCCCCTCAGGACCGCAGCCAGCCCCGCATCGGAGAGATCCCCACAGCCTCGCACGTGAAGGAGCCGCAGCTGCGAAAGGCACGCGACATCGTGGACAAACACGTCGTTCGTGCACGCTGCGGCGGCCTCGTCCCAGATTCTGAGCCAGTTCAGCTGCAAGAAGCGCGAGACCAGGGCGGGTAGCGCTGCGGTCTGGGGGGCTCTCTCAAGTCTCATGGTGTACCGCACCTCGTTGGAGATCTCGAGCCACTCGCGGCACACCAGGGAACAGTCCTTGAGGTGCGTGTTTGTGAATTTTCGTAGAATTTCATACACGCACCCCCTGTCCAGCCTCTCAAAGTGGCAGGCCCCCAGACTGGGCTCTGCCAGAAGCAAACTCTGAGACCTCCCACTGCCTGCACCCTCCTCTCCCTCTGACACTCTGTCCCTACCCCCAGGCAGTGCCCCCTCAGTGGCGCCACACAAGCCCCGCTCGCACAGCTGTGTGGGAAGCTCAGCGCTCGCAAGCAATTGAGAACAAAGCAGCTCGTCTTTCTCTAGAGCAGGGACCGACTCATCTAAACCATCGTGGGTTTGTTCAAGTCCCCGCATCTGAGAGGCCTCCCCGCTGGAGAATGTGTGCGTGAGAAGCGGGGGGCTGCGAGCCGAGGTCAAATCACCATCCTGGCTGCTGGAAGGAGCGGCGCTCTGAGAGGCGCAGCAAGCCAGGCCAAATGCCAAAGACGAGAACTCAGGGACCAGGCCGGAAGAAGTGTCCTGGGTCTGCTCAGGTCCCTGCGTCTCAGAGGTCGCCTCGCAAGTATGCTGCTCCTGAGAAAGGGCGCTGTTTGCGAGGGCCTCGACGTCCTGGCTGCTGGAGAGGGGAGAAGACTGCGAGAGAGGGGCAGACTCGCAGAGAGGGGAGAAGAGAGCCTCGCATGCCCCAGCAGCAGCGGCTCCGGTGGCTCGGGAGACCTGGAGTGAAAACTTCCCCCCGAGAGCCAAGGCCCCCTCAATGACCTCCCAGACTCGCTCCTCGAAGGGAGTCAAGCGGGAGAAGAACTCCATCTCTAGCTAGCGGGGGCGCGCACTAGCTAATAGCTAACAACTCTAACTCTCTCGCTCGCTGATCGCCAGAAAGCACGAAAGCCAAAGCTCGCACAGAGGCGCCAAAGCGCGAGAGCAGAACAAACTGGTGAGAGTTTGTGACCAGCAAAGTGCAGTCTTCTTCTGCTTGAAGTTGCAGCTGAGCTGAGCAAGCATGGTGACGGTCCCTTCAATTGCTGCTCGCTGCTCCAGCACAGCGCTCGCTGCTCGCGCAATTAAAGACCTTCAACATCCGCTAGGGTCCCGATTTTACCGTGTGCCAAAACCGGCATTGCTACCGTCAGGTGAGGCTCCAATGAGAATCGGTCCGTCGCAACGGCATTTTCTGGGGGTGCAGAGGTAGAACTGTCTACACCCAAGTCGGAAAGCCACTATATTCTCTACAATTGTAGCTGCCGGCGTTGAACTGTCGTTTGGTTAGGGATCCCTGAGATGCAACGGCTCAGTATGTATACTTATCACCATCCGCCCATTGCTCATCCAATGCTGGCGTTGGTACTTTCTTACTCTCATTGATTGGCGTTGCTCGCTCTTCAGAGGCTGTGCTTTGTTGTAACTGTCTTTGTGCCAGGGCGGGAAAAGGGTCCGCATTTGAAGTTTGATGTACTGGCTTGGCAACATCTCGTGGCCACGAGCAGGTGCTGCAGGAGAACGCCAAAATGCACAAAACCAGACCTTGGGGACAGGTATGCGTGACGCTCCCTTCAAAAAAAAAACTGATATATTCTCTCTTATCTTGCTTTACATTGATCAGTCAGGATAGCAATTGTTGTGGAATCATGGTCTTTTCTGCATGTGATCCTGCTACATACATATGTATTGCTCCAGTCTTTCTACCCACAGAGTGTCCTAGGTGTTCTTAGTTCAGAGGTTTGTCAATCGGTGCACTTATTGCACCATAGTTGAGTCAATCGTGTGATCATGGTGTCAAGAGTGCCTCGGGGCAAGTTGCTCCCAGAACCGCTTGATCAAATTGACTGTATTTATTCTCATCTCAGGGGCATTTGGATGCAAAACCAGGAGGGGCCCGACGGCTGATTCTTGATCACACACCCTCATCACCGGCAGGAGCAGATGGGATGGTAAGCAAAGCAGTTAATGCTCGAGATAGCCAAAGGGCGCGCGCTTCGATCCTTCAAAGAGCACGTGAGAGCAGAAACTCAATGGTATGACTGAATGGGCGAAAGTCTTTAGGATATGGGACATTCCTATATAGAGACATGAGAGAAACACTGGAAAGGCACCTGTGCGAGTCAAGGAAGTTGCTTCACCTAGATGCTCGGAGACTGATAAGTAAGGTGCACGACGAACAGTGTCTTTCTTTCATCACCAAAGATGATAGGAATGCTGTATTTTGCAAGTCAGTATTAGACCTGTGGTCCCAGGGGCATTTGGAGAACAAGGACTTAAAAGCAATTCGTGTTCTGGAGTACAGCTGTCACCTGCTACTCAGGAGGATAGGCCCTGCAATTGTGTCGTTGTTCCAATGAGGTCCCCAGGATCCTCGGCAGGCTTGACAGCTGGCGGTTTACATGATGCAGAATGATAGCAGCAATCCAGACAGAGCTTCCGTCCAGTCGTTGTTCGCTAAGGGAACCCTTTGACAACAGCAAGCCTCCTTTCAAAAGCAACCAGGCTGAAGCTGACTCATGGCACTTGAAGCTTCCACCCCATTGTGGAACAGGATTGTAAGCTTGCAAGGAAAGACGGCGAGGTTTTCCAGCAGGTGCTTAGTTGTTTGTTTCGCCATTGGTGCAGGCCAGCAGGGTCCCCCAGTCCAAGGGTGCCCCTCCCATCCCCACCCATCCCCCAACGTATGGCAGGGCCGCCGCAGAGAAGCGCGAGACAGATGTGGAAAGGGACGGAAGGGTATCGCGTCCAGGACTGCAGGTGCGCGCAAGTGGTTCCGTCAATATAAGGCCTGTCTTGTGGACTCGGCGCATAGCCAAGCTGGTAACTCAACTCCTTGTGAGGCTGGATGCAAGCTTGCAAAACTGGCTCCAGTCAAAGAGCATGCATGCTTAGACCTGAAACAATAAGCACGAATGTGGACCAATAGGGATCAGTCTGAGCTATCTCGCAGTTGACCAGTTCCGCGGATGATCTCAGCATTGTAGAGATTCAGTTTCCGGGCGCCAAATCGCTTGAGTGTTCAGACGTAACAAGTTGACGCAACGTGCTCAGTTGCTGTCTAAAATATCATTTGTGCTGCATAAAAGAACTTCCGCCTGGTAAAATGGCAGTTGATGTTGGGTATATTGCATCTAGCAACTTCAAAACATGCATCCTTGCTGTTTCTCCTTGTTGCAGGTGGCCATAGCTCCCGCACGTGCCACCACAACATCACCGCCCGCATCAACAGAAAACCCAACCACAGTGCGGCACGCCCCCGGGACAGCCTCCCCCTCCTCCTCGACCCCCCACCCCGTGCCTCCACCTGCACAACCTTCCACGATGTCCCCTCCGAGGTTTGGATACCAGGGTGCACATGTCACGACTAAGGACCTGCTGAGCCCCACCAGGCAGTCCTTGGCAGCGGGCCTGGGAACTGGTGCTTCGTCCTCCTCCCCCGCCGCCGAACCCAAGTCAGATCACAAGGGCACGGTCCCGGTTGGTCAGCAGAGGCAGCTCATAGGGAGCCCCCCCCAGAGACAGCGCGGCCTTCTTTCCCCACAAAGAGAGGCCAAGTCGCATCAGCTGGCAGCGGCGCACGCCAATCTGCAGGGGGCCGTTGCTGCCAGGATCTCGCACGGCCAGCAGTCGAAGGTGGGTCCAAAACTCCCATCAGGAATAGCTTAGTGGCAGAAAGTATTTGGCTCTACTAGGACTGAGGGTGCTGCAGGTCGCCTCTCGGAGCGCCAGGTGTGCAGATGAAGAAAGTGACACATGTCAGGGGTCGGAACTAGGAGATCGTCGTAGGCTCTGGACAGTCCCTGCAGTGAGGGGGGTCCACTTTATAGAGGATTACTGTTGAACTGGTCATTGCTCTCTCAAGGTCCCCCCTGGTATGCTCAACTCTGTTCTGTGTATTTTTCTTGTCTCGAACAGCCATCTCTGATGTCGACCACTTTGAAGCAGCTTTGGACGATGCTGCTCGATATATTGCCACACGTTTGGAGGGTATGGCTAATTGCCATGTGCTGCAGAAAATGCTTTTCAAGAAGCTTGAGAACGAGCGTCAAACTTCTCAGGAGGAACAGCAGGCATAACAACCCGCTCAGAGATCCGGTCTTCTTAGTGCCACCGTCTAACAATTTGATCATCCTCCAGGGCCAGCCCTTGCACGCACCGCATGCCGTCGGCCACGCAACGCACAGCCCGCTATCGCCTACCAAGAAGGCCCCCAGCGACGACCAGGCCCGGCCCGCTCATACCCGCCCCCCAACTTCTCCACCGGGCATCAAGTCGCCACCCACCAGTCCTCCCTCCAAACCATGGAAGCAGGCAGCAGCATCCACACCAAACAGTGGATCGCTGCCCGGGTCGAGCCGGGGCGGACAACGAACCGGCGCTCTAGGGGGAAGGGCAGACAAGACTCCGGCAGTGGGGCGCGGGAGCACACCGGCCACCAAGGAGGAGCCGCCGCATCATGGTCAAGTGCGGGTTTGCTCCTTTACCATGGCCCCTAAAATCTAGTTGCCTTACTCAACAAAAAGGCGCAGATGAAATAGGGCATGCCTGCCCTAGACCAGAACAAAGTGGGCAACATCATGCGTGCGCCTCAGAAGTGTCTGCGTCAGGAGAAGAGAAGAAATGAAGTCAAAGAACGAAGTAGTGCATGTTTCCGGACCTGCGCTTGAGTCGTTCTCTCAACTGAGTCTCCAGTCATCGAGGGACCATCTTCTCAAAGGACGAGACGACGAGAAACGGCCATTTTAGTCAAAGAAAGAGACGCTCCAAGATCGCCATGTAGAGCCATATGATTTGCGCTGTGACTCGTCGAACGAATTCGTCCCAATTCGTGGCGCTCTGATGACTGATGTGCACGTTGCTACAGCTCACATCAACTATTGCAGCTCCGCACTTTACCATCAAGGTCACTTCCGTCCCACTGGCATTCTGCTGACATGCGAACACCACCAGATACGTATATAGTAACCACTTTTGCAAGCGTTCTCGGTCCAGAAGAAAGAGATACGGGTGGTGTCAGAACGCCATTGCTCACTGCTGCCACGTGTCGTTTCTGCAGCTGTCCGCCAACTCCTGCCCTCGCCCGCAGCAGCTGCCGCAGTTCGCCGCAGAAGACGCACCTCGGAAGCAGTGGGGAGAGGCGTCGGAGAAGGGAGACGGCGGAGCAGCTGCGCCGGTCATGATCAAGCTGACCGCGGCGGATGGGGAGGCGGTGGCGCCTGTGAACGAGAGCGAGGGGCGTACGGGCCCGAGCAGTGCATCGGCAAACGGGGCGAAGGACGAGACGGCCGGGGCGCAGGCAGTGGAAGTGGCCGAGCCCGCAATAGACGAGGTGAGCGCTTCATGAACGTATGACCGATAAAGCAGAACCCCTCTGTCCTTTTTGAGACAGTCAGATGAAACGAGGGGCGCGCTCGTTGTGCTGCATTCTGGATACTGGTCAGTATTGCATCAGCAACTGTTTATCAAGCCACCACCGTCAACCTGAAGACTCTGCACGGCTGAGCAGTTCAAATCTCTATGCGCACTATCAAAAAGTAGCTTGGACATCGACAACTGTTGCCCGGAAGCAGGGACACATGCGGTTGCCATCAGATTGAGAAGCAAGATTTGCGCATGTTCCAGCAAAACCGCAACATTAGCCGTCTGCAGGGTACAGCGCTCATCGCGTGTCCTTCCTGCAGGTCGCCACGTGGCAGGCGGCAGCAGCACCGCCCCTTGCGGCAACCGGCGCGCAGCTGGCCGCCGACGTGGAGCGCCTCCAAGCGGCGGTGTCGCAGGCCGAGGAACGCAACCGGGCGCTGGAAGCGCAGCTCGCTGAAGCACACTGCCAGCTGGCGCTACTGCGCATTTATAGCCTGACAAACGCGGTTGCGGGCGGCCAGGCTTCGGAGGAGATCCGAGCGGCCGCGATCCAGGACCAGCTCTGCCCCGTCAGCAAGCCCGCGCAGGTTCCGCCCATACAGGTGAGACAGCTGGTTCACTTGCTGGGACCGATGTGATAAGGGAACGATCGTTGTCGTGATCCTTCCGCGCAGACTCTGCAAACTATATTTCCAGGTAGAAAGTCGTTTCCGGTCTCCTTTAACTTTCTCCAGCAGCCGAATGAGACGAACAACTGTGGAATTTCTTCCTGCCTTTCAAGTTTCTCAGTTTGCTACTGGACCTGGACTAAGCCTCGCCTTTGCTCGTATGATTGTTGTAAGTCAGTGAAGGCAGGTTGGCTGTCCGGATTCACTTCGACTTGTTTCAAGCTCGGAAAACCTATTGGAAGAGATCACACCGCTCAAAAAAGCGTTTGACTCTGGTACGCTCTTGACCCTGAAACATACTTTGGCAGACAACAAGCCTTTGGGTGGGGCGCAGCGCGGGCTCCCAACCGAAAGCTGTACATCGCAGAGCTTGTGTCCTCAGAATGCCCTCGCAAGTCTCCTTTCAACACCTCTTTTCCGGCGGACATATGCGGTCATCCAGTAGACCTGCGCATCCTTTTTCAAGTTCAGGGTTTGCTTAGCTGCTACTGATCCACCGGTTCTGATTGTCAGGATCCCCGGCTGAACGAGCTGGAGACACGCGTACACGACCTGAATGCGCTGCTCCAAGAGCGCGCGGCCGAGCTGCTGGCGTCACAGTTGCGCGAGCAGCGAGCGCACGGCCAGGTGGCGGAACAGCAGCTGGCGCTGGCGAACGAGGAATAGAGCTGATTTACCACCGTCAGCAGGCCGCCTCCGCGATGCGAGCTCTTAAGCTGAATGTGGAGCAAGCGGAAGCAGAGCGGGAGGAATGGGTGAGGCAACTAGACGAGGCGGAGGGGCAGCTGAGGACGGAGCGGGGGGGGAGTGAAAAGATGAGAAAAGCGAGCGCGGTCACGTTGGGAAGGATCACGGAGCTGCAGGCGGAGATCATGGCACTCGAGGCGGAGAGGCCAGTGCTGAAGGAAAAGGTGATTCAGGCGGAGCGCGCGGCCGCGGAGGCGCGCGCGTGGATTGCGACTGTGGAAGAAGAGAGCGCGCGGGCGAAGGTGGAGCTGGCGGGGGAGAGAAGCGGGGCGAAGAAGGCGGCCGCGGAGGCGACCGAGAAGCTGGCGGCGCTCGAGAAAATGAACACGCGGCTGAAAACAAAGCTCGCCGCGGAGCACGAAGAAGTGGAGTCTGCACGGGTGGCGATGTCGGCGCTTCGGGCTGAGAACGCCCTGTGGACGCACAAGCTGAGCGAAACGAAGCGCACGGAGGCCACTTTGGTTGCGACACTCGAATCGGTCAAGAAGGAGAACGAGCGGCTGAAGTCGGAACTTGCCATGAAGGGCGACGGTGGCGAGAAGGCGGCAGCAGAAGCGCGCGCACAGCTCGCGGCGCTAGACGAAAAGTGCGCGGGGTACGAGCTGGCCCTCCACGAGGAGCGGCGCGCGGGGGCGAAGGGGGCCGCGGACGCGCGCGAGGTTATCGCGGCCCTCAAGGAGGAACTAGCGGAGCGATCAACGGAGGTGAACGCTCTCCGGGAGCAGGTGGCCGCGTGGCAGGGTGAGGTGGAGAAGCGCGAGGACGAGCGGGCTGTGTGGCAGAATGAGCTGGCGGAAAAAGAAGAGGCGATTCGGGGCCTGCGCGAGAAGCTGGCGGGGGTGGAGAAGGAGCGTGCCGCGCTGAAGGGCAAGGGCAAGGAGGTGGTATCCCCCGGGGAGAAGCACTTTGTAGCGCAGAAGAGGGGGGCGCCGTCATTGGTGGAGAGGAAGCTGCGGGAGGACCTGGAGAGGAGCGAGCGGGCGCGGGCGGCGCTAGAGAAGCAGGTGAGGAAGCGCCCGGTCTGAACGGCTATGGGCAGACTTTCCAAAAATTCAGAGAGAATGAAAGTGAGGCACCTGAAAGGGGGAATAACGGTTGAGGACCTTAAGCCTCTACGTGCGGGCTCTTTGAAAATGTTGTCCAGGTGACGGCAGTGTCAGGCTTTCCCAAATCTTTCGTTATCATAGGCCTTCTATCTTGAAATTTCGTCAAAGACCTTTTCTTTGAGAATGTGAAGCTGTGCTTGTGAGGGCAGTGACGTCACGATCTTCCAGACACAGCTCTACTTAATCCGCATATCGAAGGCTGTAGTCTGCATGCCCTTTCCAGGCAGCGTTGTTGTACATTGTAAGTAAAGCAGGGCACGAGGGCCTTAGTCAGGATACTCGTAAGATAAAGCTTAATGAGAACCTGGGTCTTCCTTGTGTGCAGTCCGCAGAGTTGCAGGCAACGGGTATCCTCGGCAGCGTTGCCCCGGCAGACTTTGTTTCGACTTTGGCGGGGCGCCTGCAGCGCATTCGACAGCTGGAGGTAAGCGAGACGCCGTCCGTATCCTGCTCTACATGAGGAGGCCGAGATCTTAAACATGCGATGCGTCCCAGCAGAAATTCGCCCCCAACAAAAACTTGCTTCTGATCAAACAGAACAGCATGTCTTTTTGTGTAGATAGGGTGTCTTGATCGAGCATGAGCGAGCCCCATGCCACAGCAAAGCTTTGTTTTGGATTTATCCAACACTGAAGAGTGATTGAGACCTAAACTACGAGGACCTCCCTATCTCAGTTTCTGTTCCCACTCCGCTTGCTCATCGACCGTCTTTTGATTCTGACGGAAATCTGGTCATAATGCCACGTCTACCTTTGCACAACCGAAACCTTTTAGTAGAACTTCGGCCCGCCTTCTGACGCTTCCTGGTCCTTCCTGCAGGCGGACAATGCCGCCACTGCTGCCGAGTACTCGCACCAGATGCGCAAGAGGCGCGCGCAGCAGGAGCGCGACGTCGCGCAAAGGGCGCAGGACGCGGAGCGGGAGGCGGCGCTGTTGAAGACCGTACGCGCCGACATGGACAGCGCGCAGAGGGAGCGCCAGACACTGCAGCTGGTGAGCGAATATGTGTGGAAATTGCTCGAAACGCAGGGCCACGGGCGTTCGTGGCCCGGACCCTTGTTTGGTCGCAACCTTCCCCAATCTCGCGGAACTCGCCGCATCAGTAGCATCATTTTAGAAACTCCGGGGAGGATCCTTCTGCCGGCAATACTCCTCCTGCAGGACTCTGCACTTGCCATCAAGCCATGTGGAGACACGTGGTGTGGCACCTCCGATACAAAGTCATAGCCGCTACGACTCTGCTTCCTCGTCTCCGTTTCTGGTTTTTGCAACTATTCGGCTTCCTTTTCGGATTTTCGGCAACGTTTGCTTCAATCCCGGCCACCGACTTTTAGGATCACGCCCTCAAAGTGCGTGGCTCCAAGCATAAACTACGTTGTTTCCCTGCAGCAACTACACTCACTGCAAAAGCTGCTCTTTTCCTTGCATGGTGCGAGCGCTTTCGTGCCCGAGGTGAGTTCAAACAAGCGCCACTTGCGTCTTTCGCTAATGGACGCGCAGCAGGATGGAGGCGCGCTTTCAAGGTTGACTTGTTTGATTTTCTAGAATTCAGACGGAATCTTATCTCCACGCGGCTGATACTTTGTAAGCTCTACCTAGAGAAGAGACCTTTCCCGACTACTCCTTGCAGGCGGAGCGGATGCAATTGCTGGAGCTCGCTTCTGCTTCTGCCGCCCCTTCCCCCGTAAGTTTATTATTCCAGGATCGTGAGGCCTGGCCGCACGGCGTGCTTGAGTCGATCCACGATTCCGTGTGCCACCTGCCTTCTAGACAGTGGCTGAAACTAGGATGGCTCCAATCAACTCTCGAGCACGTCTGCCACGTCATTAGCATGCTGGCAGCATATTCGAGACCTTTAACGTCTGTTTTTTGTGCTCTCAGACGCTCCCGAGTCCCGCTTCCGTGTTGACCTCACCGATGGCCACTTCCAGCGGACAACGGGCTAAGAGGCAAGACCGTTATTTACGGCATATTTGTTGCCTCGTACATCTGCGGCTTTGCTGACGAGATTTTTTAGGTGCCTGCGTACGAATGGAGATTCAGAAGAGTCTCGTCGTCAGATTGTCGCAAATACTCTTGAGGCTTTTGCAGAATGTTACCGCATGTGATGCACGCCTGACCTTTCGACTGCGCTGCACTTGCAGTACGGCCAGCAAGAAATGAAGGAAGGCGTCAGGGATTACGGTTTAGAGCCAATATGTGGACTGTAGAGGACTTTCAATAATACTCATGCTCGACAGGATAGAAGCAACTTGGATCAAAGAGAGGAGAGATCCCCATGCCCTTTACGGACGGTAGGCGACTGACAGAAGGTCGAATACGTGATGAGATCAGGTTGAGCAGCCCGACGTTGTATTCGGCGACTGTATAGTCAATCAATGTTTACGCAACCCGCAACTAGTGCATGCAGCGCTCGATATTGCTCAGTGGTCCAGTAGGGCGCAGTAATGAGAAGGTCAAGGATCCTTATCAAGCAGGGAAGCCGGATCGCAGTGTACGTGATGAGGAGAGATCATTTCAATCAAGTCGATTGAGCAGACTTTGTTGATCATGCAGACGCTTATAGCAGTCTGGTCTTCAAAACTGTATGATATTCTTATGTTGGACGAACGGCCTGGATACTGAGTATTCTGTGGCGAATTAACACGTTGGCAGTTGCATGACCGGGCCACTAACTCGCCCACTACAAGAAAATGCACTCCAAGTATCATTAAGCCCGCAGATTTCTGTTATGTAGCTCTAATTATTTTCTAGCAAGAGCGAATCAAGGTTGATTCAGCCTTTAGTTGCAACTCATATGTTGCATGGATCGTTTGAATACCAGTACATTGAATGCCTATAAGTTGTTGGAAGACATGTATACTTATGTTGGTGTAGAGCTCCGTAAAATCAATTGAGCACCGGGCCTGTCGACATGTGCAAACTAGGCTTACACGCGTCTGGCATCATTTTACGCGCTGCAGCAGTCATGACGTCGCCGCCAGTACTGAGGAATGACCGTCTCAACTGCATTCGTGCCTCATAGGCACTGACGTGCAAGGATCCGACGAAAGTGAGGAGTTCATTGCAGCCGGGCCCAATCCAACAATTAAGGCTAAAATGTCAAACCCACTTAAGAATAGAGAATGTTCAACACAAACTTAATTATGGAGCCCGCGTGCTTTCAAATCTAGACTACATCGTCTATGTACAAACTAGAACTATGCGAGCCAGGTCTGTCCTACAATATATGGTTAACATATAAATTAGCTGCCATCAGTTTGTGTCCTTATCAACCTCAACGTTAGACAAATTCCGCAACTGCTCAGATAGACCACCTGCATCAATGCCCTTGCATTTTTTGATCTCGAGGAAGACCTTCCTACTGCATCTAGCATAAGCTTCCAATAATCCCGGAGTTAGGAGCTCATCAAAAGCAAACCCAAGCACTTTTAAGTGGCTGCACTTCGCTAGGACTCTCTCAACGGTGGCATCCTTCAAAAAGGAGCACCCATAGATCTGCAACGTTTCTAAACTCTCTTCCTCCGTGACCTGCCGCAGCAGCAAATCCGGGGTGTACCAAAACCAACCTAGACTAAGAGTCTTCAACTTTAGGCCGGGCCTGCATTCAAAAGGTAAGGGATGAGTCAGTTGGGGGTAATTGTCGATCACGCCTTTGCTTATGTCAACAAGGACGTGCATGCTGAGCATCATCTTGCAAACGACGTGGATTGGGCAGTTTCTGATTGCAAGAACTTAAACAAAGTGTATCAAGTTGCTGAAACTGAGAACCAGCAAGAGCCTTCCATCAAGTGAGCTCTTTCGCTGCACAAATCTACAAATGCAACAACTTACCCGCTGCGTGGAATCTGGAAAAGCTTGCGGTTGTTGAAGAGGACCAAATGCTGCAGCTGGTAGAGGCATGACGTCACGGCTGCCAGCCCCCCGTCTGTGATGGCGGGCTCGCAGTGCAACTCGAGCGAAGACAGGCCGGGGCAGCCCACAGCAAAGGCCAGGAGAGTCTCGTCTGTCACCCCGCAGGCGTGCAGAACGAGCTTCGTCAGCCCCTTGCACCGCTGGGCCAGCATCTCAAGGCCGACACCAAGAGAAGCATCCTTCGATCCTGTCTTCACAGAGAGCGTAACCAGCCCCGGGCAAGCTTCTGCCACCCAGAACAGCGCCTCATTGGTCGTTCCGCCACAGAACTCCAGTGCCAGCTCCTCCAGCCTGCAGGGGATCCCCTCAAAGGCCCTCCCGCAGAGCCCCCCGCACTGCTCCAAGATGAGCGTACGCAGGGCTGGACAACCCCTCAGAACCGCAACCAGCCCCGTCTCGGTAAGACCATCGCAGCCTTGTATATGAAGGTTCTCCAGCGGAGCGAGTTGCGCCACATGCCTCATGAACGTGTCGTCCAGGCACACTGCGGGCGTGACGTCCAAGATGTGGAGACTGCTCAACCGGGTGAAGCGGCGGAGCAAGGATGGCAGGGCTGCGAACTGGGGAGCTCCCTCTAACCTCATGGTGGACCGCAGCTCATTCGAGATCTCCAGCCACTCGCGGCACACCAGAGAACAAACCTCGAGGTGCGTGTTTGTGAGTTTCTGCAAGATTTGTACACGCACCCCCTGTCCAGCCTCTCAAAGTGGCAGGCCCCCCCGCTGGGCTCTGCCAAAACCAAACTCTGAGACCTCCCACTGCCTGCACCCTCCTCTTCCTCTGAGACTCTTTCGCCACCCGCAGGCAGTGCCCCCTCAGTGGCGCCACACAAGCCCCGCTCGCACAGCTGTGTGGGCAGCTCAGCGCTCGCAAGCAACTGAGGAAAAAGCAGCTCGTCTTTCTCCAGGGCAGGAACCGACTTGTCTGAACCATCCTGAGTTTGTTCAGGTCCCTGCATCAGATAGGCCTCCCCGCTGGAGGATGTGTGCGTGAGAAGCGGGGGGCTGCGAGCGAAGGCCAAATCACCATCCTGGCTGCTAGAAGAAGCGGGGCTCTGAGAGGCGCAGCAAGCCAGGCCAAATGCCAGAAACGAAGACTCAGGGACCAGGCCGGAAGAAATGTCCTGGGTGTGCTCAGGTCCCTGCGTCTCCAAGGTCGCCTCGCAAGTATGCTGCTCCTGAGAAAGGGCGCTGCTTGCGAGGACCTCGACGTCCTGGCTGCTGGAGAGGGGAGAAGACTGCGAGAGAGGGGCAGACTCGCAGAGAGGGGAGAAGAGAGCCTCGCACGCGCCAGCAGCAGCGTCTCCGGTGGCTCTGGAGGCCTGGAGTGAGATCCTCTCCCCAAGAGCCAAGGCCCCCTCAACCATCTCCCAGACCAGCTCCTCGAAAGGAGTCAATCGGGAGAGGAACTCCATCTCTAACTAGCGGGGGCGCGCACACGCTAACAGCTGACTCTAGCTCTCTCGCTCGCTGAACGCAGAATCCACGAAAGCCAAAGCTCGCACAAGGGCGCCAAAGCGCGAGAGCAGAACAAACTCGTGAAAGTTTGTGACTTGCTTGGAGCCCAGAGCTGCCTTCTTCAAGCTAGCTGACCAGCAGCTAGGCACTAGCATCTAGCGGCGGGAGATTGCCTGTACGGCCAGTCACTACCACTTGAAACGGTGCCGCGCGCCGCGGCGGCCGTCGAAGCGCCGAGTCAAATCGCCAAACCTCCAAACCCTACTAAAGCATGACGGTCGTTTGCATTGTCTCATAGGCACTATAAATGCGACCGGAAAGTGCATAATGCGTCACATGATGCACACCTCCTGGGCCCTGGCTCTTCCTGGCCAGTGCGCATTGCTCTTTCGACAGCTGTTCAGCAGAGCACAAGTGGCACAAGCTACATAAGTTGATGAGACGCCAAAAAATTGGTCCACGAACTTCTGTATTGAACAGTATATACAGCCTTTCCGAACAGCGGCAGGCGCAGTTCGTTTTGCAATAATTCGAAGATAGTGTTTCGCAGGATACCCTCAAAACCTCTGCGCTATCGAAAGACGTGAGCAGAGCCGCCAGTGGGAGCTGAGCCTGCGCTGAGAGCCCCAGATTGCTAGACTGCAAACTTGCTGCAAAGGACGACGTTGCTGGTGTCGCGCTTTGATATTTTTAAACTAGGTGAGCATCACTGGCTTCTTCTGACCCCGGGCCTTTTGAATAAGCCCCCAGCTTGCTGAGCCAGCGCCATCGCGAGCGCCAATATTATCGACATTCCCCTTTAAATTGGCCTGTAGGCCACACCCGCGAGCAAGCTATCCCCGTTTCTTCAATTTGGCGATCTTTTGGCACCTTGATGATGCTAATTGCAATAGCTTATGACGTCACCCGGCGCCGGAACCACATTGTCCTCGACCAGATTCACCTTCCCAATGCAGGCGCTGATTCCTACGGTTCCAATGATAAAGTCTGGAACTTGTACATGTACGATCTGCCCGTCTAATTTTGCAGGCTTCTTTTGCCCCATGCCAGCAAGGACAAGATGAAGGGGTTCTGTCTTCTGGTGTTCCTCTTCGCCTTCGTAGCGGGCTCTCAAGCAGGCGAGCTTGGAAACGAGTGCTTCAAATCTCGAGCTGACTTTTCCATAAGACCGGTTATTACGGTTCACAATCTGCTGCATGATCATATCCCTGCACATATGTAACTGCTTGAGAAACGGCCACGTAATTTGAATGACCAAGGCTTTTTGCTTTCCTGACGTTCGTCCCAATCTGGCAGCAATCTGCCACAGCTCGCATCGATGCTTCTTGCTCTCTTCGCACAGACTTTGCTTTCTGTTTCCAGACACATTGTTGGACACCTCAAAGTCATCTTCCATGTTCTCTGGACTTTCAAACGGGCTGACCGATTGGTTTTCCTATGCTCCTTCTGGGCATCTCATGCATTCTACCTCCTTCAAATCTTTCCAGATTCCGCCTGCGACCCTATCAACCCCTGCCAGGCGGGGCTCTTCAGAGACAAGGAGGAAGCGGTCTGCACCGTAACTCCGGAAGCCCCCGGAGGATACACCTGCCAGTGCGGCCGCCACCAGAAAGCGACGTTCGGGCCCAGTCCGTCCCCGTGCGTGGAGTACCCGTCCGCCAGCGCGTGCGCGCTCGTCCATGACTGCCCGCAGGGGTCGAGCTGCGTTTCCGTGTGATGCGGGGACCAGCGGGGGGCGCACTGTGAGACGCCCGGTGAGGGGTGACGTCATGTCCCGTACGGAGGGTTGGCATACCCAGGAGTGCTTGCTTGAAAGGGGATTCTGACGATGAACACTTTGTCTGAAGGGAGATGCGAGAAGGGGTTAGCTAGCCAGCGCGCATTCTCATTCTGTGTTCACAAGAGAAGCTTTCTGCATGAACGGCGGAGGTGGGCGTATCACTGAATCTACGCCAGTCTTTCACGGCAGAAGGGCAAAAGCCCCGTTGATCGAACTCTCCGTTGGACGCTGTCTGGATATTCACTGAATTCTCAAAGTTCTCAAGTCCTCAAGTTCTCAAACTTCTCAAGTTCTCAAGTTCTCAAATTGACCTCTCCTTTGACAGGTGGAGAAGTGGTCCCCAGAACACCCCCCTCCCCCGCAGGTAAGCTTTACGAATTGTCTCCTGTACAAGTTACATTTAGTTGCTGTCAGCAGCTTCCTTTGCATTTCGCCAGCATGGATGAGTTCGTAGACGTGTATGTTGAAGTCCCGCTTCTCATCTTACTGTCATGTTGTCTCACTTCGAAAGCCCCCAGGTCTGGTCTTTGTATGAGCAGCCGCTGATACATCGGTGTGCTCATCTATGCCCAGGTTTCCTTTAGTAAGAGCCCAAGGCTCTCACCCGCTTTTCTTAGCGCGAGAGAAGGAGGACCGTAGTCACGCTGGTTTAGAATCAAGAGACATCATCACTCGAACCGTTACGCCCCGTTTTGGAGGCACGAGAAAAAGCGCAATCACGATACACGCTCTGTTTTCACCTCAGACCCCCCCTGCTATCCGACGAACCCCTGCCAGGAGGGGCTCCACGATGACTGGGAGAAGCGCGACGCAGGCTGCACAGTCACCCCGGGCGCACCCGGACGATACACCTGCAAGTGCGGCCAGTTCCAGAGCGCGACGTTCGGGCCCGCTCCGTCGACGTGCCTGAAGTGCCCGTCCGCCAACCCGTGTGCGTTCGTCTACGACTGCTCGCAGGGAACTGAATGCCAGACCTTCTGCGGAGACCAGCGGGGAACGCGTTGTGCAAAAGACGGTGAGCGTGACGTCACCCTCCAACGAGGGCGACTTCCTGCGTTTAGCCGCAAACCTGTGTTGGCTGAAGGAATTCTGTGACAGGGGTACGAAAAGTGCTAGCCTTACTGGACCGTATGAGCACACCCAGGCGAACAAGGATACGTAAGCAGATTGGACGCCGATCCTGTTGAAGGCTCGGATTGAGTTGCAACCTCTTTCTCGGAAAGGAGGCCCGAATACTGCCGGAAACCTCTCTGCAAAGTCCAAGTGATGCCCGCTCTAGTGGAATCCACTAGCTACAATCTGACGTCAACTCTACATCATCCTTGTGTAGTCTGCGACGGCAACCCGTGCGGTCCTGCTGGCGTATGCGCCCCCGAGTGGAGCACTCCTTATCCGTACACCTGCGACTGCCAGAACGGCTTCGTCTCCAACTACGGCACGTGCGTCCCAAGGGAGCCCGCTGACGTCATCTAACGTGAGTTGTCCTGTCCGCTCGTTGAAGTTCTTGTAGTGGTGGTCGGAGCGAAAAGTTTTTGGTCAGGATTGCGAGTGCACGAGATTCGGGGATTACAAGCACATGTCCCGGCGATTTTTGGGTTTAGTGGACGGCGCAAACCAGAGCGACCCGGAGGGGCCGTTTCCGCTGCCGAACTTTTTAACCCTGCTTCCCCTGAACTGTACTATTTGTGCCGCATGTCTGCCGACATACTTGTACGGGCCGTCGGCTGAGAAGCGTTGCTGACACTGTACCGCAAACATCTGCAGGCCCTGTGGAGCGGTCTGAGAATGAAATCTAGGCGGGACTCAGGGCAGAGAGGCACATGTAACCGAGTCTGGTCAGGCATGCTTAGGAATCCCTAGTAACATACTCGATTGGTTGAGTTTACTTGTGCACCCATTAAGCGGGTTTGGTTGGAAAAAAAAGGTGTGAATCCTAGAGGAAACAGGACAAGCATGCTAATCTGGTTAACATGCTGACCTGAAGTGGCAGGAGAGCAGTCTCTAAAATCCCCTTCTCATAAGCCCAGGAGATTGCGTTTCTCGTTGCATTGAAAAGGTCCGACACGGCTTTGCTTCGTTAGGTCCGGTCCACCTGGAGGTTCTCTAGACTAGCGACACTCAATTTTGACCTTCGACCCTTTCTTCCGTTCGCAATCCTCTCAAGGGGCCAGTTCCTTTTCATTGAGGGTTGATCTTTCGCTTTAGCTTTGAAAACTTCGATCGGCCGGGCGCGCACTACAGGGACACGCACGCTGTCTGGTGCCAAGTTCGACGGTTTCGTCTGCATTCATGCCATGCAGGTGGTGGGAGCTATGACCATGTTACAGCGCGGAGTATGTGGCGGCGAGCCGTTGATTGACAATTCAGCTGAGCCTCGATCGTGTACCGCACATGCGTTCAATCGACTGCCCCAGCATGCTGCAAAGTAGAAGGTATGATGCGCTCGATCTGCAACCGAATATCAATCGTATCGGGCCACATATGAAGATGGTTGATATAAGCCACATGCATGACTGCTCAGGCAAGCTAGAACAGCCTGCTGTTATTCCGGTTAAATGCTCAAACTTGATTTGCAGTTCAAGCTTACCGGCCGCGTTGTCACATGTGACATAACTCATCGGGCCCGCCTTCAACATTGAACTGGTCACATGTCACAAAACCAGATTGCATCCCGCATCATGCACGTCAATCCAGTTTTCACGATTGCAAGAATTCTAACTTAGCTCTAATCTATATGGCTGTTGTAATAGAACATGGACGCACATTACCAAGTCATGGCCTTCTTTGTCACATGCATCCTTGTACTTCTGCGGAGCATCCGCCTTAGGGTCCGCTTTGATTCAAAAACCGTCATTCATCAGAAGCTCGAGTACACGGACGTATTGGCCAAGCACAAACGTGGCCGTACCTAATTGGACGATATCGGCACCTCGATCATCATGCCAACGGTTGAAGCCCTGTTTGTGCAAAAGCTCCAAGCCCTCCGTGCTAGCGATGGTCGATCAGAAGGTACTCCACGTTCTTCGTGAATTTTGGTACTCTAGCTTACGAGCATGTGCTGAATTATTTGCGAGCTACCTACCTACAGTGTTCTGTCAACTCGCTAGTGGGGCGCTCAGTGGCTCAGAACCGGGATAGGATGAGCCTGCGGTAGGTTCATATACGTATTACGAACCTGCAACAAACTCACCAATCGTCAACCTAAACCCCTTTCAGGCCCCAGTTTTGAAGCAAGATTGAGATACCTGAAATTCGCAGATTCTAGACCTAATCAAAACAGGAGTCGAAGGAATCACAGGACTACTAATCACAGGACTACTAATGCTGGAATCACAGGACTACTAATCACAGGACTACTAATGCTGGAGGGGCCAAGTAACTCACGACACGACGGGGCAGGTTGCATGAGGAGCGCGCTTTAGTCATCTTCACGTCAGACCTATCCGAGTCAGCTTGTGAGCTTTCGCTTGAAAGCCAGAAGCCATTTTCGATTGACTTGAAGAGCCAACATTAGCCAAGAGATGCACGCTGACCCCTTCCGTCCATGGGAGAGGGATAGCTCTCGAAGCAAACATCTTCACAAGCACTGGCCTTTTCAAAGGGTTACCCATAATTTGAGTACCTCAGACCTATTTGGCGCCGAAAGAGTCCTTAACCGCCTGCCAGGAAGTACTCGATAGGAAGTTTCTCGTTCCCCTCACAAGCAGCTGACAAGTGCAAAGTGAGCGTCAGGCCCCGAGCAAAAGGCCAAGGGCAACGCAAAACTCACAGTCTGCAAACGTGCGGTCGTGCGGTCCAGTGAAGCAATCTCGGCCCTCAGCGCAGCTCTTGTGCGAGGGCGGCTTTTGCGTGGAGTATCCTTTTGAACTGACTCAGGTACGCGGCAAACATGTCGGCAGGCATCACGACGTCCTGGTTGTGGTAGACGTTCAGCGCGTCTTGGATGGAATTGTGGGTCCAAGTCCTGCAAACAGCGCAAGCACGATTACTGCAGATTCTCCATAACACCTCAGTATGTGTTGAATGTTCAATTGCATCGACTGAGCAACTGCCTCCAGCTTATGGTGGAAGCACGCAGGAGAAACGCAACTGTAAGAAGAGCAGATAATTGCTTCGAGTCCTCGAAGTTTGGCCTTTAGTCATTTGACAGAGATGAGGACAGACGTATCAAGCGCCAGAAAAGACACGGCCCTCAGCAATTGCGCCTATTCACTCAAACGAGGTTGCAGGTCTGCACAGCCACGAATTATGACACCAGACAACGTTCCCGCCAGGCAATCTTCGAAACGAAGTCCCAGTCCACCTCCATTCCTCGACAGCAAAGCACTCTCCACAGGTTTCAAAGCTTACATAAGCGGCGACGCCACAAACTCGTTCGTGCAGTTATACTGGTCACTGAGGCTGCTCTCGTGCGCGGGCACCCGCCACTCATGGTAGTCAATCTCCATCTCCAGCGCCAAGTTCTTATACTCCGCCCCCACTATATTCCGCGGCCCCCCCTCCCCATACGGCAGAATCTGCAGCACGATCCCCCCCGGCCGCATCAGCGAAATGCTGCTCAAGCCGTCCCCGTGGACCCCCACCAAAACATCGAGAGGCGCCATCGCGGCCGCTACTTCCGCGTGCGTCAACTCCTCGATAACCAACGGAGTGACAGTGAACCCCTCCCCCTCAGCGACTCGTAACAGCTCCTCGTGGTTCAGTAGCCTCCGCGATTCGCTCCTCTGCGCGATCCCGATGACCGGCGCAGTCCCTCGGGGAACGGAAACGTGGCTCTCGGGGGGGTCCGCGATCTCGAGCCCCTCCCGCACGAACGGCGCAAACTCTTTCAGCTCCGAGCGCGCAAACTTCCGCCACTCCTTGCCTTCGTACTCGTCGTATAGGCAGAAGTTCTGATACAGCCCCACGATCACGTGGCTGAAGCACTCCACCCCATGCACGTTTCCCTTGGTGCCCCGTTCCCGACCGATCACCCTGACCGGGTCCCACGTCATCGCGCCCACAAAACTGCCCCGGGGATCCCCCTGCCACCACCAGTCGCCTTTCAAGTCCGCCACCAAAAGGACAACGTCGTGATCGAACCCGTGCGTCGTTTCGAACAGGGGGAGGTAGACCTCGTTGAAGTCGAAAAAGACGCCCCCGCAGTACCCCCCCGCCGAGAAAAGGACCGCCGGCGCTTCGTTCCAGTGCGTGCACTCCATCGCCGGGGCATCGCTGCCGTTGCGATCGACCGACTGAAGTGTGAACTCGCTCACCCCGCTTTCCATCAGCCCCTCGTCCCACTTTCTCGGCATCGGCCGGACTTTTTCTTCACCTCTGGGGGTTTCTGGATCCCCGGCAAACAAGACAATCTGGCCCGAGGTTACATTGATTCGTACATCGCCCTGGAGAGTGCAGACATCGGTTAGGGGGGAGGACCTGTCGCACTTGAACTCCTCTTGGCCATCAGCTGAGCTGTTTGCGGGGCGGCCTGCTCTGGCTTTGCGCTTACTGTGCAGATGTCCTTCATCAGCTGCAGAGAAGAAAGAAAAAAGTCAGAGGGGGCATACAATGGCGGACTTTGAAGGGGCTTCTCAACAAGGTTGAAGTCCTGTGACAAAAGATTGTGATCTTGGCCAGTGAAGGAACGAAAATAAGATATAGTGGCAGAACTTTAACTCTAAGACTTATACAGATTGAAAGGCGAGTTGTGATGGGGATGGTGGATAACGTGACAAGGGCCAACTTGGAGCCGCTGCTAAATGAGGCGAAAAAAATAATTGTGGGAAGTAGAAGACATTCCTAGCAGCTGTATGCTTCAAGACCACTTCGAGCTCTGCCAGATGCAGCCCTCAGGAGGTGCTTTCGGAGGTCGGTGGGAATAGACACCTGAACAGCCGCCTCGCCCCATGATATGCATCCTGATTGCAAGCCGTTGGACAGTAGTAATCTACTGTCACATCAGCGGCCCTTGTGTCACCCTACTCGCATGGACGAACAAAACAACAGGCCTTGTGGATGTAATCGACCCACCGATGGAGCAAGCGAATGCTAAAAGCGGCGCTGGAACCAATTGAGTAAATCTCTTGACCATCACACCACCAGTGTCAGGGTTCTTTCAGGGTGGTGTTCAAATCGAACACTAGGGGAAGCAGCCCAACCATCTAAAGTGTCACTCAGCCGATTGGGGGGCAAAGTTTTCAAGAGGAGGTTTCTCACCAGGACTCTCTGCAATGACCCCTTCTTTTCGCTCCTCCTCTGTCTTCTGCATCTCGTCCTCCTCCGAAAGCAACACATCCTGCAAGTTGTAATGAAGTCCGGCACCCACATTTCCATTCTCTCCTTCGCTTGCCCCCCCTCTCTTTGCAGGCGTTATCATCACTACCGTGCGGTCGATGGCAGGTCTGACGACCGCCTCCAATATCGATTCTCGCATGCTGACTTGTGGAATGCTGTCAAGTGTCGGACAATAGACCCAACCACAGGTGCCTACGAGATCTGCCCCCGTCCAACCCTTGAAGCCCAGGAACGACAACCCTGCTACGATGGAGAATATGATCAATAGGAGCCGGGTGCCGACCACGTGCCGGCGGTGGACAGCTGTCATCTTCTTAGTCATGTCAGCTGGTGCTGCAGTGAGAGGGGGTGCTTCTTTGCTAAGCAATGCCACCGACTGCTAGTGTTAGCCAAGCTCTGAACCATCCTAAGTCATCCGCAAGAGAACTTCAAATCAGACAGACATCTCCTTGTCAGATGTTAGTCTAATCCTCCCTGATAGCAGAAATGCTGCTGTGCTTTTCTGACCCATTACTATTAGTGACTTCGCTGCAGCCAGTGCAGGCGCATGCATCCATTCAGCAAGCAGCCATGCATTGATCAGAGAGTTTTGGCGGGTAGTCAACATGAAAATTCTGAGATCTGTGCGCCGTACGCGCCCCGATACTGAACGCGTTTACAGAGCTTGGAACCCGGTGCATCGCAGCGTACGCAAGCGCTTGTGCGAGGCGTTGTCTCCCGGATAGGATGATATCGTCTGCTTATGCAGACGGGACTGATCGATTATAGCCTCACTCGTGCTCTCAAGACTCTGAGACTCTTCAATACAGCCTTTGGTCTTGAATCTGTCTTGAACGCCCATGCAGGTGCAAAAGCGCCTCCTCTATCCTTGACAGTGGTCACTGGTGCCCTTAAAAACACCAATTTGCACAGACCGCCTCACCTTGAACAATGCTGCCCTGGGGAGCAGCGGCCATGAGCAGGGCACCCAACATCAACTGCTGCGTAGCGGCCTTCTTTCTCATAGCTGCATGGAGCGGTCTTCCGGTGGCGATCGGCCGACTGGAGCTGGAGTGCGATTTCTCCTCCGCCCTCACAGATGTCTGCACCCTTCAGGGGGATGTGCGAATAGATGTGACTTCCGGACAGATCGTACTTTTCTCGAGGGATCCCCAAACAGAACCAGGTGAGATGGGGTTCCGGCCGCATCCCAGAAAGTGGGACAAGGGGCTCATGGAGAGCCAAGTCAGTGAGCTACCTGTGCGAGTTGTCGCTCACGATGACCCGAGTGCTCCTCTCATGAAGTGTTCCAGGAACAACACCGCCCCAGGAGTGGTGTTTTCGGCAGGGGGGTACTCTGGCGGCCCGTTCCATGATTTCAACGAGGTGTTCCTCCCACTCTTTGAGACAACGCGGGGGTATGACCGGAACGTCGTCATGCTGATGTCAGATCTAAAGGGCGAGTGGTGGTGGCGGGACAATCCGCCCAAGCGCAGCTTCGTGGGCGCTATGACGGAGCACGCGATCCGGCTGATCGGGCTGGAAAACGACACGTACAGCCGGGCTCAAGGGGTAGAGTGCTTCAGCAATCTGACACTTGGCCTGTACCACAGTCTGTGTATGTATGACGAGAACGGGGGGTTCCAGAGCAGAGCGGCATCCGGCACGATCTTACAGGAGTTTGGCGCCTACATGCGGAAGGGGCTTCGCGTGCCAGAACCGGAGTCGAGTCGCGTCTTCGTGCCGGCGGGGGCGACTCCCGTGGTGGGCATCGTGCAGCGCAACACGACGCGCCAGTTCCTCAACTACGGCGAGTTGATCCGAGCGGCGCAGGGGGAGAACTTCACGGTCGTCCCGATCATGTTCGAGGCTCTGAACCACCCGGAGATGGCCCAAACGATGGCGTCGCTCGACGTTTTGGTGGCGGTGCACGGGGCGGGGCTGAGCAACATCTGCTTGATGCGGCCGGGGGGGGCGGTGCTGCAGGTGATGCCGTACGGGGAGGGGGGGTCCCGCGACGTGACGGGGATGGAGTACAAGAACTTTGCGCAGGAGATGGAGCTGGAGTACTACGAGTGGCGGGTGCCGGTGCAAGACAGCACGATCCTGGAGCAGTACAACCACAGAGACGTAGCTGTCACGACGCCGCTTTCGTGAGCTGGTCTTGATTGCTGTTGTCCGTTGGACGAAGGAATCTGCTTCCTCGCTAGAGTTCGAAGTATCTTCCGGAAGTTTGCTGCTGCATTGGTGCCAGAAGCAGCAACCCAAACCCGCAACTTCGATATGCATTGCGGGGTAATGACCTGACTGTGTGCCCCTTGTTTGAAGGACGTAAAGAAAGCTGGCAACGTTTGTGTGTTCAAAGGCGAAGCTACAAGACGAGATCGCATGCTATTAAGGAACTTCACTGCTCCTTTCCACGCGTTCAATCGACCACCGAGTTACTAGGAACAGAGGCAGAGCTAATCAAGAAGGCTTTCTTAAGTTGAGACTCTGCCTGGACTCTACATGAAACTCTTCCCTCTCCAAACTACGGATGTTTTACACTCCTGCCTAGAAACGCGTTCCGAAGATAAGACTCGGTTTCAGCTTGAGTTGAGCCAGGTTGAGATACACAAGAGGAACTGGGCGCACCCACTAAACTAGAGAGCCTAGATACAGACTCACACGCTCCACACCCGTATCCACTCTTTACCCCCAAACTAACCGCACCCGTCCCCGGGCACTGATAATCAACCCGGCTGTATCTCAACCTGAAACGGAAACCAGTTTGAAGCATACTCTATTTTGACACTGCAGGGTGTGGAAGCACCGCTCCAAGGAGGACGCCATGTTTCTGTACCACAGCCAGGATGTCGCCATGCCGGCGGACCTGCTCGCGGCGTTTCTGCGTCAGATCAGACGGACGCTCAACGCCAAAGCCGCCACTGCGATTCGGACTGCCTAGGACTGCCCCCACACCGCTTACAGTGAGTCTACCCTTCCTTTGGCTTGGTCCGTGTTGGGTCGCGCTAAATGAGCTCCTTAGGAGAAATTGTAAGCGAGTAACCGAGTAGATGAGTTGAGTCCTACGCAGTGGTGCGAGGACTGAGGTGATTTCACATCCTAGTACACTGTACCTTGATAGACAAGAAGAACAGCCCATGTCCACTTTTTATTGACTTCAACTTTATCTCAACTTTGGCAAGAATGAATGGATGCAAGGTGCTCATCAAGTGGTTTAAAACCCATTTTGGTACCCTCATCGGCATCCAACTTCTCCAGGTTTCCTGAGCTCTCCGTATTTCACAACCTCTTGCCTGACGCATGTGGCGCATCTTTGCAGACAGTTGATCAGTTGCTACCCCCTCCAGAGCTAGCCAAACGGACGGCTACTGCCAAGCCTTCACGTGAAGTCGCCGACTTTTCAATTAGTCAAATCGCTCATAGTATCAGGACGGTCGTTGCAAACTCTTCGCTTGCATTTTGAGTCTGTGTACGAAAAGAGTTGGGCTATGACCACGTGTAATAGGTATACCAGCCACTGAAACAAACCGCAAAAACTGTACTCGAGTCTGTACCAGTCGACGGTCGACTGGTTGTTGTTATGAGGCCACGTGCTGTTTGCAGCAAGATTCCTTGGATCCGGCAGCTAATTCTTGTAGAGTAGCCTGCACATGGTCTCATGGCCGCATGGCGCGAGCAATGCGTTGGACATATTGTGCATGCATGTGATTGAGCCCGGCCTCATCATGGAAGTACAAGCCTGCCAGGGGGCAGTTGTGCATACTATTTCGAGTCTCTGGTATCGTGCCCTTCTTAGATCGACGCCATGCACCAATCCAGTTCAATACGACATTCTTTTCAGTACAGCCCACTGAACCATGCACGCTTTTTGATCGGCTGGTCAGATCCTTCTGAATCTTGCCGGCCTTAATTGCCAATTGGGCTGAGGATAATAGGTTCATATCTAAGATGAGCCCATCAGTGGGAGTCCCTGGACTGTATGTCGAGCAAGCAGCTCCGATCCCTTATGTAAACACTAGGTATATCGTGTCAACGTCCGAAGCGCTATTGATCTGTTTAGGTGATGATCTCGTTCATTAGACGTGCCTTGCAGGGTCAGTAGTGAGTAGACTACTTACGAGCCGCCTCCAGAGGACGTTTCTAGGCAGCCGGTGCTTCTGAGGACCTTGTACCTACCCTCGCGAGCGTGCTATAGTACACTCGGAAGCGCGTAATCTCGCAATTCGCGTGCCTTTCTTGTGCTACATCCCAACCGGCTTCGGAAGAACGGTCAAATCCACGACCCCCAGCCTGGGAACATTTGGCACAGACGTTCGGGATCTTGAGCGTCCTGGATTAGTTGCTGGACCTGCATCAAAAAGGGACCGGCCTTAGATAGGATATATTCTTGCGAGGTCAATCACGTGTTTATCTTCACCCGAAGCATAAGAAACCTCGCAGGCTAAACGGGGCTCTCAGGACGCTGATTTGCAGTACCTTATCCTGTCTCAGCTTCTAAAAGATCCTCAATGATGCACAAAGCTCAACTTTAGGGAAAACCATCGGCGCGTAGATCGGAACGGAGCAAGGAGCCGGCTTCAAGTATGCAGACTACGGGCATTTTTTCATCAGGACAATCTCGCAAGTCTCGTTCGTTGAAGAACACAGGCTCATAAGGCGTCTCGCATCATCCGACGTCCGCCGTACCTGACCCTGCAGGCTGCGCATCTCCCCCTCCTCGTACCCGTCCAGCTTCTCCTTCACGCGGAGCAGCGCGCGCGTGGCGTCCGTGTTGCCTTCGGCGGCCTCCAGCCCGCCCGCTACGTCAGCCGCATGCGCCTCGCTGATCGACGGGGACTCGTCCTGTAGCATTCAGAGCGGGATGAGGGGTGGTGAAGATTGAGGAAGAAGCTCTTTGGTTGGACTGCCGTGACGAGCGAAACGTAGAAAGGTGCAAGCACACAAAGATGGTGGCACAATTTCGAGCAGAAAAAGGAAGCGTGCTCGGAACTTTGCTCAGAGGAAGAGAGGAAAGGCGGGAGCCGCGGCGCCCCCCAACAAGCGAGGCGTACACTTACAAGAGACCATCCTTTCAGCCCTTGATTTTGATCGTGCTTCCACCGTTGAAAATAGTCGTAGATCAAGGATCAGTAACCTAAGCCACAAAGCCAATCATCCAAAACTTCAGCTGAGCAGTGCCTTTCTGGTAGAAGTCAAAATGGTCAGGAGACTCTTTGCTGACTTGCACCGCAACGATTCCCAGACTTGTTAACAAGCTTACAAGTCTGTGTGCCTCGCCGCTATCTCTGATTACCCCACTCTTGCACTCAAGATATCCAAAGTTCAAATTCTTCAGCGACGTTGGCTTCCATGTGCCTCACCCGCTGTCGCTGCAGCGCCTTGAGCGGCGAGAGCGCCCACTTGTAGAGCGGGTCGTGGATGAAGACCTCGACGATGGTGGTCAGCTGCTCCTTGTTGGCGCGCATCACCGCCAGCGTCTCCTCGCAGCACCGCCGGAACACGCCCTGCACGCCGCACACGCCCAGCCCCGCCACGATGTCGCGCGTCAGCCGGAACGGAACCTGCGGGTGTCGACCGGGACGGAATTCGCTCGAAGGCCAGACTTTGGCGGGTTGAAGTTGTGACTGAGCGCTGGATGTGAGAGTATGCCACCCGTTTTGGAACGAACGTATAAAGGACGGAATCTTGGGAGCTTTAGGATCTTCAAACTCGAGTTGAACGAGCATTGTCGCTTCTGAAGCTCGTGGGCACTGAGCTGGTTCTTGCAATTTCGCAAAGAGTGAGAGAGACTAACGTCATGATCTTTTTCGGACGTGCTGATGTTGGCGACAATGAATGCTGGGCTCTCTCAAAAAGGTCAATAGGAAGGTAGCGGTAGACGCATCGGAAGTTTGGTCAGTGCGCATTCTTCGCTGAGAACAACGTTCGTGTCGCACGGAGAAAAGACGGGCAATTGTAGCCTAGCTTGCGTATCCGAAGGCGACGTCAACCGAGACCACAGGCGCAATATCAAACTCCGCACCGTTCTGGACGTCAAAATACACAAAGCCCGCGGCGACAAAACGACAAAAAGAATCACCATTTTTCAAGAAAAATCCGAGAGCGGGCGAAAAGCCGGCCTACCCGTTCGGGCGTCTTGAGCATGAGGCCCTGTTCGAAGGCGACCCCCAGGTCAATGTGCACCACTTCCGCGGTCGCCTCGTCCAGCAGTATGTTCATTGAGTGCCGGTCGCCCAGCCCGATGATGTACCCAACCTGGAACATAGCAGGACGCCTCTTCATTTTTTGCGAGCAGACTCTGCGGTGGAGGGTACCAACATTGAAACACATTGACGAACATTCCACACAGCCAGGAAGGACACTGACAAAGTTGCCATTAAAGCAGATCAGACAGTGTCAATAACAACACGTGCGAGCAGAACCGTCAGTCACCTCGGACCGTCGACTTTCCCTTTTGCAAGAGCTGAGCTCGACCGCAAATCTACGTCCGCTCCTGCCGATGCGCCCAAAAAGGACTGTGTTCTTTTATTTCGGGCTGATCAACCATGCGCAGCGCTAAGGAAACTGTGAACACCAGGAGATGTGCATCGCGCAATTTAAGGGGGAAGAAATAGACGCGGCTCCTGACCATGGAGCTGGCGGCGACGCTCCTTGCATACGCCAGCCTCTTTTCAAACCAGTCTGCGGGTCGAGAGAAGCGCTCCAGGAAGAAGTGATGGAACACGGGCCTGCACGACAGAGGGGCGAGAAACCAGTCCTGAGGAGAAGGAAGAACCAGCAAATTGAGTGTTGAGAGACTTGGCAGAGCTCTGCAGTTCACTCAACGGCAATGACAGCGAGGCAAGATCTCCGAGGGCGCAGGTTTTTGGACCAGACCTCTGGTTACGCGGGGCACTCTGTTGCTAGTAAATCGGCCATTCTGGGCAGAAGAGAAGTTGCAACTTGCAAAAACCTGAAGATGACAGAACGAGCAAGGAATATTGTCGGGCTGAGAAACCTTTGGCGCGAAAACCTATCTTGAACACAAGAAGGACTCACTTTGTGTTGGCTAGTATGGCGTCGAACGCTTCTCGCTTGTCCGTTGCCTGCATTAAGTAGGACCAAGTACAGTCAGGATTTCTCACGTGTCTTGAGAATGAAGAAGAAAAATGACGCCCAAGACCGTTTTGTGACGATCAAAACCTATCCTTCGTGCACTCGCTGATGTCACTTCTGCCTTTGAACATCCGCTTACAGGTCTCGAGAGCAATTTTCAAAGACGCAGTGTCGTCGATTCAGGGTCCTCAAGCGTGCTCACCTTGACAATCAACTCCCTGCACTTGACAAAGGTCCACTCCTTGGACCCATACCTCCCGTGCGCACCCCCAGTGCGGTTGCTGCACAAAGCATTGCTGCCGTTGAAAAATCGATTTCGTCTTGTTTCTGACATCGCAAGGACGTTGTTGGGATATCGGTCACACGGTGCCGTGATTGCAAGACACTACCGCAGAAAACCTCGTTAAATGGAAGCTACTTCCGATCACAAGTGCAATTGCAAGGAGGCCGCTCTACTACCGCAGTTAGGAGACAAGGCTCTAGGTACATGCGCTAGAATTTCAATATCTTGAATTCTTGCTGTCTAGATTCCTTCTACTGGAAAATGAAAGAACTGTGGATGCGAACCTTCCAAGCAGATACTCCCCAAGCGGGACCGTCCCGTTAACCCACTCCAACACCCCGGCCGTGGGCGTGAAAGGGATGACCTGCAGACACCGGCGTCAACGGAGATTGACAATCATTTGGAGATGGAGCGTCCAACCTAACCATCGAGCGTATCAAAGGTGGTAACAAGCGTGACGAGTCCTGTTAAAAGAGATCCTTTTCGGCTCGATGGATGAGTTGGGAAGCTGCAGTGTGATGCACTCGCCACCGACCTCTGAACAATCTCACATGGAGACACCAAACACAATCCCACAGCGTTGCCAGGCCTTGAAGCAGCAGCCTCACCTTGTACGTCCGGATGTTGAGCTGCCGCTTGCGCGTTTCGGGATGCGCCTGGAGCTGACCAGACACCAGCCCAAAGAGCTGCTCCATGACCTAGAGACGCAGACAAGAAACACCGTATTAGGGGACGCTTTCAAATCAAGTAGCGAGCAAAAGAAGAGGATAGGTTCGAAGGGCGTTGGCGGCGACTCGTGAGAGCCTTAGCCGGGGCAGGGTTTGTGAAGGGTGCAGAGCTTGTTGCAGATCACCCCATAAGTCGGCGACTTCGAATGTCAGAGGAAGTAGCAATATGCTGGACTCTATGTGCCTGCAAACGATAGCATGCCATGCACGGTTCTAAGCAACACACAAGCAGGTTCTCAGATTACAACCGTTTCATTAAAGTTTGAAAACTGAATGGAAAATAGACGACTGCACAAAAGGATCAGCTGTCAGCAAATGGCAATCCTTCGAGCAATCAAGAAAGAGAAAGAGGCAAGACAAGGGTCTTCCAATAGGTTTCAGACACGGAAGCTCACCGCGTCTTGCCGCAGGTCGTCGTTGCCGGACTTTGCCAGCTGTCGGTACCGCTGACCGTCCGACCCCAGGCACTCAATCAGCTTGGGCGCGTTGATGCCGTTCATCACCCTGCACACGCGCGCTCAAATCAGCAGCGATCAAACGTTGGTACTCCCAAGTGCGGCGCTGGATCACCGAAGAGGATTGTGGCGTGGAACGGAGAAAAACATGCTGATCCACTCGCAGTCTTACTTGATGCTGTCCGTCAGGCCGCAGAAGTAGGGGAACGTGCCCTTCGCGTACTGGCAGGAGGGGTCGACGGGGATGTGCGCGGTGATCACGGGAACCTGGAGATGACAAGAGGTTTCAAGGCTCCTGTTCGTGTTGACTGGAGTCAATCTGGTTCGCAAAACGCAAGCAACGATATGTAGAAGCTCGTACAAGCTTCAAAATCCGTTTGGGCAATCGTAGACTTTGTAGACGATGCGATGCACCTATAGCAATCTCCTGCGAGACCGGCAAAATCCTGAATGGAGAACGCAACGGGCCCGCATTAAATCCAGGCCTTCAAGGACAGTTAAACGAGAGGCCCGGGCAGAGACGAGCTTGGTGTCAAAGAGATGAAATTCAGGGGCACCCGTCGATGCAATTCTGCCCACAAGGGCAATTCGTCCGGACTTCTGCTATGCCAACTTGATCATCTTTGTCCTCGAGTGGAAAGAGCAGATTTACAGAGCCAGCAAACTCAGGAAAGGGAGACGAAGGAGACTCTCAGCTCAAAGCTGACCCTCAAGATGTTTGCCAAAATTGCGGCGGGTATGCAACCCTACCAGCTCAAGGTTGCGCACAGAACGCGCTGAACGCGGCACAGGGATGCTGCGCTGCTGGTCCTCCTTCTTGGTCTCCGCCTCGGCAAGGCTTATGTACATGTCCACGCAGCGGAGAACCTGCCCAACAAATCTTACTCCGTTAGCCCGATACTCATTGTGGTACAATCTCAACCCTGTTGGCCGCAATACTGACTGTGTTGACAATCTCAACCCTGTTAGCCGCAATACTGCCTGTGTTAACGATCTCAACCCTGTTTGCCGCGGCACTGACTGTGTTGAAGATTTAAACCCTGTTAGCCGCGATGCTGACTGCGTTAACACTCTTAACCCTGATACTGACTTCGTTAAAAATCTTACCCTGATACTGACTCTGTCATGGAGCTGAAAAGGGGTCGTCGGAACTATCACTCGACTACTCCACAAACGGGCTCCGTGGGCCAACTGCCGCCCGTGATCCACGTTTCGGTATTTCGGAAAAGCCACGCGCAACAGTATCACAGCGACGAGCAGTGGATGATTTCCCTCACTTTCACACCGCCAAGCGATGCAGGCCAAAAGCCCTTACTAGGCAGGTTTCAAAAACCCTCGGGCTGGTAAGGGGCCAGTCCCAACATGGGGAGCTCACAACGTCACACCCTTCGATGCCTAGGAAAGCCCGAGAGAGTAAAAACGAAAGAGAAGAAATGCCTAGAGAACTGACGACATCACACCCTTTACTGACTAGGAAAGCCCTAGAGAGTAGAAACAAAAGAGAAGAAATGCGGGGTACCTGCTGTAGCAGCGGCGCCAGGCGGGCGGGCAGCCGGCGTAAGACCTCCTCCGCAGCACGTTGCTTCTCCACGTCAACCACGAACACGTGGCGATTACGCTGGACGTCCTTGACGCGGTCGCCGTGCTTCAGGGCCAGCACCTGCCCAAGGGGATAAGGATAAAGTTTTCATGCTGATAAGGATCTAAGAGCTATAAGACAAGCCCGGGGAACGGGTGAGGTTGGTATGGTGGTTAGGGTGGATTCGGGTGCGGAGCGGGCCATGTTTGTTGGTTAGGGTTTTTAGTTAGGTTTCTGCCCCGAGTACTTCCTTATAATAATCACATCCTTATGGGCATTAAACTTGATGGGTATCCAAGGGGGAGGATCCATGATCTTCGTCAGCATGGGGAGACGGCAGAGCGTCAGAGAAGCTACGCAAACGTCGTCGTCCTCCAATGTTGTCATCCAACGAGACAATATGGAGGAGGATGAGAGGGATGGAAAACGGGGAAGCGAAAAGCGGGAGGCCTCAAGCACGCAAGCAGGGGACGCGCATGCGGCCTCCTTCAACGAACTCTCGGTCAGAACACAGCATCGTTCCCCCAAAAGCAGAGTAGATCGTCAGAAACGCCGAGCCGCCAACGCCTCAACATCTTTGCTGCAAAACTCCAAGGTCAGCGCTGTCTCCCGTCAGCACGGCTCACCTGGTAGAGCGAGTGGTACGGGTGCTCTGACGTCAGCTTGAGTACCAGGTCCTGCAGCACCGTCTGGAACGATGACTTCTCCTCCGTCTGCGAGCTGCTCATGCGCGACGCGATTTGGTATACAAGCGGCAGAAACTTGTGTGACGGCGTCTCGCGCACCGCGGCCGCCAGCTGCGCGTTGGTGGCGTCGTCGTGCGCGAGGCTGAACCAGAGCGCGATGAGCCGGAACACGCTGCGCGTGTCGTACTTGTCGCCAGAACGGAGGCACGTGCTGCGCAGGGGGCAAGGGGGGTGGGTCAGCTCTTGGGCGGCTTCTAAATGCTCTTGCATGGATGCGACCGCTGCGATCGGTCTTGCTAAGGCCACATGTCCTGCCAAGAAAGCCACATGTGCTGCAGATTCTACAGGGAAACCTAACACGCGCATCCTCACACGGAATAATGCCAAAACACGTGGATTGCCCGGATTTTAGTAAGATGCGCCTCAAACCCGTTTGATCACCACCGGCCTACTACCAACGGCAAACCATTGAAGCCAAAGCCGTACTCATCTCGAATCCTGACGTCGTGGAAAGCACAGCCGACTCACGAGTAGCACTTGAGCGCGACGCGCAGGTACTCGTCCTTGTCGGCCTGGAAGCGCGCCTCCTGCTGCTGGTCGAGCAGCAGCTGCTTGTACAGCTCGCTCGCTTTGACTTTATACGCCTGCTTGTCGTCCGCGTTGAGAGGGCCTTTCAGCCGGTTATTAATGCTGTCATACTCTGCGGTCTTGAGCCGCCGCAGGTGCGCGGCCGCCTGGTATTCCGCAGACTTGGTGCGGAGCTCGTAGTTTCTGCAGGGAAGAAGAGCTGGGCAATGAGCGGCAGACCAGGCTGAGAGCATGAACAGGCGGCGATCATGGGCAAGGGAGGGCCAGAGGGAAAAGTTTGGCTGCTTCGTCTCCATAAATGAATGCTTCAGAACATGTTTTGGCAGGTTCCGCGAACAGTGTATCTCTCGAGAGGTGAAGTCGAGATATAGCAAGCACAAAGAGAGAGACAAGCTTGCTAAACGCTTTTCGGCAGAGTATGTGGGAAGTCAATCCTTCCCTCAATCTTCTCAAGTCCCGGAATATGAGCGAGAGCGAAACCGGCATGCCTAACTTGTGTAAGGGACGCCTCCGATGGCCGCTGTCCAGACAATTCTGCAGGCCACCAGAGCTTAGATGACATTGCATGTCAAAATTAGCGAGCAATTGAGTCCCCTAAAGATCCATCACAAATCGAAAACGGACGACAAGAAACAAACGCATAAGGACAGACAGGAATGAGGAGTGTTCATACATGCGTACCTGTACAGCGTGTCCGCATAGTGCGCGCACCGGAAGTACGTCCGCGCCCGCCGCTCCTTCCACCCTGGGCCTTTTGGCCCCGGCTTCATGTACAGCCCCGCAGCCTCCAGCAAATAATCGTCCAGAATCACACGTGAGCTCGCCGAGCGCGTCTCGGCGTGCCACTTCCCGGCCAGCGTCAGCAGCGGCGCGCGCTCGGGCCCCTGTTCCGCTCTTCCGGCGAGATACGTTGCCAGATTCACCGCCATCTCGCGCTGGCCCTGCGCCCATAGAATCTTGGCCTCCTCCGAGCGTCCGGCGACCAGGAGCCCCGCTTCTAGTTCCGTTCCGTTCCGTTCCGGTTCCGCAGCGAGGCGCGCGGCGACGGTCTTGAGGTGATGGATCGCGCCGGCGCCGGCGGAGAGGTGGCCGGCCTTGCGGGCAGTCTGCGCGAGCTCGAGGAAGTGCGCGGGGAGGCGGTCGGCGCGCTGCAATAACTCCAGCAGTTTGCCGCGCACCTCTAGCAGCGGCTGAAGCAGCTCAAAGTGGCCACGCACCTGCCGGGAAGACGGAGGATGTAAAATAAAGGCCGCAAGTTCCAGAATTGGTTAGCGAAGGCTGTACATGCCATATGAAACATGCCAGAAGCCGTTGGAATGAACACTTTCCCGGAAGAATCTCAAGCGCCGGCTCGATACAACTAAATTCAAGACCCTGGCGGCCAAATTTGATCCCGCTTTTTGAGGAGTCATCTTGTTCGACGAAAGCATCAGGCTGACAATGGAGGACATTCGCAACTTCTACAGACGACTCAGCCAGGATGTCTCAAAGCAGCGCCTGACCTGCTTCAACCGCTCCTGCCACCCTTCCTCCAGCCCCTCCATTTGCTCGTCCGTCGGGCGGGCCAGTCCCGCGGCTGCCTCTACCCCGGTAGTCTGACCCGACCCGGGCCACTTCAGTTCCCAGGCCTCCTCCATCCCCTCCAGAATCTGCAGCCGCACAATCGCTGGGTTGACGCTCTGCGTGCTCTCCGCGCTGGTGTGCGCGATCCCCCGCACGAGGCCCTGCCGCGCTGAAGTCAGCCCCCCCTGGAACGCCTCCCTGTTGCCCTCCCCGAGCGCCTTGAACGCCCCGTGCAGCATCGCATTGTACCCGGGGGATTCCCCCGGGGCAAGGCTCCCGAGGTCCCACTGGCCCATCCGCCACGCGTTCTCGTACTGCAGCTCGACCAGTTCCGGGTCGACGACCGCCCCGCGCTTCTGCGCCGAGAGGCCCTGCCAGTACGTGTCGAGAACCGTGAGACAGCCCATCTGCTGCAGCGAGCGCATCAGCCCCTTCTGGAGCACCAATGCTTGCTGCTCGCGCGAACCCTCTTTTCGCCGCGCACCGAACCCCTCTCCCCCGCCTTGGCTAAAGATGTCCGCCTGGAGGCTGCCAAGCGCCTGCCCTCGCAGTCCCCCCCCGGCGCCGCTCCCCCCCCAGCCAACGTCACTCCGCAGCAGGTCGTCGTAAGCCCCGAGCGCCTTGCCCCAGCTGCCCTCGTGCTCGTAGAGGCGCAGCTGCGACGCGGCCTTGTGCGTGCGCGCCACGCCGTAGATCCCGTCCGGCTCGTTGACCTTCGCGTACACGTTCAGCAGAAGCTGCTCGTGCAACGGGACCTGATCTTCGTCCGAGAAGTCCGGCGCGCCCAACGTGAGCTCCCCGAACTGCTGTTCGCACCAGTGCTCGACGTAGAGGAGAGAAGTGAAAAACGCAGAGCACTGTTGGGCTGCCTTGGCGGCGGCGAGATAGTCGACGTCGAAGTAGTAGACGCGCGGCCAGGCGAGGGGAGACGGAAGATCGTCGGAGAGTGGGTCTTCGGAACCTGGGCCCGAGGACGCGTCGTTGGACCGGGCGGAGGCGGGGCGGCCGGAGGCTTTCCTGTCGGGGATGGCCAGGCCGGCGCGCACGTGGCACTGGCGGAGGCTGTTCAACGCTTCCAACATTACCTGCAGGGTGCGAGCAAAGCTTTAGCGTGCAAGTTTTATCCAATCAGCGAGGCTCGAAACCAAACGAGGGCCCGTTACAGGGTCGGAATTCTGCTTTTACTTAGCTAGCAGCGAACATTGACAACAGGATATGAGGAGCTCAGCAGCCCTCAAGATACGGCTTCCATGCTGCCAGACCAATCGACCTTTCTCGCCGTTACCTAAGACAGGAACAGGTCCAAGTACAAAAGATGACTAACAAAGTGCCTTGGACGTCACGCTTGTAGTAAGGACCAACTCAAAATATGGAAGTTCGTAACCTCAACTTCTTTTCTGAGTACCCTTTTTTGGCACCAAGTGCCTCTACCCACCTGAATGGCCCGCGTTCTCGTGTTGCTTTCGTCCAGCACGCACTCCTGCACCATCCGCGACACCGTCTCGTACAGCTCCCCCTCGGGCCCCTCCTGCGCTGCAATTGCCCCCAGCACGTGCGACAGCAGCAGCTCCGCAAAGGGTCCCTTCCGCAGCGCCATCGGCTGGCACAGCCGCAGCGTGCCGTCGTCTACGCGCTCGATCAGCGCGTGCACCAATCGCGACACCCACTGCTCGTGCGTCTTTCCCTCGGGCCGCCACACCTCGGGGTCCGCCACATCCCCCGCCAGCGCAGCCGACTCCTCCGCAAACTTCCGCAGCATCTCGTTCGCGCGCGCGAGGCTGACCCCCCGCGTGTGCACGTCCAGATACGCGCGCTCGGCAGGCGGGAGCGACTCCAACACCGCCGCGCCCTTGTCGGTTGCCAGGAGGCCCTTGAGCGTGTCCGCCACCGCTGAGATGGTGCTGACGTCATCGTCGAGGAGGTACACTTGGAGCAGCTCGAGGACCTCCCGGACGACCGAGTCGGACACCCCGATCGCCGCATCTACGCTCACCCCCCTGGTCGGCTCCTCAGTAGCTGGCCCAGGAGTGCTCCCCCGGGGGCTTCTTTGTTCCGTCTCGGCCGGCTTAGCGGGCCCTTTCCTGGAGTTGGCAGCTTCTTGTGGGGTGGTGACAGGAGGATGAAAAGCAACGGCCCGGGCATCCCCCAACCCCACAGCAGCTAGGAACGCCCCCGCCACGTCACGCATCTCCGCGTTGTCCTGCTGGTCGCACTGTTGAACCAGGCGCCACGCGGCCGCAACCACGTCCGGCCGGCACTGCCACTCTGCCTCCTTGCCCACCTCTCGTTTGCGCTTGACGAAAAGCTCCGCCCTGCGCGCTTGCAACTGCTCCCGCAGGCTGACTAGGCTGCGAGCGCGCACCTGGGGGGAAGAATGTACGTCTTCTGAGCATCAGGTTATCAGAGCAATGAAACCCTCCAAGTTGCAATAGGGTCAAGTTCTCGGCCAAGTACATCCGAAAAGGAACGAATCAGGTTAGGTGCCAAATTCGGAGGCGCAACGAGAGTGCAAGCTGAGAGGAAGCACCTCCGAACCACGATTGAAGAACTTTGGAAGGGGCAAGCACCTGCAACCAAAGCCCTGCCGCCTGAAGATAGATCAGACAATCTGACAGGCTATACTTGAAGCACCAGCGGGGCCAGCAGAGCTGGCACGTACCTGCGGTGGCAGGAGCGCCGCCCGGTCGACGAAGTGCACGAAGTCGTCCGCCAGCGAGACGCCAGTGCGCAGCTCCGCGTGCAGCTCCCGCAGTGGTTCGAACACCGGCAGGTCCGGGAACGGGTCCAAGTCGCGGATGTACTCGTGCAGCTCTGCTGGCGCGTCTACCGTCAGCCGCCGCAGCAGCTCGAAGACGAGGGGCGACTCCTTTGCCGTGAACTCTTCTTCCTGGTCGCCCTCGCTGGGCTCAAGCGGGGTTTCGAGGGGCGTTTTGAAGCAGCACGAGACCAGCTTGCTGACGATGAACTGGAGCTGGTCGCCAAGGGTTTGAATTGTCCCCTCGTCCGGTTCGAGGTCCATCTGGTCCAGAAGTGCTCGCAGCAGCTCGCAGCACTGGGCCTGCAAGCGGTCCAAGGAATTTGATGCATCCGTTTTACAATAGCTTTCTTGTGTTTTGAGTGTTCTAAAATACCTTCTGGCTCAAAGCATCCTTCCTTGGAGCACCATTTCAGATATCCTAGATCGTCCTACTATGTATCAAGTATACTCAAATGTCCTTTTAGAGGACCCGATGTCCATTTAAAAAACCCGATAAGATGACCCTGGGACAAAGGGGAGCGGGAAGGCCGCATTGCCTGCTAGAACTGCTATTTCCAATCCGCACATAACACGAAGGTCAAGGCGTGTGACTGTAAGCATGCGAACCCTCCGCGCAAAGCTCTTTATGTCTCGTCGACCGCCCCAATGGGATCCTGCGACAACGGACACCGTCGATTGACACCCTCACCTGCAGTGCGCGCTCGGTGACGTGCTGCAGCACGATGTGTGCCATGTAGCGGAACGTGCTTGGAATCGTCACTCGCTGGCCCAACACGTTCACCAGCACTCCCAGCCCCGCCAGGAGCCCCCGCTTGTGCCGCGGGCTCGCCGCGCGTTCGAGCCACAGGTGCAGCTGTAGCAACACGCGGAACGTCTTGTCGGCACGCAGGATCTGCGTCGTGTCCTGCAGCGTGCTGTGCGGATGCCGCTCCTCTTGCAGGATCATACCGTCGACCAGGGTGCAGATCGCCTCGCCGATGACCCGGCCGGAATGAAACGGCGGCTGCGGCTGCTGCGCGGCGCTCGTGAGCGCGAGCAGCTGAGTCACGACGCTGGCTCCGAACCGCTTCAGCAGGTCGTCGCGCTCCGCCTCGGTGATCTCCATCGCCTCCAGCATCGACGATTGCAGGATCCCGGTTAGCCGCTCCCTGTCTTCTTCGGAGTTGTCTTCCTCGCAGTACACCGCGCTGATCGTTGCAAAGACGGTGGCGAAGTGCTGTCGCAGCAGCGCCGGCAGGGGCTCCCCCGCCAGCTCCGCGACCCGCTCTAGTTGCTCGAAGTCCTCCGCCAACAGCAGGGGTCCCAAAAGACGGTCCATGCACCAGAGCAGGAACTCTCGCGGGCTGCCGGGCCCGTGCAGAACCCCTCGGAACGCAACCAATGACATCAACGGCACTCCGGCCGCCACCCACTTTGACAGAAGCCCCGGGAGGTGCTGCTCCAGGAGAAGGTGGCGGTCGGAGTAGCCCAGCCGCCGGGCCAAGCAGTCCAGCACGGCCGCGACCAGGTCCCAGTGCTCCTTGTGCGCCGCACCGTGCGCGCACAACATGAAGACGGTCTCCGGCTCCACCACCTCGCTAGCCGCCGCTGCTTCGGCGAGTATCAGGACTGCCGTTTCCCCGTACGCCGACGGGCTTCCTTCCGACGCCTGGACCTCCGCGAAGGTGACCAGCCGCTGGTTGCCGACGACCGGGAGCGGCACCCCGACTCGGTCGATGATCTCGTCCAGAACGACCTCGTCCCGAAAGCTAGCCAACAGCTTGGGAACGAGTCGCGCCATGTGTCGGCGCACCCGGTAGTGCGGGCTCTTCATCAGGGCCATCAGCGCGTCGATGTACGGCTCGGACGCGGACAGGCTGACTTGCATGAACGCCGCGAGGGCGTCTGCCAGCTGGCAGTACGAGCGCCAGTGGTGGAGCCCCATCTTCTCGTCGAGCACCACGCCGAACATCGCCGCGACCCGCGCAAAGTACTGCTCGGGGACTTCCTCCGAGGCGAGCCGGGCCGAAAGAGTTTCCACGTTGCGCAGCAGCGCCACCCGGGACTCCTCACTGAGCGCCAGCCCCTCGCGCGAGTCCTCCAGCGCCGTAACGACCACCGGCAGGTGCTTGACCGTCTCTGGGCCCATCATTTCGCACAGAGCGGAGAGCAACTGCGCGCGCACCTCTCCTTTCTTCTCGTCTCGCAACAGCCGCCCCACCTTGTCCGCCACGAACACCGGCCGCCGGCGCCCCAGCGCCGCCATCATTCTGACACACGCAAGCCTCCGGGTGTGAAAAAACTCCTCCATAGCGTTTCCCCCTCGGCTTCGTAGAGCGGCAGAACCACTAGCCACGGTTCCGATCGCATCCGCGGCCGCGGCCGCCGAGCCCGCCTCCATTCCCACGTCTAGATCGTCGTCATAAATGCGGTCGGGCACTGTCGGAGCGACCCCAGCCCCGTCCTCTTGCATCGGCGCCACACCCTGAAACCCCTCCGCTGCGTCCTCTGCCTCTGTTGCAGCAATAAACCCCTCGTGAACCGCTCTCGCCAGGTCGTCGAGAAGAGCCTCCGACTCATGCGCGTCTTCCGCTCCACCTTCTTCCGATGTCAGAACCGCACTGTCCGAAGCCGCGACGAGTGTCTCTAGAGTTGCGGCCAGCTGCGGTGTGAAGTGCTTCTGAGCGGCTGCGGAGGCGCCGTCTTCGCTGCGACCGGGAGTCCCCGCTGGAGCCAGTGAACCGTTGAGGATGGCGGTGCAGGTAGCGAGGGCGCAGGCCAGGGCTTGACGGGTGGGGCCGCCGGGGCCCCAGGAAGGGTGGGGGCGCATGGAACTGCAGGGGCTCAAACATTGTGTCTCAGTGATGTTTGAAGACAACTTATTGAATGCCGCATAAGTGGCTGAGAGTTTCTCGCCCGTCGAATGGCGATGTCAAATTAAAGCTTACTCAAAAGCTGTAGACTTGTGACAAAACGCAGTTTATTCGACCAACCTAGGAATTCTGTGGTACGACGAGAGCTGGGGCAAGACGACGGCAGAAGTCCCACTCAATTTGTGCTTTCCAAGATAGAAGGCTAGCAAAATAGAGCACACGGAACGACTGGCCCGTTCTGACAAAAAAACTACTTAGGGGCTTGAAGGTGAGGCCGTAATCCGTGTTGGTTCTGTCTCTCACCCGTCTTTGCAGGCTGCCTCCACTTCATCCAGGCACCGCGCACACGCGGCGCACGTTTCCAGCAGGAACACGGGGTCGGGCTGCTGCTTCGACTGCTCCACCGCACCCAGAACCACCTCCGACAGGGCGCCAGCCGCGTCGCTCATCAGCCTGGCCGTCAGCAGCCCCGGAAGCCGACCCTTTCCAGGGTGCGAACGGGGAAAGTTGTGGGACGGAGCTAGTTGCGATGCGAAGCACGCCAGGGTACGGCCTGAGCGGTCGAGTGAGGCAATCTCCTCTTCCATCGCTCGCTCGGTTTCGTCCGCAGGGCTCCACCACGCTGTCCGTTCCCAGTACGGCTGCTGAGGAGGAGGGTCGGGGGAGTCTGGCTGGCTGCTGAAGCCCGCGGCCAGTGCTAAGAGGGCGCTCTGGAGTAAGACGAGATCGACGTGGGTCTGACCACTCAGCTTGCCGCGGGCAGTGCTCGTCTTAGGTGACAGAACTTGCAAGCTCCAACTTAAAAGCCGCGATCGCAGCTGCGCCACCTGCTCGGGCCCGAGCTCTGTGAAGTGAGGCCCCAAAGCCGAAAAGAAGGCTGCGACGAAATGGACGGCACTGTGGGTGCAGGTCTCGGTGAAGACTCTGAGCTCAAACAGCTCGGGGGGTGCGGTCACGGCTTCTACAAGGCCTCTGCTTGCTAGGCACCCCAAGAGGCGCAAGGTCCCCTCGGATAGCATCGGAACGGCTGCCTGGTGGAGGAGAAGATCGACTGCTGCCTCCCAAATCGACCCCCAAGTGCTGGCTATCTTTGCCCCCTCGCTCCGAACTTCTGCTGCCGGCCTCTCGGAGTTGCCCTCCCACTTTACGGGCCATTTGGCGGCGAGCTCCACTATACACCGTAACATCCAAGCTAGTGGCTCGGGTGCGCGACTTGCAGAGGCAGCACTGATGAATCCAGGGAGAGCCCCCGCTAACGCCTGCAGCCAGCTGAGGAGCGTCTCTCGAGGAAGAAATGCATGGCGCCTGTGCACCAAGAGACAAAAGGCCCCCGGCCAGCTGCCTTTCCCTGCCAAAGTGTTTTCCAGCACTTGCTCGAGAATTGGCTGCTTCTTGCGCCTCTTCCGGGAGCCGTTTGCCTCCTCGGGGCCGTAGGAGAACCGAGCGGCTTCCGAGAAGACCACAGCGGCCAGTTCCAGAAGACAGCGCACGTGAGGTTGCACACCGCCAAGCTGCTCTTCATGGGGTTTGTCCCGCGCCCCCAGTGCGGCACCCCGGCCAGAGACACCCACGTCCCCCTGGTCCAGGTCCTTGCTGACTAAGTCTACCAGGTCTGACAGAGCCCCCGTCTCGTCCTCCATCAACTGAAACCCCTGGAGCTGCATCTGCAACCGGGCATATGCCACCAGAGTCGCCTTCATGCGCCGTTCGGTGGTGTTAAGCCAGGTGGAGTGCATAAAAGTGTGGACTTCCGCGTGCTGTCTGGCAGCATCGTCCCCTAGGTCAAGGCCGTCAGAGAGAAGAAACGCGTTCAGGGCTGCTAGCATCTTCTCGGAGTAGCGGCCATCATCTTTGAGGTTGGGGAACATGCGAGTGAAGCCTTCGAAGACATCGTCGCGCACTTCTTCGGGCAGGTCTCGAGGGGGATGCTGCAGGCAAGGATATATATCATTCGGTTTCGTGAGGGACTCTACTTGAAGTCCACAAGTGATGGTCGAATTGTCTTACCCAAACACTGTCGTCGTCCTAAACATTAGAGGGACTCAAACATGGTTTTCCCGATTGAGTGATCTGGACTCCTCGTCTATCATCCAAAACAGCAAGTCTTCTGCCTGAGCGAGTCAAGTTTCGTCTACCATCTTTCTAGACCTGAACGTATGAGCGATACCTGCTCTCATCAGACACTTCACTAGTCTTGAAATAATGGTGCTGCCTGTTGACCATGAAATGAAACCTGGTAAAGTCAGAAACTTTTCTTTCCTGCAAATTCATCAGGCCTCAAAAATAGCTTACCTGGAGGAGCATGTGGAGAGTGGCAATGTTTCTGAACCCTTCCTCCGTGCGAGGCAACCTTCCATGTGCTAGATCAATAGCCTTTGACATGAAGAAGTCCACAAGGTTGTGGAAGGTCTTCTTGCCCATCTGTAGCCTGTAACAAAGTTTGAAAAGAAGAGCTGCCAGAAATATCAAGGAGAAGCAGGCTGATATGGATAGTGGATTAAGAGATTGGCAGCACAGGCACGGAGGAAACCAGTTTCTACGCTTGGGTCTGACGGAAATCCCTGGTAAGACAGCGATGTTATGGGGGATGCAGTGAGAGTTGCGCAGCTTGCGAGTTTGCTTGGAATACATGTCTTGACATACCACCACCATGAAAGAAGTTTGCGCAAAATCCTGAGTTGAGGTTGTGGTGACCAACCTGTACTCTCGGATTTGAAGCAACTGACGGAGGATAGCGGCGTAGTCCATCACAAAAGAAGGCGCTTCTGGAAGGATTTTGTCTATGTGCCCAAAGAGCATCATTGCCTTTCTCCACAAAAACAACCTTCCTCCCTCCCTCTTGGTTTCCTCCGCCTTTTGGATGTACAGCTTGAACGTCTTCGCCAGAAGGGTTTCTGGCGGCCTCTTCTTTGCTGCCAAGACCTCTGTGAGTATGCATTGACAAAGGGCTTGCAACACGCCCGGCCAGGAGGCAGCTGGAATGCGGACTCGCTTGTCATAAAGACTTGCAGACTCTTGGTCTAGGCATGCAATGAAGTCCCCCCCTCCAGAGCCGCTAAGATAGCTGTTAAGCTCCTTGATTGCATCTTTACGGACCTTCGCCTTCTCAGAGCAGAGTTTCTCCATGAGCTCCTCAACGTCCTCCTTGCTGACCATTTTGGCTGCTCTGGTAGCATTCTTTGAACAGCCTTTTGGAGCTTCGAACTTGGGAGCGACATAGGTTCGGAGCAGCAGCAAAACCTAATGCCGTCTCTGCCTCTGGAGTTTGTTGATATCACTGTCAGTGTCAGGACATGCAAAGCTTGATTTCTCCGGACAAGTTTTTGAAGCAAAATGCGGCAAAACCAAATTGAGACGGCAACGCAGTTTACACGCTGCTTTTCGATTCGTCATCGAAAGGTTTCGTTGTCGAACCCGTTTATCCATACTGTAGTCTTAACAGTATTACAAGGAAAGCCGACATCGTTAACGAAACTGGGTCGCGACCCTCCAGCTCCGTCGATCCCCGTTGCGTTGCTACTTGCATGGTGTGGCGATGCAGGCTGCACTAGGTAGTACCGTAGCTCTCGCCCTGGCCCCACCTGGCCCCTGCGCTGGTCGGTATACCTACTGTAGACTGTAGTCTTTCAGCTTCTACAATTTTAACAAAATCCTGGGGCTGAAGGGGCGCCTTTCTCTCTGCTGCGAATGCGAGTAAGAACAGCCTCAGGTCAGAGGTCTTCTAAAATTTAGAAGGGGTTCCATTTCGTTGCTTCTGTGGTTTCCGCCCATGATTGATATGTCCTAAGCTACGCGAAAGCTTTCAGGATCTCCGCAAGCATTGCACGATTGAAGCCCCGCTGCAAGGAGGTCCATTGAGCAAATCAGCTGGTGGGCATATTGGAGATGCCTGCTTTCAGCACTGTCCGTGCTCAAGCAGGAAGGCTGACAATATATGGAGATTCCGCATTGAGAAACACCAATGAAACTAGATGGCATGCCAACAATGTGGACCCTCTGCTTGCAACGAACCACAGAAGGGTTTTGTCTGGTTGTCACTCTTCTATAGGGCGGGCTCATCGGTCGGCTTACCAGAAATCGCAGCATTCGTTGGTAAGTCTCCCCGAAGTGGTTGGCCAAGAAATATGTATGTGTTCTGACAATTAAATGCTTGAATCCCTTCCTCATTCACCTTTAGACAGCAATTGTGACTCCAGATATCTTTTGAAGCATGTTACCATACATCCGGCCAGCTGCCTGGGGACGTACAGAAGACTTGGCCAAGTACTACACTTATAGATTGTAGATTTCAAGAAGAGCTCGCTTCCAATGACAACGTAGACTACGTTGCTTCCGTCATCCAAAAAGTAGCTTCCGTGTTGATCTCAGAGACAAATGGTGGCATGTCAGTGCTAAATCTTGCGTAAGTGTCACTTGTCACCACTATTTTGGAGCTTGCCACAAACAGCAGATTCGAATTGCGCGCATCATCGGTTGTGCAGGCTTGGGGCCAGGCGAAGGCTAAGCGACAGGGGCTGCCACTACACTCCATACCGTCAAAGTTTGATGGAAGTCAGGCTCCAGAAGCTTTCAACTATCAGGGAACTGAAAGTCGGGGAGATGAAATCCCTGACTCTAATGTGCTGGTCGGGCCACCTCCAGTAGAGTTCAAGCGCCCGGCAGACATTGAGTACCTCCAGGTAATTATGGTCGAATTCATTGACGTCACCAGCTTTCGTAGCTTCTATCCTTCCTCGTTTTCTTTCAGTTATGTGCTCTTGTGCTCTCACCTTCTGGCCCTTCGCATGAGTCACGCTCTGTCATCGAGACCTTAAAGGCTACCGCAGTACTTCACATTTACATTTTTCGCTTGACACGCAGGAGCTTCTTGCCATCCAGCAATCAGGCCCGAAGGCTATTGGATTCTTTGGGACAAGAAACATGGGCTTCATGCATCAGCAGCTGATTGAGATCCTGAGCTATGCCATGGTTCTCACAGTGAGTGCCAACCTTGACTCTGACCCTAAGGCTTTGTAACACGCTAACCTGCATGGCTTCTATAAGCAAGGTGGAATGAATAGCGAGCCCGGATTCGTTGGTAAGCTGTCTGCACTTCTAGGTACATCTTGTGTTGCATCGATGAACTCTAAGCATACCAACCAGATTGTAATTCCTGCCTTTACTCTGTGTAAACTGCTTGTCACCAGCTCAGTGATTGTACCTATTGGATTAAAGAAAGGACCGCTTCTCCTTGTCCAGTCGAACCACATTTTCACCTCTGGAGCCACGGGGACAAACGCGGCTGTTATAAGGGGTGCATTGCGGGCTGAAAAACCGGATCTCCTGACCGTGGTCCTACCACAAAGTCTTTCCAAACAGCCCCCAGAAAGCCAGGAACTCCTGAAACAGGTGAAGTGCTCTCGCCTGTACCCCAGTCAGAGTGATACCTTTGAGCAGAAACATCCATTCTCTTCTGAGCCCCGTCATAAATCCGTGTCCTCCTGTTTGTCCCCCGGTCAAAGCTGGCTGACCTACACCGAATACAGGGTGACTTCAACAAGCCTCTGGTCGTGTAGAAAGGTCTTTCTGCTTGTTGTGAAATGCCCTCCGTATCCTGATGTCAATGAAGACCTGACGTTTCTCCCATGCTCGCAGGTCAAAAACCTCATCGAAACCCCTCATAACGATCATCTGCAGTTGATAGAAGCCAGTAGGTGAGTCAATCATGTCATCCATTCCTGGCCCCACTGGTTTCCTAATTGCATCATCCATGTGCGACGTCTACTTAGCCACCATCGTTAGCTCAATCGGACGTGGTGCTTCCAAACGAGGTTTCCCCTGAATTATCTCCTTACAAAGCCGACGTTTCTGTCTCCCTTATAGCTTTATGATCCGTTTTCAGGTTATGCAATCGGAACATCATCAGCAAGGTGCAGCAGATTATATGCTTTGCGTTTCACGACAGTCACTTGCTTATGGAGACTTGTCAAGAAGCCAAAGACATGCGGAAGATTGTCACTCTTCTCTACTTGGATTGATGCGGATGCATACTTGTAGATCAAGACCGTTGCTGGCCACTGTTCACACTAGGGGTTGGTCTGCTGACGCTGTTGAAACGAACTTTCTGGCTAGTTACTGCCCCAGCAACTGTGTTTGTTAGGCTGCAGGCCCTGTGTCAAAATTAGCGTCCAGCATGAAAGAATTCGTTTGTCGTTGCACACCTTGATCAATCTCACATATGCACAGGCAGTCGAAACATGCTTTTCCTGTACTAGTTGATAGAGTCGATTGGCACATAGTTTGATTCGTGTGTCTTGTCATCGCAAATAATGCGGTCTCGGTGTATGAAGCCTTTGCTTTTGATGGCTCGTCGGTTTGTCTTAGCTGATTCGTTGCCTCATGTGTATTGAAATGAAGGTACGTATCAAAAGTAGCATGCTTCTTCTTGAACACCATATGGGTAAACTTTTGTGTCCGCCACACAGACAAGTGGGCTTAGATCGTTGAAGTTCCTAGAGACGCATATGCTGACATGGCCCATGCTTCGCACCACTCATTGTCGGACAACTATTAGTTAAGATGAGCAAACGTTCATCATGCTCTAGCTAGCATCATTGCAACCAATTCATCGCTCACAGCCGCCATGTTTTATTATACTGTAGTAAGCCCATATGTCGTGCATGAGCATATTTTCCATAGCTGCAAGCGGGCTGCATGCTCGATCCCAATTTCAAAGTCAATTAACGGCAATCATGTGTATACTGGCGCCGCTCAACTGCAGCTCAGTGACACCGACAAAGATCAAGCGCATAATTGTCACCAAGAGAGACCTCACAGACAAGCTGAATGCAGGCTCGATTCGGGTACAAGCTTACAGCTCAGTGCATGCCAGGTTGCATAACTCTGGTATTGGCATGGATGGGTAAACATTTGAAGAAAACCTTGCGCCGCTTTAGTATGCCTATGATTGCAAGCATGCACCAAGCTCTAGCATGGAAGCAATGAAAAATCTCGACACAGTGATTCACTGAGCGCAGAGCTTCTGCAACATGCACCGATTACACAGAGCCAAAAACAAAGCGAACCATGGCTATGACTGGCCCATGCATGACCTCAGTGAAGGTCTTCGTGACCCACTAAGCCACCTGACTCGACCCTCGCGTCTTAAGATTGTCCCATCCCCAGTTTCCGCGTAGCTGTTGACCCTTATGTTGTGAGCTCCATGATTGCGCTAACGATATCCCCATCAGTCTGCTTCAAAGCAGACACGGCCTTAGCCCGACTTACGCCGGCCTGCGTCATGACCAGCTCAATGTCCTTGGGCTCGACGCCTGTCTCATCGACCTCCTCATCATCATCCAAGTCCGCAATGCTGGCAGACTGCTTGGGGGTTTCAAGAGCGGCCTCGGGGGCCTGGAACTGCTGAGCGGCCTGGGACTGGAGTTGTGAGCTGAGGTCCTCGATCTTTGCCTCCCCGAAGATGATGTAAGTGTCTGAGGCAGGGCTCTTGAACACATCGGGCTTCGAGATGACGAAGAGAATCTGCATCACAAGATGTCAAGCTCAGGCAACAGACGCAGAAGGATGCATTCTACCAAATCGAAAGCTCGCACATATCAGAACTGGAGAGGCGCCAAGCAACATGTGCAATGATAGTTACAGTTGGCAACCTGATCACCATGTAGCTAACATGGGGGCACTGCAGGATGGTATCGCGCCCCTCTTGACAGGTATAATTTGTTGACGACCTGAGACCACAAGAAGAGTCGAGGAATAATTAAGTGAAGGCGCAAATTGCTGTGAAGACTCAATCTTTGAGGCAATCAGGAATGAGGAGTATGTGACGGCTGAATGAGCTCGCTCACGTTCTTGCTCTTCTTGATGGTGACGCGCTGCACGCCAGGCACCGGCTTCATGCCCAGCTTCTGCATCGCTTTTCTGCTCTTCTTTTCACTGCGGCTCTGCTTGCCCTTGCCAGCCTCGCCCTCAGCTACACAGGAAAACACCAGGGGAGTACATTAGCATACAATCATGCGTGTGCGCCTCCTGTTTCCAGAATAGCCCCAGGACTGACGGGAAAATTTTGTCGTTCAAAACAACAAAGACTTCGTCTGTCCTGTTCTCCAAAAAAAGTACGACCAGAATCTTGCCGCCCAAGCCTAGCCGGATGAACAGGCACAAGCAAATGTCCTGATGTCTCGCACTTATCACTGCGACCTTCCACAGATGCATCAGTTGCATGCAAATCCGCTTCCGTGGAGGCCTTTTGGGAGGAGCCATCTGGAGTTGCACTTACCCCCTTCTGCCTGGGCATCCTCCAAGTCTGGCACCTCATCATCATCGTCAGATTCTTCTTCGTCCTCGTCCTCGCTCTCCACAGCCCCTTCCTGTCCAAGAGCGAGCAAGAACATGAGATGGCTCTTTGTTTGATCAGAATAATCAAAGAAGAGCCACAATGCTATTTGATGTCATAGAGCAAAAAAGAAGACAATCAAAAAAGTGAGTGACGGTTTGGGGATTTGCCAGATTGCCCGGTGCAAAAAAGGAGGAGATAGAGGAGTCCCGGCAAGTATCAGAACGCTACATAGAGATTGACGTCCTAGAAAACTGTAAAGCCACTACACCATTATCACAAGCAACCATCTCTTCCCAACTGAAATGTTACTGCTAACAGCTCATTTCGACTTCTTCTTTCAACAACTCCTGACTATTAGCATTCTCAGCTTTTCCAAGATAATTTCCCATCAATGATGTCAATGGGCGGCAGTCGACTTCCCGGCTCCTTCAAACAATCCGCGTTGAGCGCAACCAATGACAAAGTACTCCAGACCATTTTCAATTTGAGAAGAAAGCCCCGCCAGTACGGCAGATAACCCAAGCAATAACGGCCTTCCACGAATGCACGGCTCAGCTGGGAGAGCTCGGTGAACCTTGACGCTTTCAGTGAGCATGAACTAGGCAACATTGTAACAAACACTGCCTAGAGGCATAAGTCTTCTTCAGGACCGCTATTCTCTTGAGGCTTGTCTCTACTTCGAGGTCGCACTTCTTCAAGGAAAAAAAAAGACAAACATATTTTATGTTTTAAGCTCTGCCCTGTAGGAAGTTTGAATGGCCCTACGCCCAAAACTGAGGTGTTCAAAAAACATCAAAAAGGCGCACACGAAGTCATTGCAAACAATATGAGCAGAGTTAGATGAGAAAGTCCCCAACAAAGTCCATCACTCCGCAGAATGGTAATGGGCACGTAATGTAGTCATTGACCTGATAATTCTTGGTAATGGTTCTTCAAACCCAATGGACATACTATGGGTCTCACTGGTCCCCTCCTTACATTCTGCTTTCCGGCCCACTCACGGAGCAGAAAGGATTGGCCCCAGAGCTGTACATGACTGTGGCTGAATTTTTCAAGCTTCACCAATGCACCGAAGAGCGCACTTTGGCGCGCTCATACTACAATCTCACCTCCTGGTCCTTCTCTTCTTCGGCCAGAGCCTTCCTCTCCTCGACCTCGGCAGTCATGATGACTCTCTTTTGAGCACACCTGGCCCAACAAGCGATAGGTTCGCTGTTTACAGCGCCGCCAAAACGTTCCTTCCTGGCACTTCCTTTGCGAGGCGTCGATCAGGACTGCGTGTTATCAGACTGAGGTCGAAACCCTGTCTTGCTAAACGATGATCATGTGAAGTGCGTTACATTTTGCAGGAATTTTCGAGCATTGAAACTAGTCAAGATTTGAGCATAGGTATTACCTAATGCAAAAACCTTGTGAAACGCTTGCCATCAGTTAAAAATACTGGGTTAGGTTCGCACAACTTAACCCAGCATCTGCTCTTGAGCTGCTCAGGTTGCTGACTCTCCCAACTTCAAGTTAAGTCCCAACTTCAAGAGGAGGGAGGTGCGAAAGGAGCAATGGGGGAGCAATGCTGGGTGCAATGGAGCTCAATGGGAAGACTGCTCTGATCTCTCACTTGTTGGGTGCTTACAGAACCTAGTCATAAACGTGTAAGTAGATGAACAGTACTAGCCCGCTGGGCTGCTCTGCCTCCGCTTTCTTGTAGGCTGTCAAAAAGGAGGTATAAAGTTGTTTGGTTCTGACGCAGGTAAGCTTTGTTTCAACTCTGTGATCCGCTAACTAAAAATACAGAACGGCGAGCTTCATCGCTGGTCCAAATAACATTGTAGACATTCAGAACAATCTCATCAAGATCAGCACCGGATCATCAAACAGCAACAATGAAGGATTGTAGTATCATTTTGCAATCAATGTGCACTTCTGCATGTCTTTGGTGGCAAAGAAGAGTTAATTGTGAGTTTTGTCAAGTGTTAAAGCAGTACATTTCTTGAAGGCATGGGCCCAACTGCTTATATTTTCTAGCTGGTGGCACTAACCAGGTATTTACCTTGTATCCAAAGAGAAAACAAGACAGCTATAGATGGTGCCATGCACGCCTGACCTCTCCTTTTCCTGCCCAATTTTGCAGCACTAATTTGAACGATGAGTGCACCGACAGGGCCCCCGGGCAGGCCCCCCTTTCCTCCTATCTCAGACCCAGCCGGTCCCAGACCTCCGCAGCAATTTCAAAGGCCACCCTCAAATGGTGGCGCCTTCTCAGGCAACCCTCCCCCCCGACCAGGCCCTCCGTTCCCCAACTTTGGCCCCCCACTAGGCTACCGGGGGCCTCCAGGCCCTCCTGGTGCCCCCACAACAGGGCCCTTTCATCCAATGGGTGCCCCCCCTGCTCAGCGAGGCCCCCCCCCTCCCTCCTTCCTGGGCCCACCTCGTCCTCTACAGGGGGCCCCTAATGGGGCACAGCCGCCACTGTTCCAGGGGGGTCCTGGTCAGCCGCATCCCTCAGCGATGGGGCAGAATCACTTTCAACGGCCAACGCCATCGAATGGACCGCCAATGCAGCGGCCGCTCGGGGGCAGTTCGGGTCCACCTCCGACGGGCCAGCCAGGCGCGCCATTTGGGCAACCGGCGCGGCAGGCACCTCCAGGTAAGTTTTGGGAAGACAAAAAGGACAAGCGAAGATGCATATAATGCTCAGAGAAGACAGTTTGCATCGAGGGAAACATTGAGGGAAACAAGCGAACCACAAGTGAATCTCTTGCTGTTTTGTTCAGTCCACTCATCAGAACCAGGACACTCTCTTTCCTGTGTTGGCAGGCAATCCTTCCGCTCCGTTCCTTCGCCCCCCTCCGCAGCACCTGCCAATGCAACAACCGCAGGGCCTGGCACCGCCTTCGAGCCAGGTCCGTCCTGGCCCCCCGTCAAGCTCTACTGCCGGGCCAGCTCCTCAGAGACCCCCACAACAGTTCTCTCTTCCTCCAAGGCCATTTTCACCAGGGCCCCCTTCGAACTTCAGACCCCCAGTCTGGGGTCTGCCCCCTCGAGGAGGCCCCCCGTTGCAGCAAGGGCCACCCCCCGCATTTGCTCCAGGGGGGAGGCCGCCGATGCAGTGGCCGCCGGGGCATCCTGGAATGGTAAGACCTGGTGGTTTCCCTGCAAGTGGCCCGCGGTTGCAGGGGGCTTCGACGGGGGTAAACTCAGTCCAGGGGGGTCCGGGGGAGCTGAATTCGACTCAGGGGGGTGCCGGAAGCCCCGCGGGGCAGAAGGCGGAAGCGGGTAAGGATGAGGGCAAGAAGGAAATGGGGACAGAGTCGGAGGAGGTGCGCAAAGCGTGGAGTGCGCATAAGAACGACGAGGGGGTGGCGTACTACTACAACAGTGTGACGGGGGAGTCGACTTACGAGAAACCGAAGGGCTTCGTTGGGGAGGTGAGCCGTCAAGAACCACGGACGCAGATTAAGGGCAGAGCGGACTTTTGGGTCTGGACTTGTGTGGACACAACAGATGGTGGCCTTGCATGTTGATTATCCCCAACTGGATCAGGCAGGGCAACAGTCCTTTCTGTGTCGAACCAAAGGTCAGAACCTTGAAAGGAGAGAGAGTGACCCGACTCTGTACGGTATATGTTTCTACCTCGGTGATCGAAGTGACCCTACAAAGGGCAGAGAACGGAGAGGCGAGAAAGGGGGAATAGGCAGGTCAGGGGAAAATAAGAGGCGTTGTTTACATGCCGGTGCCTGGAAAAGCGGCCGAAAGCCTGTGCATACGTTTTCCCTATCCACCTCTGCTTTCGCTGAATATCAGATGAACCTTTGAAGCTGTAGATGCATATTCGATTTTAAGTCCTTGAACATTCAACTTTGTCATGAATTCTGGGCGCTTGCTTTCTTTGCAGGAGGTCGATATCATACCGGTCGCCTGGTAAGTCGGTGCTTACATCACACCTGACAGCGCTCCATTGTCCTGCTTACTGCCTTCTGAGTCCTGCCACCAAAAGGGACGCTGGCTGGTCGTATGATTGCACTGCAACAACTGACTGAGGCATACCGCCTGGAAGAGAATCAGCGTTGCAGTGTAAGAGTTTGCTGAGAACGGATCTTCCTTGATTGCAGGGAGCGTATCGACGGCACCGATTGGCATCTGGTGACCACCAATCTGGACTCCAAGTATTACTACAATACCACAACGCAGGTAAGGTGCCAATAAAAGATCTAGGAAGCAGAGCGCTCCTACAGAGGTGGTCTCCGACATGCTCAAGCGCATGAAACAGAGGTGGAGATTTTGCATCATCGGAATTGGTACTTCACGTGCAGTTGTCAAGCTCTTGCAAAATGCGCCCCCTATCCACTATTCCTTCTTGACGAATGGCGGCATAGGCTGGTGGCGAAGGCCATGTCGCCAATTCTAAGCTTCAGAAAGCAGCTTCTGATCGCAGCAGCTGAGGGCACTGGTTCGCATTCTGCACAATATCGGTTACTTCCATCGCTTCTGCACGAACTTCTGTCTCCTGCTTCTTGGAGCGACTTTTTCAAGCTGTTCCTGCCTGCCCTTTGAGACCCGAATTTGGCATTGCAGGAGACCAGCTGGCAAGTCCCGGCGGCCGTGGCGGAGCAACGGCAAAAGAAAGCGGAAGAGGCGTCCGTGCCAGACAGAGCAAACGGGGAGTCGGCGGTGGGCACCATCAAGAAGAAGTTGCACGAAGAGGACGCGATTGCTGAAGTGGGTAAGCTTGAGACTGTGCGAGGGTAAGCGGAAAAGCAGGAGACAGCCCGTGAAGCAGATGTGCGAGACTTCAGAGTGGCCGCTGTGGGAGCTGGACGTACTTTGTAGTCGAAGGGCTCCAGAATCAAGTTTAGATGGTGGATAAGTGTTGCAAACCTCGTGGTTCCTGCTCATTTGTGACTTTACGGTGGATTTGGAGCTTTAAGGTTTCTCATTCTTGGAGTTTTCCAACAACCAGTTTCGAGTCCATGTCGGCACAGCAGGTATACCTTTGAGCGACCGGGAATAGCAAAAGCCCCGGCTTGGAGTTCCTTCGAAGCCCTTCATGCGTGTCCCCTTCTTCTTCTTACCGTTCTAGAGAGCTCCAAAAATAGGATGAGCAGGTTCAGTGGTCCCCACTAGAACGTGTCGATGTGAATGATAGCCTCACCGTGAAGAGACGAAGCCCCTGTAAGTGAATGCGCTCTTCTATGGACAACAATTCTTGATAGGCCAGCTTGGAACAGGAGATGCTGGTCACTCAGTGGCAGAAGGGTTCGACGCAGCAACGTGATGAGGACAGGTGCTGGTGGTCGAACGTCGGTGATTGCTCAGCTGACCGCTGGTCTATCTTCCAGGCAAGGAGACACCCCCTGAAAAGGATGGGAAGGACGAGGAGGGGAACGGCGCCGAGCAGAAACAGAGCGAGAAAGAGAAACTGGCTGCGGACTTCAAGGTAAGGTCATCCCCTCCCGAGGTGCAGCTTACCATGGGCTTTAAAGTATTTGTCAAGTTGATTTGCACTCGATGTCAAGATTGACGTCGTTCAGGTTCTCAAACGTAGCAAAGCCGTTCGGGGCCACTTTCCTCCGCAAGCCGTTCTTGACTCTTTGGAACGATCGGCCCAATGGATATCGATGCTTGGATCATCCGCGAGCCGTCGCAAACGGCGATACTGCATTGCGCCAACAAACGTATCTGAACAGGCAGAAAATGAGAGCATGCACACGAGCAAAGCATGGATTGAGTGTCTCGACATGCATTATCATTGAGAAACTTCGTTTTCTCTGTAATATCAGGAGATGCTCAAGGAGAAAAAGGTTCCTCCTTTCGCCAAGTGGGACAAGGAGCTACCAAAGATCTTCGCAGACCCACGATTTAAGGTGAGCTGGTGCGGACATTGTACTTATTTGCAATCAACAGGACGAGAAAGAATTACTCCATGTTGTACTCGCAATAGAAGCAATGCGAGATGGACAGTTTACGAGCAATGTGCTGAGCGGCGCTTGACATGCTGTGCGCTTCTGCAATTTGGTTGTGCTGATTCTTGTGCGCATTCCAGGCCTATTGTGAAGAAGTTTCCCGTTCGTGGAGTTGTCGCATTACCTCTCCATCCAAATTGAGATGTAGGATTCTGTTTTGCTCTCTACAAGATTTTGGTGTCCGTTGCGCCCGGTCTGAGACGTCTGCATAAGTGGAAAAGCTGCGAAAAAGGTGCGTATGTTTGTGCTGACTGCTATACAGGATAAATTCTTCACGTTGAGCTCCACACCCACAGAAAAGAGCTCCGGGTCTCCTCTTTCGCAGGCAATTGCGACGACCGCGGAGCGCCGGGCCTTGTTCGACCGTTACGTGAAGACGCGTGCGGAGGAGGAGCGGCTTGAGAAGCGGGAGGCGCTGCGGGCGGCCATGAACGGATTCCGGGAACTGCTGGATGAGGTGGCGGAGGTGAGGCGGGGATGCACACGGGGATGCGAAAAGCTGGACCCACAAGCATTGCGCTTTAAAGCGGTTGATTGTGGGTCGAACGGCTCTGCTTGAAGGGTCAGTCAAGGTCCCATACCGGAAGTCTTTAGTATTTGTTGTGGATCCAAGTTCTGCGGCACCGATATTGTTTGAGAAATTGGTTTTCAAAAGAAATGAAGCATTTTGCATTGGCAAGGAACTGCTCGATTGGGATATGAAGTTGCCTGGGTAAAACATAGTAATGATCACGCTTCTGGTTGCGGACAGATTTTGAATCGATCTCGTCAATAGCTGTGTCCACAAGCACACGACCTGTAATGCGATTCGACAGATTTGCGGCACCTTTGGCGATGTATCTTGGTTTTTCCTTGAGAGCTGCGTTTCAAAAGTTTGCTGTCTTCCCCAGGAGCTCGACCATACCGTGACTTATGCGGACTTCGAGACTATGAAGGGGGACGACCCGCGCTTCAAAGCACTGGAGAAGAAGGAGCGGGAGACCCTCCTCAACGAGAGGTATGCCGAGATGGGCTGTTGTTTACACGTTTGATAACCCCCTCTTGACATACCGGGAGCATCTTCCCGAATCATACGCTAGGTCTGATGTCACGGGACACGTCAGCATCATATTGCCCCCGAAGTATAGTTGGGAGAATCGATCAAAACACGCCTCGACTTTCGACCCAACAGAGAACTTGCAACAAGTGACAAAGCACCGGTCCGCATCCTTCTGGGCCAAGTTAAGCTCTCGTGTCCTCTCTCTGCTCCCGAACGACTGATGAGAAGCCCGTTCCGTTGGCAGGATTGCCCCCCTGCGGAAGGCGGAAGAGGAGCGGCTGCGGAAGGAGCGCGAGGCGGCGGTCACCGCCTTCCACGAGCTGCTCGCTGAAAAGGGGGCCAACGAAACCACCAAGTGGGCTACGGTGCGGACCGTCAAAACTTGGGTCAAAACCGCTAGTTGATTCTGCTTGGATCTGCAACCCTTCCCTCGAGCGTCGACCTTGTTCACGGTTTAACGGTTCAACAGGCCCAGAACCTACACTCCTAAGCGCGGACGAATTGCATGATTGCTCGTGCTTGTCTTTCCCGCTGTCGCTTCCGGTGAAGGAATTTGATTTGGTGGCGCAGTTGAAGGAGGAGGTCCGAGAGGACCCGCGCTACAAGGCCGTGGCGCGGAACGAGCGCGAGCAGGTGTTCAATGACTTCCTGGCCAAGTGGAAGGGCGGCAAAGAGTCGGAAGTCGAGGTGAGGGCTGGACGCAAGCAGATTCCTTGACTGGATTTGAGCAAATAATCTGGACTAAGAACCTTTTGTAAAGGGGATTCCAGATGTACCAGCCGTATTTTGTTTGTTGACGAAAACAGGCGGACAGCTCGTTCTCATCCAGTACGTTTTCAGACAGTTCTCCAGTTTTTGTTAAAGACCTCCGAGGTTGCAGTATGCCGGAAATTTGAAACTCAGTATCTACAAGATACAAAGCTTGAACTCAAGGAGACCCAAATGTATCGCAACAGAGACCAAAAGGTTATCCGCGCGACAGAAAGTGAACGCTAACCTTTTACGTACGCTGCCACTTAAGGGAAGGTAGCAAGCAGGAATTTGCCCACCCTTGCGATCAACTCGTCACGACTGGTCTTTTGATTGCTCAGGAGAAGCTGAAGGCTCACGAACGGGAGGCGCGCAAGCGGAAGGAGCGCGAGGAAGAAGAACTAGAGCGGATCCGGACCAAGGCGCGGCAAAAGGACGCGCTGGACTCGTACAAGGCCATCCTGGCCCAGAAAGTCAAGGAAGCTGACGTGAGCGCTGACCCCTCCCGTCTGACTCGCCTCGTACGACTTTGACCTGACATCTGATGTCCTGCTCTGCAATGGGGAGACCTTTCAAGACAAACCATGTTTGCCGAGCTGGCGGCGGCGGCGCTATCGTCAGCTGCGTTCTCAGCTTCTGAAAACTGTGCAAAGAAGAGGTCTTGGGGTTTTGCATTCTGGTTATGCGTCAACAGATGTACTTTTGCGCTTGCTGAAAGGGGCTCAGCACCTGATATATAGGCCTGCTCACAAATCTTGGTCCTCCATATCTGGTGCCAAGCAGGACGCGCAAAAGGAAGAGACAGTCAGAGGAAGTGGCTCTCTTACCAAAAATGTTTCCACGATTGATTACCGGGTTGTAACGGCTCTCTGCAGGCCACGTGGGCTGACTGGCGCCGGCGCATCGAAAAAGAAGCCGAGGAGAAGCAGGTGACCCCGCACCTAGAAGCGAAGGAGTTGGAGCACCTGTTCAAGGAGCACGTGCGGGGCATCATGGACGTGAGTTATCCCCAAACGCTGCTTCAAAGAATGGCGAATCATTTGATTATCTTTTGCACACCTCCACGTCACGACGTACGGGCCCGCTCGAATGAGCCGATGAAGGGGTTAAAGAGCAGAATGCCAGGAAGCAGTCGCAACGATGCCCTTTCCGTTCCTCCGCTCCTTAACGGTTCAAGCACCTTAACTTTGCAATTCTGGTCGCTCGCATGCCTGCGCTCACTGGCTCCATTGCGTAAGCTTTCTGAGTCTACTCATATGCCGTTCTGAGGTACATCGTATGCGCTGCAGCCCTGCGTTCTCCTTGCGCTCCAACGTCTCTTCAATATCTGGCCAACAGTTCCAGAGGCTCTCTTTTTCCCCTTCCTCAGGCGTGCGTCCGCGACTACAAGCGCCTGCTGGCGGAGGCTCTCCCCGAGGAGACGATCCAAAAAGAGGACCCCGACGGGCGAATTCCTCTTGACTCGTGGACGGCGGCCAAGGGGCTTATGCGGGAAGACGCCCGCCTCAAACGGCTGCCGAAAGTAGAGAGGGAGCCGCTCTACCGGCAGTACACAGAGGACGTCCGGAAGAGACTAAATCTCCCGCCGGGGGCTAACTACGTTAGAGATAGGGGTCCGGCGGGGGCGAGACCTCCAGCCGCCGAGCCAAGGCGAGAAACATATCGGGAGCACCGGGACAAACGGCCGCGAAGGTGAAGGAATATGGGCTGTTGCCGCTTATCAAACTTTGGTGTAGCTAGGCCCGGATGCAACAAGCTCCTCTGCGCTCCTTCATGTGGCAAAGAAGACTTGACACGAGGACGCTCTGAGACAAGGCTACAGCGGGTCGGGTAAATCTGCAAGAACCACAAGCATAATGCTTCGATGTTTCATCCAATGGGCATCTCAAATGATGCTGACCCTTGAATGCCCAGTTTGGCACTGATCTTCGATGGTCGAGGAACTTGCTTGATTGCAATGTTTTGCATGTTGGAAAAGCGACATGCAACAGGCTGCTGTACGCAACAATAGTCCAACTCAGTTCGTGCATTTTTGTCGAGTCCCTTCAATGGGTTCAGAGTATACCAACCTTGAACTTTCCGCCGAAGTCAGGAGACAATTGGATAGTGTGGGAAACCTAGCTAGAGTGCAGGTCACTGTAACGTGGTTCCATGTAGCGATCACATATCAGCATGCAATATGGAATGTAGAATTTGTTGATAACGATCAAGTTCTGTGTTATAGAGTTAGTACAATACTTCCTAGTGCGCGAACTGCGATATGGTGTCATGTACATGGCATGTGCGCTAGGCTAGACGCTGCGCGCCATGTTTGCAGTATTATGCATATGTATTTGAGTCACTGCCAAGTGAGTGCAAAGCGGCCAAATTGAAGCACATGTCAGGGTCGGAACATGGTGGACCGACGTACACATGCAGTGGTGAGCATGGCAATCAGCGGATCGTATCATGCCGCGGCGCCGGCCGCGCCTCCACGGAGGCAACATATGACGTACAGAAAAGCAGCAGCTGTTGTTTACTAAGATCGGGCTAGTTAAGTGCAAGCCACCGCAGTCCACAGTGACAGGTAGGGCCGTATACTTCAGCTTGCTGCAGCCGCGCGGGCCTGCGTGGCTATATAATCGATGTGGCATGCGCGCCGGTATAAACTTCCAGCTTACCGATATCGACTAGCATAAAATAATCGACGGCGCATGGACTCATGCAATCTTTTGGCCTCAGCCAACATAATCATGATAATGTCGATCATGAACACTCATTCGCCATATCCAAAGAGCATGATCTGAGTATACGCGTATGCACCTGCGGCCCGTTTTTCAAACCTCCAATCAGGCCGTACGATCTTCAGGCTAGCTTAGCCATGGCTTGCCTTGAAGAAGATGACGGAAATCTAGTGAGCAATGCCGCAAATGGGCTTGAAAGAATGAGATTCAAATATTTCGAGAGCCTTCTGCAGTACCTGCACTTTTCGAGCGGCATACCTTGACCTGCTTACGGAACGTCGGGCCCCTTAGCCTCCATCAGCTTATACCTCTTCTCGTATACCCCCCCGGCGCCGGGGCTGAGTTCGATCACCGTATGCAGGGGCATCTCGATGTGCGGCACTTCTTTGAGCGGCTTGTCCATGAAGTACGCGTACAGCGCGCGCAGTACGGCCTGGTGGGCGACAACGACAACCGGGGATCGCTGGCGCTCGATCTCGATGATGACGGGCTCCAGCCGCTGGATGACGTCAAGGTACGACTCGCCGCGGGGATACCGGTACCGCAACTTGTCCAATTTTCTGGAGAAGCGACACGCGGTGATCAACGGTCAGAAATGCAGTTCTAAGGATAAAAGGAAGCTGACGCACGCTTCGAAAGTTTCGAGCGTCAACCTGAGAACTCCGCGAGCAACCTCTGCTCAGTCCTTTCGTGAGCTCCAAGGCAGTTGCGGACGCTTGTAGGTCGCTTCCCCGAACGTAGTATCGTCTGCAGCAATCGCAGATATCTGATAATGTTGTCGTCAGGCGCTATTATAAAGTGTAGCAAAAGCTGCGACAGTGAGTAGCGCACTTTTAACGAAACATACTCGAGCAGGAACAAGACCACGGTGGCTTGGAGCTGTCCTTTATGCTGTTATCCTTTTACCTTCCTAGGATCTGCCTGTCCGTACGTAACTCCGCACGCTGCCACGTGTCGCCCTCACCTGGCCTGGTACTCCTCGGGCATCACCTCCTTGATCTCCGCATACGTCATCCCGTCGCACACGCCCGCGTTGATCTCGTCCAGCGCGCGCCACTGCACGCGCGGGAAGCCCGTGATGAACGACCCCGTCTGGACCGTCCGTTGGAGCGTGCTCGTCCAAATCGACGCCGCTCGTTCGCTCCCCAGGCGCTTGGTCACGAACTCGGCCAGCTTCTTGGCGTAGGCCTCGCCGTTGGGGCTCAGGAACGAGTCGCCGCCGATGCGCTCGCGCACGTTGTCCTGGGACTCGCCGTGCCGCGTGATCAGGATCGGCCGCGGCGCCAGGTGCGTGTTCACCTGGCGGACAGAGATATTCTGTTTCGATGAGATTGAGGGCATGTAAGAGGAGCGGAGAGAAGAATCAGGACGTTTGCTTGCGAAAATCTCGCACCGTGTGCACGTGATAGGTGAAAGACAGGGTGGACGAAAAAGTGGGTCATGCAGCAGCTTTTGCCACTTCCGCTCGTACCGTGAGTTGCAACGCCAAGCGGTCCGCAGAGCCTGTGCTTCTTCCAGAGAGGCGGCTGAGCTTTGAGTCGACTTCCCTGAGTAAAAGGTCGCCGAGAATGCGCGCCCTTACATCGTCAAAAACCCAGCAGCCACACACAGCCCGCCCAACTAGCATGAGGCCAGAATTGATTCTTGAGCACAAAGACGGAGGCTCCCTGTCAATTTACCACCCGTGCACCAGAGCCACACTCTGCTCATCTGCTAGAGCCCCTCAATTTTAAAAGGAAGAAGACAAGCAAAACCCTCCCTCGTTACCCATCAAAAGATCAAATTTGGCCAGCAAGTCCCGCTGGTGTCTTCGACCGTTGATTTCAGCCCCCTCAATAAAGCCCACAGTGTTCCCCTCCTCTCTTTCCCTCACCAGGAAGAAGACGATCCGCCCCGGGAGGTACCCGCTGATGTTGTTGATCTGCATCTGCCCCCCCGAGCCGCTCGCCATATCAATCAGCTTGACGTAGCTACCCTCGTTCACCGGCTCGTACGCGCGCTCGTAGTTCTCGATGCGCCCCTTGAAGTCGCGGATCGCGGCCTCGGGGTCCGCGATGCTGACGTAATCCGGGCTGCTGCGCACCTTCTCGCGCACGTTGCGGTCGATGACGGCGGGGTCGGTGCAGATGGTCTCCAGGAAGATGACCTTGCACTTGCCCTCCGCCATGCGCAGGATCATGTTGCGCCGCTCGCGCGTGCTGTTGGTCGCGTCGAACACGCCCACCTGCCGGGGGGGGGGACACGAAGATGTTTGTCAGGAACAAGGTTACGGAACGCTCAGGAACGAATACTTGATTTGAGGGTTCGATGAGTGATATATGATGTTGTGCATCTCGATTGTATATTAAAAGTGTCAGAAAGACGAGATTAGGGCGTGGATCGAGGAAACCTGCCTTGAAGGATCGACAGGAAATGGGGGTGGCCGGTTGCAAATTGGCTTCGGTGTCCTGACTTCTTGGTGTAAATAAAGTGCTCAATATAGGGGACTTGGTACTCTGGCTCGAATATCGGATGTTTCCCAAAAGACCAAAAGCTGCACACGGAGGTTTGTCAACAACGAGGCTACTGATCGGTAGCGACCGAATTGCCCTTGGAGCCGCAGCAAGGTGAAAAGTCCAACAATTCTTCCTAGGTGCTGCCTACTGTGGGCCTCCGATACGGTTTGACCCAAAGTACAGCGTCGACTTCCCCCAAAAAAGCGGCTGGCTTGACCTCAGCCGTTCCAAGAGCTGCTTTGACGTAAGAAGTCGCCGAACAGAACATCGAGCACCATCCTTCTAACTTCAAAAACGGCGCCCGCACCTGTCCGCCTGCCTCCATCCTACATAAGCATGAATTCGAGCTTATGGCGACTGGCATCTCGTCTAGATCGTTCCCGCAAGCCGCTGCCCTAGGAAGTCGCCAGCCAAAAAAATCAACCTCCAAAGCGTAAACCCCAATAAGAACCCGCGCGAATCTGCCCGCCTGCCTCCATCCATGCGAGCATGTTCTCACAAGCTTCTCGTATCGAAACCCTTCGCACGGACATTCAAGCTACAAAACCAGATCTTTAGTTAGAACAATCTGCACGCACCGGCGCGCCCGGCTCCATCCAGGCAAGCATGTCCTCCCCATGTCTTTGGATTCCCAGCACAGCAATTGAGCTCCACACATTACCATAACTCTGGAATAAAATGCGCGCACCTGCCCGCCCGCCTCCACGCAAGCATGTCCTCCCCATGTCTCTGATATTCCAGCACAAGAAATGAGCTCCAAACATTACCGTAACTCTGGAAAAAAATGCGCGCACCTGCCCGCCCGCCTCCATCCACGCGAGCATGTCCTCCATTGCGAGCGCCGCGACCTGGTGGCGTGCGGCGACGGCCTCCTGGTTGTCGGCGCGGAAAAAGTCGGCGCTCTGGTTGGCGCCGTGCACGAGGCGCCGGTACTTGCCCACGTTGAAGTGCTTCGTGTCGTGGCCCAGCCACCGCAGGTACCGCGTCTGGGCGGAGGCACGGCAACGGAATGAGCGGAAGAGCGGAACGAGAGGAATGGGCAGGCGGCGTTCTTCCATACGATGATGCCTCGTGTCAAGGAAGTTGAAAGGATGAGGGTATTTGACCTTATGTATGCTTTTCCGTCCGAGGTTTTTGTTCAGAAGAAAGTTGGGAAGTCAGCAGGATCCGCAAAGCACCCCTCTGACTCACATCGCCTCCCACAATTTTCCAATCCACCAAAGAGGTCACGACTCCGGCTCCGTTGACCTAGTATCTTGGAGACCGTGAAAATCATCTCCGGAGCGGCACTTACCATCTCTTAATGCGAGAGAGATCTTCTCTCTCGCTCGCAGCTCGACCATCTCGGGAGAGCGACAAAGGTTTCCGAAGCGGTCCGCCGCTCACCAGCTTGGCTGCGGTGAAGGTCTTCCCCCGGGCGGGCAGCCCCACCAGGATGATGGCCAGCTGTCGTCGCTCCTTGGGCCCCAGCATACGGTCTGCAATCGCGGCGGCGGCCACCGCCCCTGCGGCGTCCGGCATCTCACCGCCGTCCTCGGAGCTTCGGGCGCTCGCTGAAGAGACAAGACAGCAATTGATCGCCGTTTTTGCGGCCCGCTTTTGCTGTGCCAAGGTGCAGATGGATAGCGATCAAGAAGGATTGTGAGGGTACAGGAGACTGGAGACTGAGAAGAGCAGAGGGAAGCACGGCATCTCCTAAGCAGTACGTCTGCAACTGTGCAGAGGGAAGAGAAGGAAAAGTTGAAACCCCCCAAGTCCCTTCTCCTGCCAGTCGATACACACTGTCTTGCCTGCTCCTCTCCTAGCTTTTTCTCGTCCTTGGTGTCGTCTCTTTCTCGTCAAGCAAGCACAAGGTTTACGAGTGACATGAAGCGGAAGGCATCGGCGCTCACTTGGTTCCCGTGCTCTCGGCGACTCGCCCAAGGACGTTCCGACCCATGTTGGGCTGCCGGCCTTGGGGGCGAACATGAGCTTCTGTTCGACCCCCGACTTGATGGCGGGCGCGGCGGAGGATATGGATTTGACGGCGGGGGGCTCGGAGACGGACTCCGACTCGAGGACGACGAGGTCCTTGATCGAAACACACCTAGACAAGGTGGAAATCGACCGAGGGTTCTCAAACTGCAATCAGGCCGTTTGAAGCTTTACGTGGAAACAGGCGGTCAGCTGAATCTACAGAAGCGGCGATGAGAGGCAACCAGTCGTTTGTTCAAGCACGCGGAGGCTACTTCTAACCCCAACCGTCTATTACCAACCCTCTTAAAAACGTAACAAGCGGCTGGACAAGCTCCTGCCACGCCTAACTCAAATTCAATTACATAGAGAGGCTCTCACACCTTGCACCCTTCAATGTCGTCATTCCGTGGACTCCACAAACCGACAGAGGACCTATTCTTTAAGGACAGCCCTTTAAGTGACAAGCTCACCTATTCCGATACTCTGTGTCAGACAACCCTTGGTCAGGCTTCTTAAGTATCGAGCGGGTCGTATGGGGGGCAGACACGGAGCGGGAGAGGTTCCTGGGCTCCTCTGCTGAGTTGGCGACGTAGTGCGGCGAGGTAGACTTGGTGGGCACCTCAAAGCGCTGCAGGTCGTCAGAGGAGCCCCCTGACACCTGGGAGTTCTCGGGGGTGGGATCGAGGGACATGGCGCCGAGACCGCGCCGGACCCCAACGCTGCGGGACTGCGAAAGAGACAATCCGGTTGACTTCTGGTGATGATGTTATGTTCAAATTGTATGACGGAAAGGAATCCTAAAACCCTCTTCTAGTGGACATCTGTATAACCTCCACTAGAACAGCCCGGACAGTTCAAGCTTTACGGAGGGTGTTGACCTACTATTGACCCTGATTTTCGGAAGTGTAGGATTGTTTCTAAGATTGATTTCTCTCATACTTTCCTTGATTGATTCCATCTGTATCTGGACCTCTGCATGACGATTGGAACGTTGCAATATCCCATGCGGGCCGTGCTTGTTAACCCCCACAACACCAAAGAGCCTCTTTGACTGTGACCCTGCATCGACAGCTGTAAAGCACCCCCCCCTGCCCAATCCCCACCTGCTGCCGTTCCTTCATTGCCTTGTAGTTGGCCGCCAGCACAAACGGCGACACCTTCTCCACCTGCAGATCCACCGGAAACTCGAGCAGCGCCCCCAGCTTCGGAGTGCTCGGCACGCTCTCGGGCGCCGCGGTCTGCCTCCCGGGTCCCAGCCGGAACGACGCCGCAACAGACCCCTCCATATCCCCGTCCCTCAACACGCGCTCGGGGCCCTCCTCTAGTTGCACTGGGTGCGCCACCCCCCGCGGCTTCAGCACAAACTTGAACTTCAGCTCCTCATGACTGGCTGGGAGGACAAAGGCCAGGCTCCAGGTGGAGAGTGACTCGCGTTCCATGGGGACCGATTTGCCTGCATCCCAGCCCCCCGCCAGCGGGGATTCGCCCGTGACGTGGGGCGCGAGCCCCCCCGGGAGCTGGTGCACCTCGTGCAGCTTGAGCGTGATGTGCAGCTGCTCGCCGCTGCTGGCAGTCGACGTGGTGATCCCCATGGCGCCACCTGGCAGCAGCAGAGGGGCGCGACCTGGCGTCAGCAGAACGCTTTGACGCAGGAAACTATGTCAACATCATAAGAGCCTGAGCAAAGGGGCGTGACTGAGTGATCAATCAGTGAAGTAAGTGAGAGGCCCCCGAGGGATTGACCGCAAGAACTCTCAGAGGTGGCCTTGCTGTGTTGGCTTTGAAAGGAGCCTCATTGTAAACGAGAAACCCTTGCCTGCAAATGAGGGGCTCAAACGAGCTGGCCTGTTCTGCCTGAAGACGACGAGGTCACGAGCGAAAACCCCACCCTTCAACGGCAGCTTCCTACTCCCTTGTACCAAGGCCTTCCAAGGCAGGAAGCGTCAACCACTGTAAATGCGAAACAAACATCAGAGATGCCTTGATGATACCCTGCCTATGGGAGCATCGATGACGAAGCTTTTGGGATGTAGAAACCCTCTGAATTGCGGTTTGCCACTTAATTCACGGGCTTCTAGCTCATGCTACTTCATGCTTGTTCACGGGACAAGCTACTGCGGAACGGCAGCACTCTTTTCAGGCAGGAATACAGAAGTCCAGGACGTCCAAAATACCTGCCAATCGGTTGGTGAATCACTAGGATAAAACTGATGTGCAGCGCCAGAACGCGCTGACACCAGCGATGCTTTTCTCCTGCCAGGATGATCCTCCAGATGCGTTGAAAATGCAGCGGATCATCTGGGCCCAGGGCTTCCTTCCTCGCACACACACATGTACCTAGGAGTCGGACTAGCTATGCTGCATCGTTTGATGACTCATTCAGACTGGCGGGCACACCCCTGGCCCAGGGGGTGTGATCGAGGCACATTGGACCCCCTCATGCCGTGGCACTTGTGTCGAACATGCGCGCGTGCAAAATTGTCGTTATAGATTATATGATTTGGTCTCAGTGGCTGCGCCCGTCCGGCCCGGCCGCGAGCCGGTCAAGTAGGCTCGACGAGTCTACGTACAACTGAGAACATCATCGACGACTCCTCCTCCTTCAGGCCCTCCTCGAATCTACACAAGGCTGGTGTATGGCTCTATCTTGCAAGGCGCGTGGCTCCTCTGCATGCATATGCAGCAGATGCAAGCCTCGTTAGACACCGCAAAAGCCGCGTATGATATGGACATAGGTCTATGTAGGCTTTTCTGAGACGGTAGACAGCGTAACATCAAGCTGCCATGGCTTCGTTTTGTGGCTTGTGAAAAATTCTCGGTGATTGTCTCGACTCACAATCCCAAAAGGCATACAAGAGTAACGTTCGCTCTGATCAAGATCATGCCGGAGGCAGGTCTACTTCCACGGAGTGGATGAGAAAAACGATGCAGGCCTCGAGCGAGGCACGGTCACGTTTCAAGGTTATTCCTCCTCAACTGCGACTTTCTCGGCTACATCCTAGCTACTCAAGACCTAGACCATGCTAGATGGCGAGTGCGGGCTCGTCGGCCTCTCTTTCCCCGGCACGACCGCCTTCCTTTCCTTGGCCGTTCTCCCTTGCCTATCGTCACTAGACCCGTAAAAATCTACGTCACCCCTCGACGCCTTGAGACTTTCGCCCCCATCGTCAGAGTCCCTGTGGGCATTCACTTGGCGCTTCCGCTTCTGGCGCGCTCGCCACAGAAGAAGGATCAAAGCAAAACCTGCAAACCAGTGTGCGACCAATCAGCAAAAGGTGGTGAGTAACCAGAAGGCGCGCCAGCACCGCCAGCTGGAAACTGGTTGCAGCCCTGAAAGCACACAGACGTCTTGGTGTCCGCTTCGTTGCTTAAAACAACCGACGTTATGAACAAGAGCTGCCAAGCAAGGAAGAAGCTGCCGAACGTGGGCAGTCCACTGAGGAGAGGTTATCTTTCGAAGCAGTTCGCCACCAGAAGCAGCACAGGGGTTGCAAGCAGTGACGAGAGGAAAATCACAAGTCAGTCCGCCGTTGCAAAAGGTTTGCGCCTCCTCGGACTGCCGGGGTACTCACTGTCAGGAAATTTGTCATCCTTGTATAAAAAGAAGAAAGGACGAGAAAGGAGAAGGGAAATGGGGGCGAGCTCACCGATGACCACTAGCAGTAGGGACACATAGCCGTAGTAGCTTTGGCTCAGGGGCTCGTTCGAGGGTTTGATCCGTTGCTGCAGCACCAAAACCACAAATCTTATCAGCGGAAAGCACCCCGATCATCCGTTCGTACACCAAGCGGCTAGCGCTCTGCTATCTATCCCCATTTTTGGCATGTCAATGACGTGACCTTCCAACCAAAGCATCGGATGGTGCGGAGAGAACGCGCTTGACATCTCACGCTGCTGAAGGTCATGTCACAGCCGCTCGGCTTTACTAACAGCCCAACACACGCAACCCTTGCTTCCTCCTAACTGCATGCCATTCACGTCTCGTTGGTCACGGTGCTTCGCCGCGGGGGCTCACTCACCAGGAGCGAGGACGAACTCCCGCCCTTGTTCTCCTTCGGTTTCGCATCCTCCCCCCGCGTCTTGTTCGCTGTCGCGCCCGCTGCGTGCCACCCCCCCTCCGCTTCGTCCTCGTCATCAATCCCCAGCTCTTCGTCCTCCACGCTTGCAACCTGCCCCCCCTCCGTCGCGTTCCTTTCTCCCCCCCCCTTTTCCTCAAACCCGATGCCTTCCCCCCCGACCGGCAGAACTTCCCCCTCTTTTACCTCTCTTTCTCTCTCCGTACTCTCTTCGTTAGGATCTACTGATACCCCCCCCTTCTTGGCGGGCCGTTCCTGTGCCCCCCCCACCTGGTCCGACACTTGCTCCCAGTCCCCGTTGGACAGGCCCTTCAGGTCTTCCGCCTCTCGCAGCCGCTCCGACGCCTCGCGGCGCTCCTTGAGGCCCAGCCCCGCGCTGCGGCTGATGGGCACCGACGAGGCGGGCGGCAGCGGGCTTGCAGTATGAAACGGCGAATCTAGGCCACACTGCACGAAAGGAGTTGAGATGGTATGCATTATGAGCGGCATGTAACGATTACGGACCACTCAAACACAGCTGCGCTTCGTTCTAAGGAAAACCGCCTTCAACACCTGACTAACCCCCTGCTAGATATACATGGCCACACGAAGAGGAGGAAAAGGCCCTGAAAGGAGCCTATTCCTGTGGCAAAATAACGCGCGCTTACCTCGAGCGGCTTCCCTAGCACCGCCGAGTATTCCGTGAAATTGACGTCATCTCGCCTCTTCGGGAGCAGCGCGTCGGTCCCAACGGGCTCGCTCTGCGAGAACCCGATGGGGAAGAGCGTGGTGGGCTTGTTGCCACCCGCCGCGAAGTCGAGCATCTGGAGCAGCAGCCAGTAGCAGTTGACCACCTGAAACGGAGGGGCACGAGACACGACGTCAGCAGATTGTGGGGAAACTGAGCTGAAGCTTTCCTCACAACAAAGACCTGGACGATTTGCAGCAGAACTGCTCATGACAAATGTCGAGAGATACACGGAGCTTAATAAGGGCGCAAATCATTAAAAAAACTCCAAAGCGTCTACGGGGTGGTGTAATGCACCCACAGCCGGCTGGTGGCACAGTAATCTACATGCGGCAACTTCCCCACCTTCAATCCCGTTCGTCCTGAAGTGTTCTTTCATTCAGGACCGAAAGCACTTGTCCAGCAGAAGAAGGTACCTCCTGCTTCCGCTAGCTTAAACTCCAATGGGTCAAGATGCAAGTTGTTCGGCGCGGCACAGCGTATCTTTCCTACCTGATGGCTGCTGTCGAGGCAGTTCGAGTCCCCGTACGCCACAATCCTGCCCTCCCCCGCTGTGGTCAGGCCCAGGATCGGAGCGGTCGCCATGGAATTGGGGGCGCCCGCCAGCCTCCGCCGCTGACTGCTCTCAGCCCCCTGAACCGAAGAAGCTTCTCCGATCCCCATGGTTTCACCACTCCGCACCCCGGCACTATCCCCCCGTTCCTTTTTCCTTGACAAAGCACCCTTATCGGCCGGTCGCAATCTGCCAATCGGAACATCCTTCGCGGTCCGCCGGGCCCTTTTCCGGCGCTCTTCTTCCAACTGCACCTCGTTCAGCTCCGCGTTTCGCGCGGGGTCGAAACCGCCTCGCTCGTTCGGCACGTCCTCAAACGCGGGGCCATCCACCCCTGCCTCCGAGTCGTTTTTCCGGCTTACCGACTCGACTGACGTCGCATTCTTCTCCTCCCCCTCCGCGCGAGTCACGTTTAGGTCGTTTCCCAGCGCCCCAGCATCCGCCGTTCCAACCGCGTCCACGGAATCGTTGACCTTCTTCGCTGCCCCCGCAGCCGAGTGCCCGGCTTGGACAACCACCCCCGTCAGATTATTGGCAATCTCACCCCCCCGCGAGACCGCTGTCCCGTTCACCGCCAGAACTCCGACGACGGTCCGGTTAGCATCGGCTGGATTGAGTGGCTGCACGACAGCTGGCACAACCTCATTCGGCGGCGCTGTCTCGGCCTCGCTCTGCACCTGAAGGCTGAAGCGGTGCACGGTGCCGTTGGCCGGGAAGCGCGCGAGATTGGCGCCTGAGGCGAAATGGGTGCGCTCGGCGCCCATGGAAAAGGACCCCGCCAGGATCGTGTCGCCGAATGCGATGCCGAAGCCGGAGAGGAGGTCGTTCAGGGCGGGAACGTTGGCGCCGCCCGTGGCGGGGGTCCACCAACTGCAGACGGAGGCGTTGACTTGAGAAACCCATCTTCCACAGCAGAGTGGAAAGCCGAAGATCGACCCGCCAGAAGGATCAATCGCTGTTTCGCATGCCAGTGCTTAATCGGCAATGATTTGGGGGCTTCTTTGCAGACTGGCGGCAAAGAGGGGTGGGTGGTTGCAGGCTTATGGAAACGCCCTTCGCTGATAGTTGGGAGCCGTTGTCTAGCGTGGAGTGACAGGTGGCGTCGAAACAATCTCGGGTCGGAGACAAGTTGTAAACGAAATGTTTGAATGGGCGACGCCTGCCCAGACAGTCTGCCGACGCATATTTTTGATAGAATCAGCATACATCACGCATATCAACTCCGCTTTCAAAGGTCGAGAGGAGAGACGGGATGCGGGTGCCCACCTGCGCGTGTTGTCGTCGAAGAACTTCATCTTGACCATGGCCGCGACCTGGTACCAGTCCGCAAACACGATGAGGCCCAGCCCCTTGCTGCGCACGTCGTCCTGCAGCTTGGCCACCTCCTCCGGGAAGTACTCCTCCTCCGAGTCCACCAGCAGCAACGCCCCATACTGCAAAATATCAGGCAGGAACAAGGTGAATCGTGGAACGGAGCAACTTGTTGGTGCTCGCATCAAAGAGCCCCGCTCGCTGCTGGCGGCCAAGAGTGTCCGGAGGAGAGCAAGACTTTGATGACTGTGTCTCCCTTCTTGTTAGAGGCCCAGCGGTGGAAGCCATATGATTTCAAAAGATGACGTGGCCTCACGGAGTGCTGCAAATTTCAAGAAGTGCGCAACGGAACACAAACGATCTCGCGCTTCCTGCAAGTTTCTCGATGCAGCGCCGCTGCCCACCTTTTCGGCGTCGAAGCACGTGAAGGGCGACCCGAGCACCTCCAGAAAGTATCCGTTGGACCGCAGCGCGTCGTACATGCCGTGGAAGTTGGTGTGCGGGTGGTCGCCGTGCCAGTCCAAGATGTCGTTCCGCACGTCGAGCGAATCCCTCGGGAGGTAGCCTGGGGGGTAGCGCACGTTGTGGAACTGGTCCCAGAGGACACGCGCACTGCAGGACACAGACCAATGCTCTTGTCAGCAAAAGGCAAAGGGCTACATAGCTTTCCCTGCCTTCAGCAGGTATTTGCAGGATGCCCGGTTGGGAAGGTGCTCAAAATGCGGCAAATGGACATTGAAAGGAGTAACGTCAGAACTGGGAGAGAGCGTGTGCTTCTCCAATGCAGGCAAGCAAGCGTGGCGACTCACTGGGAAGGGAACAAGAAGAATCATTCCGGACGAAAAGAAAGGGTGCTAGCGTCAGGAGGTGAAACGACTTCGGACCTGCGCGGTGGCGTCGGGATTATGTTCACGCGCACAGGGAGGCTGCAATTGGAGCGGCGGTCCTGAGTCTCGCCACGCGCAGGGGGCGAGATGACCGTGACATGGACAACCCCCTCTGCGACGCCCGTGGTATTAAAGCCGGCTTGGCTGACGCGGATGTACAGGCCCAGGAAACCTGGTGAAGAACAAGGGGGGTCAAATGGGGATCTGAGCTAATATGGAGCAAGGTGTCAATGTCAAAGATCTGCTCTGCGATGTGCTGAGGCAGTAACGCGGGAACCAATTGTGAGGGCTCGGAGGCGTTCAAAATCAAGGTTTGAAGGCCTTGAGGCAAAAGCACAGGGTAATCAGCAAGACTTGGGAGCAGAAGGAAACGGCAGCAAGGGGCACAAAGAGACCATTAAAGACCATAATGAGAGACGGTCACGTTGTTTCGACATGCACACGACAAGGGGGAAGGAGCCAATGGAAGAAGGGAGGCAGGCACGAAGGAGATGAGTTTTAGGGCCACAGGAAGTCGGAAAGAAGCGGCAGAACGAGCAGAACAAAGTCACCATAGGCGAAGGCATGTGAGGGGAACCACAACCGAAACGATCAAGGACGAGCAGCTGAGTTCACAGGAGCAATGCAGGTCCTTGACGAAAGCGCTGCAAACACGAATAAACGAGGAGGATGTTGCTAGCAACGATAAGCGAGATCCGAAAATCAAAATTTCAGAGCAACAGCACAGTCACAGGCCTATCGGGACAGCGATGCCGTGCGGGCGAGGGCTCACCGGTCCAGGGCCAGATGACGTCCGAGAATGTCATCTGCAGGTCGAGCAGCTTGCCCTCCTCGTTGGTCGGCTCCCAGCGAGGGATCCCCTCTACGTACCCCACGACCCCCATGCCATTCAGGATGGTCGCGTTGAAGATGAGCGGCATCCCGTCGTGGTAGATGGCCTGCTGGCAAAACGGCCAGGCGTAGGGGCACTCGGTGAGGTCCAGCGTCGCGGGAGAGATGCTGGCGCGCGGGGTGTAGGCCTCCAAGATCTTGTGCGACTCGATCAGGTTCAGCCGGCCCATTCCCTGCATTGCGAAGTTCAGAACTAAGGATTATTGTGAGTGAACGACATACCGGCGTCTGGAGGTCGACTTGCAAAAAAAACGGTAGCGATTCGCCACTCAGCGAGGAGGCTTTGGGATCCATCACTAATCCAGTCTTTCCTACTAGAAAGTTGCGAAACGTTGACATTTATTGATAAAGCGGACAACGTTTCAAAGTTCGAGCCATCGATAAGGCGGGCTTTCCAAGCTTCGGATTCCCAGACAAGTAGACAAATTAGGCCAAGGCCGCAAGAAGAACCCCATCAGAGCAGAACTCCTTGCGACCGCTACTCTCTAAGAGCCCCTCACCTGCTCGAACATGTGCGGGCCTGACAGCTTGACTGCGCCCTCCACGAGCGCCTGCTTCATGCTGGCAGGGTTGAGTATGTCCCACCGCCGCTCCTCCGGCACCACGCTCGCAAGCAGACAAACTGCGCCCGCCACCACGGGGCTCGCCACACTAGTTCCCGACAGACTCTTGCAGCCCCCCGAGATCTTCGACCCGATGACGTCACGTCCGTAAGCGACAATGTCGGGTTTCACACGGCCGTACCCGTGCGGAAGCTCCCAAGTGCTCATTCCGCGGGAGGAGAAGGCGGCGATCGCGTCAGAGTAGTCGATGCCGCCGACGCCGATAACGTCGCTCTGGTCGGCAGGGTTGTTGAGAGTGCCGTAGAGCGGCCCATCGTTGCCGATGGCGGACACCATGATGATGTTGTTGGCCGTCATCTCCCACACCTGCAGGTGACACAACGCTTGTAAGACTTGTGCAACGGAGAACATCAGCTTTCCTCGCGAAAAGCGTTACAGATGAGTTTGCATGCCAAATCAAGTCGGCACAGACGGAGGCAGGACTGTGCAAAAGCGGGCGTGAGGTCGGAGGTCCGCTCTCTCCATGAGTGTTCCGGTCTAATCCTTGGGATCAGAAACAGGGACGCCAATAAGTCGGTCGAGTGCCTGGAAATTGACCGGCTCTGTTCCACATTTGAAGCAGGCTGGGCGAAAAACAGAGAACCAAGTAAATAAGAGGGTGCTGTTGACCCGAGGGAAGGAAAGATCGACATAGATCGTAGACATGAATGCGGACGAGGTGTTTGCTCCACTCCGGCAAGCAGACTGTCTTCACTAGGTTCAGCGAATCAGGGGCTAAGAGGGCAGCTCGAACACCGAGGTACCTATCAACTATCGGCAAAATACTATCGGCAAAACACAGCTGGACTAACAAGTGGCAAAAGCTTTGAAGCATCTCTAGCACAGTCGTCATTTTGATTGAGCCGCCCCTACAAGAGCCCGCAAGAACAATAGATGCAGTCCCGGGATAAGGAAGTCGGATCAAAGTGATGCAACAATAGATCGTCCAGAGTGTCTCACCTTCTCTACAAACGGCCTGTCCAAGTAGTCTGGCCCTCCAATGCTCAGGTTCAGGATGTTCATCTTGGTTGCTATGGCGTAGTTGAACGCATCTAGGAACCAACTGGTATACGAAACCTGCGCATATAGGGCATTAAGCATCAGCACAACCTCCACTGCTCCATCCCCTGCTCATTGCGCCGATCCAACTGATGTTTACGAAAGCGGAGATCGGGGCATAGCTTGAACGTTGATTGAAAACGTTCAAAATACCAAGCAACCTGCCTTCCTTATCTACAAGCTCAAAACTTCTTTGTCTTAGCAGCAGGCAACATATTGGGGTGTAGGAGCGATCGCGTCACTTCCTTCACCTCTTCACCTCCTCAAAACCTCTTAGGCAACTACCAAGAACGCCTCGGCGGATGAATATGAAGGAGCCCAAACCAGCACCCATGCCCTCAACCTTGGTCCCCTCACCTGTGCGTTGGTGAACACCCGAAAGGCGTATATCTCTGTATCAGGCGCAAACCCAAGGCACTGCCCGTCCTGACTGGCTATCACCCCCGCCACAAATGTCCCATGCCCGAGACTGTCATCCAGCGTGTCCTCGTTCGTCCAATTCGTCCGCTCCTCGATGTTCCGAAAGTGCGGGTGATCCTGGCGCACGCCCGTGTCGAACACCGCCATGCGCACCTTGGCCCCCGAGTACCCCTTCTTCCACAGCTCCTCTGCCTGGAACATCGACGTGATCTGGCTCCGCTGCGCTAGCAGCAGCTCCCGCCCCACCGTCGCATTGTCCCGCACAAACGGCCCCGCCAGGGCAGGGTCTTCGTCGCCCGCAAAGCTCGGCCGTGTTTGGAACCGCCCAGGGCGCTTGCGAGTAGGACCAGTCACTGAAGCAGTGGAATCAGCACCGCCCCGATTAGTGTGCCAGTCTCCCTCGCTTTGCCCTGTTGCGTCCCCTTCGGGCCCGCCGCCGTCCGCTGGTCCTGACTCCCTACTTGACTGTTGCAAGTCACTCCTCCGGGGCCTGGCTTCCCGTGCCCTTCTGCCTTGCGACCCTAGATGGTCCTGGTCCTGATTCTCATCCCAGGCCAAACCTCTTGTAAATCGCATCTGCGGCGATACGTCCTTCACGTCTGGAAGGCCTGCCAGACGCTCCCGGAGGCGCCTCCCTTCCTCAGAGGCCGCCACCGTCAGGAGGCCAAAGTCGGTCGGCAGCTTTGCGGCGGGGTTTACCCGGTCCACCCAACCCCAGAGCTCGCCGGACAACCCCAAGTGCTGCTCGAGCAGCTGCTTGTGCTTGGCGGCATGCTTGTAATTGCGGAAGCGCACTATCCACTCCCCTTGCACTGGCTCCACCCCCATCCTTGAGCTCTGCGCAGTTTTCTTCGCCCCCCTCTTTTCAACGTCCGGCCTCGTACCGCTTGACTCTGAAGCAGCGGGGCAATCAGCTGGACATTCCTCTGATCTGCATCGGCGTGCCTGTGTCCCAGCTTCCGGGGGAAAATCAACCCTGCAGCATGTGTCCTGTGCGGGCCCCTGCGCCTCTCCTTGGCAAGCATTGGCAAGATAGGAACTATCAGCAATGGACGCCATCGAGCTCTGCACTGAGCGCACCGCGCCGCCAGCTTCCACAGCTTCTTTGTTGCCGGCACCTGCTCCAGCTTTCTCTGGAGCTGCCTCCCAAGAAGACAGGAGGACAGCCACTGCCAAACAGAAGATGGCACCCAGAGGGACCGCCTTCTTCAGGCCTGCCATGCTGAAAGCCCCCAGCCGCCAAAGTTGCTATCTATGTAAGAGAGGGCGACCTTTACCAACGAGAGCGCCAGCCATCCGCCAGGCGCTTCCGATCCCCGCAAGAAGCATTTACTGCTAGTAACTGTTCTGTATTATGGACATAGCAGCAAACTTGCTGCCACAATGAAGTGCTGTCCTATGAAGCCCTCGGAAAAACAAACTACTTATGGCCAAGAGACTTGAAGCTCGGAAGCCTTCCAGGTAGGAACGCCAGAACAAAAATCCAACTACTCGTAAACCTTTTGCCTAGATCAACTTCAAGCCACCCTCCACTACACCGTCAATCACGGCCTTCAATTTGCCATGGTAGGTCTTGCCCTCTGGAATGTCATAGGAGACAGCATGTACGCCCATTTCCTGCGCCTTCTTAGCCAGCAAGTTCCCCACCGCAGCTGCAGCTAGCTTGTCGCTGGTCCTCGGGAGGGTCGCTTTCAGTTCCTTGCTCTTGGTCGTTGCGGTCGTGAGGGTGCACCCAGTTGCCTTATGCACAATCTGCGCCGAAATGTGCTTGTTTGACAGGGTGATGTCCAGCCAGAACGGCTTCACAAACTTCAGCATCTTACTCATTTTGACAGATTGGCTTTGTGCGCAAGAAAAGCCTTTGGAGAGGGTCACTCTACCCTAAAAGTTCCAAGACTGCGAACTCAATGAGAACTCATCGCCTTTCAAGTTCAGCCACAGCCAGCCAGAGCCCCTATTGAAGCGAAGAATGCGCCAAGAGAGCATTTGGAGGGCACATTCATCAGCTAGTGGACATCCTTCACATGCTCTTTCTCTTTCTCATAACCCCTCATGTGGTTTGCTAAACCCTCGCGCCAAGATCACCGTGCTGTCACCGGTAGACGGGAATGCAGGCCCCCCGGGCGGACTACAACCTGTCCCAGTCCTTGACCTGGGCGCTCACTTACAACGGACCGGTCACAGGCTCATGGCTGGAGATCAGCGTCGTATTCGGAGGGTTAATAATAAAAGAAGGGACTTCGCCTACCGTCCGTGACCGTGGAGCTGCCATGCTGGCGTCATAAGATAGTGACGTCACTAATCGACTTTGTTAGTTAGATAAATCTATAGTAATAACATGTAACACAATGTTTAATTCCAAATATAGATAGTAATAACATGTAACACAATGTTTAATTCCAAATATTACGTCAGCAAGCTGCTGACGTCACCTCCTTGACCGTGCCCGTCGACCCTGGGCGCCGCCTTCTGCCACTAGAAATCCCGAAAATGAAAAGCTGAAAATGAGGAAAGAAAGTTGGATCGGCTCGCTTTTATACTCCGAAAAACTGAGGCCGGTGTCGTGACTCGGTGTGCTTGAATGCCTCACGGAGCCTGGCACGAAGGTCCACTTCTAGTCTACAACCGTCCTTAGCCTTCTGGTTAAATCAGGAAAGTTCTAAGGTATAAGCGGGAAAAGTATCGAGTATTCTAATCAGTTCTAAAGTGACGTCTTTTATAATATTCCGGACCCTATGGTTAGTGACGTCAGAAACCTCTATACAATCCCTGTTCCGACTTGGTCCGTCTTGGTGTCAAGGAACCCTCTTGGTGGTCTTTATTTTCCCGTGAAGAGCCGGGACAGCATAGTCAGGTTCCGAAAATTTTCCCTTTCTATCAATTTACCAACATTCCAGGCCAACCAAACAGGCTACCCGTATACCTACTCGAAAGGCAGCTAGCTTCTCACGTCTTTCTGCGCTGCATATCCATGCAGGTGAGCAAGAGCACTTGTGAAGTTGTGCGGAGTCCTGTTGAGCGTCCAAGATACCAGCTACATAGAAGAGGAGGGTGGTACTCCCAATCTAGCAGAGCGAATTCTCTGCAAAGACAATCACACGGGACTCGCAATGATTCAGACGAGCACAACTTGAGGTCCTTCGCGCAAGCTTTGCATTGATAGGCAGCTCTGATCATCTTCCCAACCTGCCCTGTTCAAAGATATTGATCTACACTTGACTATGAGAGCGCTTGGTCATGGCTGGACTCCTTCGAACGAGATCCACTCGAAGTTTTCAGGATTTGTCGACGGCGTCAGGCAGCAGGGTGTCGGGCCAACTTTCCAAGCTTCAGCAGTCAACAGGAAGGAGAAAGCGCATGTCTGGAGCTGTTGTGTTGCTTCTCTTGGCTGCTGCTATGCTGTTCATCTTGACGCTGGGGCCCGGTCTCCCGACACTTGAGTGGCCGTCTGATCAGGTCAGCTGCTCTGGTCAGTGCATCTGCCAATTTCGTCGAGTTTCCAAGCCACGTTCTAAGGAACAAGATAGAGAATTTCGAAATTGGCAATTCTGTGCTCAGGTTGGTTGGTCAAAAGAGTCAGACCCTTTGGTTTGCAGGTGGCGATTTCAATTAGTCAAGTGGCGTGATGCTGCATACATGGTCAAACAGATGCACCACGGGGCAAGGAACGAAAGCGCCTCACCCACCGAAGGTTCTTTATTGCATAAGACGTCCTTCTCGATGAGTCCCAATGATGCAAGTTTCCTTGAAAGGGAGCTCCACTGTTTGTATGAGAAGTTGAACACTAGTTGGGAGCTTCCTCCAGGCTCGGGCTGCTCAGGGCCCCTCAGCCGGCTTGCTTTGCTTCACCAGATTCTAACCAAGCACTCTCTTCATGGCAACTTGTTGTCCATTTTACAGCAGACGACGCCACACAACAGGGAGCCGCTGCATCGCAAACTGGCACGAGTGGCCCTAGCTAGTCAAAAGGAGGAAAGTGGGAGCGGTGGTGGCAGTGTTGTGAAGGAACCAGGCGGAGTGCTCCCACCACACGAGGCCGCAGGACAACATGGGACAAATCCTGGGGTGAATTTGGATTTCAGTTTTGAACCAGAAGATGATGCTCAAAATGGTGATTCAGAGGAGGAGCACCAAGAGTTCTTCCAAGGAGAGGATGGAGAGAACGACTTGGAGGTACTGAAAAACGGGGTACCTGCTGTGGACGCGACAGGCCCCCCTGGAGAGCCAATCATCATGTATCCGAACTTGATCACAGTAAGGGAGGAGTACATCACTGCGAAGCAGGTGGGCCACTCATCGGTTCAGATTTCAGGCCCACCTTAGTCAAGTGCAGATATGCGTCTGACTTCTCCATACAAGCTTGAAGATGAAGAGGCACCCATTGCCGAGTCTGGGTCATGCGGGACCCTTTTAGTGATCTCTTTGTCCTTTTATAAGAGGGACTGAAAGCCTGAATTGTCGTCAGTGTGATATATGGGTTTGAAGCAGGAATCAACCGTTCAGCGAGGCAGTTTCACTTCTTTTCCATGTTTCGTTCACAGAGGAAGAGCTCGCGCAAGAGACAGGAGTAAGAGCTTGTGGCACTGCATATGAGCGGCTGCTTCCTCCAGGCCTTTCGGTAGACAGATGCCTCGGAAAAACGGCAGAGTATATTGGAACCTCGACAAAATCGTTCGTCTGGGACAAGAATTTGACAAACTGGATTAATGAAAGCTTTGATCCAGAGTTTGACGAGGAGGAACGACTGTTACTAAGGGCCAGCCTGTTCTTTCGAAACTCTGCAAAACATCTCTGCTATCTGTGTCATGGTTCGCATTCGACTTTGAAGAGATCAGGCATCGGGCTTCTTTTGACTCCTGGAACGGCTTGTCAAACGCAGGAGGATCCGCTTCTTACAGTCAGCGCAAAGGCCTTGTGGGAAGATCCACTTCAAATGGTGGGGGAAATGAGTTCGTGCAAAGAAGCGGACAAAGCTGTGTCAGGTAAGATCAACCTCGACCAATCACACTCTTTACAACATCAAAGTATCTCAAATCTGCCATTAAATGGCGGTTACGACAACGTTGAGTGCAAGTCTCATGTTTCATCCCGTCCTGCACGATGATTCGCAGTTCTTTGGCTTTCGAGCTGCCAATTGCCCCAATCCTGAGACTGTTCGTTATCCTTGCCCGCACAGGGCCCGTTGACTTCAGCAGTGGCTTTCTGCTGGTCGATGCTAACGGTGGCCTCAACCAGCAACGCATCTCGGTGAGCTGGCTAAGTCAGGACTTATGCAGAAGGGTCAGCGCTGACCCGTTTGCGAACTGCTTTCAATGCTTGGAAACTTCATGAACTATGAATGGTTTCACATGAGTCAGGACGCACACTTCCTCCCCTGCTATCATGTGGAATGCACTTCTCAGTTGCAGTAGTTTCTGTCCCTGATGCTGTCTCGGCCTCTCATGTCCAGGTATGCAACGCCGTGGCGGTGGCACGTCTGCTGAACGCAACTCTAGTTGTTCCCCGCTTCCTCTTCGACTCTGTCTGGCTGGACGGAAGGTGAGGGTGATGACGTCAGCCAGATGCTGACAAACCTCGGGTACCTTCTGCAATCTTCGTTTGTTTCTGCGCGCTCCTGCCTTTTATTGGTCAGCTTTCGCACACCTCCGACTCGAGGTGCGAGAACGTGCTCTCGCCTCGTCTCTGCAACGTTGGACCCGGAATCTTTCACGTTTTTCCTGCCGTTTACATTCGTTGAAGCTGTTATTCTAGTACGGATAAAGTGTTTGTTTGGAAGTGGTCGCCAGCCTCCAACTCAACGACGAAACTACGAACCAGCTTGGCAAAGCCGACGATGTCAGGTATCCTTGCCAATGCCTGTCGAGGAGTCTCGTTCGTTGACCTCTCGCTTTGGGCTCTCGCCTCTGCATTGCTGACCTCCCAGTCTCGCGTCCCTTGCAGCCAGTTTCAAAACATCTTCGACCTCGACCACTTTGCGCGGACGCTCGCCCCAGACGTCCGCGTCGTTTTGGCGGCCCCTGTCGGCGCCTGGTCTCCCGATCAGGAGAAAGAGCACAGCCTCGTCGTGCCCAAGTACTCCCCCCCCGAGTTCTACTTGGAGCACGGGGCGCCCTTGCTCAAGCAGCACGGGGTTCTGAAGCTGGCAGGCTATATGCACGGCCTCGGCTTTCAAGGGGTGCCCCAGGAGCTGCAGAGGCTGCGCTGCCGCGCCAACTACGAGGCGCTCCGGCTGGCCCCAGGCCTGCAGGTGAGGCGCCTCCTGCTCTGAAGCGGTTTCTGCCCTTGTCGTTGGTCGTTGGTAGATCGAAACCGTGCAACTCTACCAACATGACTGTGTATGTTGCTAGTAGTCAGCGGTTCAGCCTTGGTGAAGCGTAAAGCCTGCGCAGGCCAAAGCGGACTGCCACGCTAGTCTGCCGTGCTTGGTGTTGGTCAATCTTGATGCAACCTGTTTTCTTTGGGCTTGTGCCTCAAAAAAAATGGTTGCATGCTTCCAGGTTCCGCGATGGTCAGAGACTCTTGCGGCCGTTCTTTAGGCGTGTTAGCAGAAACCTCTGCATTTAGGCAAGGTGTCTGCTGAGCAGTTTGGGCAGCGCCCTGTCTTTCCCTTCAGAATCCCCCATCAACCCAGAATTCGATCTCTTGCAGGCTTTTGCCGACTTGCTGGTGGAGCGCATGCGCGCGCAGTCTGGCGGCCGCTTCCTGGCGCTCCACCTCCGCTTCGAGAAGGACATGGTCGCCGACACGTGCTGCGACTACGGCGGCGGCGAGGAGGAGCGGGCGGACCTCGCGGCGTACCGAGCGGAGCATTTCCCGGGAATGGCGGTCAAGTACGGCGAGATGACGGATGCTGACGTGTTACGGAAGAAGGGACACTGTCCGCTTACCCCGGAGGAGCTAGGGCTTCTGCTCGCCGGCATGGGGTATGACAACGAAACGGTTGTGTACATAGCGGCCGGGGAGGTGTATGGAGGGGCGCGGCGGATGGCGGTGTTCGAGAAGCTGTTTCCTCGCTCGTTCACGAAGAGAAGCCTGGCGAGCGCAGAGGAGCTGGCCCCCTTTGCGGCGCACACGTCGCAGCTGGCAGCGCTCGACACGTATGTGGCGGTGCAGAGTGACGTGTTTGCGTATGGGCACACGGGCAGCAATTTCCCAAAGATAGTAAGTGGTCTCCGGTTGTACAGCGGTCAGCGGAGAACCATAGCGCCGTACAAGAAGAAGCTGGCCGTTCTCTTCGAAAGGGCGAGGACGGAGCAGGTTAGCTGGAGTGAGTTTAGTCAGCAGGTACGTAAAATGCACCCCGCCAGGAAGGTGTCCAAAGAGTTCGGGAAGAACCTGTACAGAGAGCCGATCCCTGACTGCACGTGCCAACTTGGTACTGATGTCGTTTAGCCTGAACATGTGTCTGTTTGCAGCTTGCATTGTCAGAAAGCACCAACTTACGGTAGTTGCGTAGGCGCGTAGGTAGAGTTTACGATCCCGGCTGAGTAAGCTATCATGATCGCAGTTTTTGCTGACTAATAGAGGGTCCTAGTGCAAGTGTTTGGCACAAGGGTTCCTAGCATGATAGCCCACTAGGTCAACTTTTTGGCGAGTCACAAGCTTAGATAGCTGCGTTAAGCCGAGAAGCAAGCTAGGACTGCTTGCGATCTGATTGTCTTGCACGCTGAGCCAAAGAACGTTCGAGTGAGTCGTCCGTTTGATCAGTCTTAGATCGAGACTTCATGCCCGGCCGTCAGCTAGAGCTTAGCCTGGCCGCCCCAGCTAGGAAAATGATCTGCACATGCATGCCCCCCCGAACATCCATGTATAACAAAGCAGACATTTGCATGCTTGAATTCTTGGCTTGAGTCTATAGGCGGATCTAGCATGAGCAAATTCACAGCTGGCACGATCGTCTGTAATCAATTGAACAAGGCCTCGTCATAATTGACGCCGTAGGCGGCGTTCTATAATGGAATTGCAGACGTACTCCTGAGTGCTCCTGCATAAGTCAACCGGCATGTCAGACGCGGATATATATACGCATGGCTTGCCAGATAATTGCAATCTTGTCCACATATGTCCCACATGCCAAGTCCGTCCCGGCCTGTGGGCAAATTAAGCAATTGGCCGCGGCCGACGGCCGGACTTGCCAGACATATGTGGACCTCATCACCACTCATCAACCGTACTGACTTTGACCCGCGCACATGGGCGCGCGTCCGCCGACCCCGCATGCAGTGCCAGTTGTGGGCCCGGCGTTCCTAGTGCACCAGCGGGCTAGAAGTGAGACGCTCAGTATAGGCGCTGCAGATTGAGCCATGACTGGCTGACTCAATCATTTGCATGCAGCTCTAATCAAACCGTCGGGGTCGATATGATTTCTCTTGTATCCATGACGGATCTGACGTGTATAGAATTAAGTGGCCTATACTATGCGCTGTATGTGTGGTAACACTCTTTGAACAAGACGGTGTAGAGCGGGAATTGCGTTGTAGCGCCTTTGCCCTAAAGGCGCGGCTTCGTGATGTCGCATATTTCTGCAGAGGCCATTGGCAGCACGATGCGTCTTAGATATGCCAGCCAGTATAATGATACGGCTTTCTGCTATGCTTGTGCACATGTCGTCTGCCAATGGCCATTATTTGGAAAGAAAGGGAACCTTGTTGGACATAAAACAGTTCGAAACACGGCCTCAAAGTCCTTACAACCTCAGCTAGAGCTCATTACTTCTAGGACACCCATCATTGTATACTCCTGGTACACACATACTATAATGTAACCGCTACTGCATGTCAACACGATACACGAGAATTACAGTCAACACATGCTGTCTCTATAACCCCGGACCCTCAATCTGACAGGACAAACTGGATAAACTCGTTGTAGTCGACTTCTCCGTCCCCACTGGCGTCTGCAAGCTTGATGGCCTCGTCGATCTCCTCGTCCGAGAGCTTCTCGCCAATGACGTACATGGCCGACCGCAGCTCGTCTCGGGAGATCGTCCCGCTGTTGTCCTTGTCAAACACCTGCCATGAGCAACCTCCCATCAGCAGACGCTTCGAGCAGAAAAAGCGGATCGTCGCTTTGTAGTTGCGTACATGTGACAGCAGACAATCCAGACGGCCTGCCGTTAGGCACCCCCAGCGGAGAAGAGCAAGCAGTGCCAGTATTGTGAGATGTCATGAATCTGATCGCACACGGACGAGCAACCCCGCACCGTCGCATCAGGAGATTTAACGCGAGTGCACGATCGATTATCTCTGAGAATTATTTCGACGACGCCATGATCCGTTGCTCACAGAATTGTGATGAAAGTGAGACGTATATAAAGATGCCCCAGGCACACCGACGCTCTCTCGACTCGCCTTTCTAGAATCTTTGCACCGACCCAAACAGGTGATGTTCAAAAGCGCCCCTAAAATCCAAAGACGGAAGAGTTTCACAGAGCTGTACGCCCTCCAGGAAAAGAACGACCAGAACTGCTCATATCGAAGCAAGCCACCGCCAGGGACTTCAACCATGGCCCATATCTTAGTTCAGCGCGGCTCATGCAGCGGATGTGACCATGCCTCAGGGATCTTGAGATCCTGAAGCGGAGTTGTTCAAACAAGGGAAAACTGTTCCTTCTAGTTTACTGTCATGCTGGCCTATCAAAGAGGACCCTACAGGGTTCAAGGACCGAACTGACTCAAGTCAAGCAACCTCTCAATTTGCTCAGCGGGGCTCTCTGAGACTCTGGCAACATTACGTGTTGGAACAAAAGTAAGACACGCTACGAACCCTCTGCCTCAATAATTCGCTCACGGCAAGACTTGCATGACAAACCCAGATTGCAAACTCACCCCTCAACAAACGCTTCCCTCCCCACGAATCAGCTCCTTTCCCAAGATGCAGCGCCCTTTGCCGCAAAGCCTCAAAAGAGTGCTCACCAGAAAGACGTCCATGAGCTCTTTCTCGGGATCTCCCTGGTTCATCTTGCGCAGCATCATGGTGAGGAACTCGGGGAAGTCGATCTCCCCGTTCTGATCCGCATCCACCTCCTTGACCATTTGCAGCAGCTCTGCGTCTGTCGGTTTCTGCCCCAGGGATTTCATCACCATGCCTAGTTCGTTGCACGTGATGGAACCGTCCCCATCCTTGTCGAAGATGGCAAACGCCTCCTTGAACTCACGCACCTGAGGGAGACGAGACCGTCAACAGAAGTGCCAGACTGTCCACTGAGTATTGCCTTCATTCACGTTTGGAAGTGCCCAGACAAGGGCATCAATGCAGAATTCGTTTCGAACCAAACGCCTGCAGCTTGAAACGCTGCTTTGCTGCGCTTGAACAGTCTGTGTCGTCCAACTGCAAGCTCGCTGGATTGGTGGCTCGTTCATGGCGTGGTACAATCCCCATCCGACTCTTCAAACCTGGTTCTCACACTACACAGACAGCATAATGAGGTGTCAAAGAGCCCAACTGACCTGGGCTCGTGTGATGTATGGCCATGTATTGGCAAGCTGGTCCTCAGTGAGGTTCCTCCGCGACGAGCTCCGCGACAGTGACATTTGCCTACTCAAAGTAGGAACATAGAGGATGTGTTGCGAGCTCTGGGATAAGGCCTCCTATATGACGCAATAAGGTCAGATTCTGCGTTCTAGACAGGCATAGGGGCAGCTTCCTCTCAGTTTCCCGACCACATCGAGCCAGAATGTGGCAAACGGCCGCAGATCATCGTTCAAGATCCTCCTGGGCTCTGGTTGTTTCTTGACCGGAAACCCGTTCAAGGGTCAGATTGACTACTAAGGCTGGCCGCCTGCGAGCTGTAGGGGCAGGATCCAACGGTCGTCAGAGAGGCTGAAAAATCAGGTCAGCTCCTATTTCAATCAGCTGCGCAGGGTCTGTTGCTTCATCCCCATATGCCTTGAGCTTGTACCCGGTCCCAGTTCAGCTCGTGAGCTGATGGCACTTTCAATTTCTCAGGCCGAAGTCTGCAGAATACTCGTTGCTTGGATGGTTGCAAGTCGGGTGGAGATCAAGGATGCTTAGTGGTATTACGTTTTCGTGGGTTGTTGAAAATCATACGTAACGTTTGTCTATGGATCTTGGGGGGGATACCTCAAAGCTTCTGTGCCCACCAGCGAATTTGCCAATAAACCAGCGCTTATAGCAACAAGGCTTGAAAGCGGACCACCGTGATAGCTGAAGGACACGCCCAGGGCAGAAAGTGTATAATGCCAGCTGAAAGAGGAGCGTGGTCTTCCGCCCTGGTAGCAGGCTCAAGCTAGCTCAAGCTCAAGAGTCAAGGGTCTCGTTTCAACAAATCTTGAACACGTCGAGATTCATGGCGCAGATGAAAACCAATGTGCGCGCATAGTGTAGACCAAAATGCGACGGTTGGATCCATCCCTTCTGAAGATGTTTGAACGGCTGACAGACGCTAACGGTACAAGTAGACTGCAGTGCTGGAGCGGTAACGAAGAAGTGAACAACTAGTACTAGTACGGGCACTTCAACTTCAAGTTCTACGGTAGCCTGACCTGTCAAAGAGCATGCAGCCTGCAGGAACCTGCACTGGCCTGCACAGGCTGCAGAGTGCAGTGCGACTCGGTCGCTAGCTCGGTGTGAGAGCAACTTGTGAACTCTTGAGTCTGTACTTGAAAGGGAGAGAGGAGGAGAAGGAGCAGCTGCCGCCAGTGGGGGCGCTGCCAGCACGCAAGTAGAGGGCTTTTCCCGCCCGGATCCTGGAGGTAAACCCTCCACTTTTGGTCGATTCATTTTGCTGGAAAGCAGTAGATTCAGAACGCAGTCATGGGTGTTCCAGCCTTCTACCGCTGGCTCAGCCAGAAGTACCCCTTGATTGTGGAAGATGTGATCGAAGAAGCGGAGAGGGAGGTGGACGGCGTGCGCTACCCTGTGGACTTCTCAACACCCAATCCCAATGGGCTGGAGTTTGACAACTTGTACCTTGACATGAACGGCATCATCCATCCTTGCTTCCATCCGGAAGATGCGGTAAGAGCAATGGCTAGCAGTCTAGCAAAGAGCAGGCTTGGAACGTTGTCCTACGAGCATGAATTGTGACATCTTTGCAAGAGCTCACAACATGCAGACCCGGCTTTATGGCCCAAGACGCTACTTAAAAGCGGAACTGATTGTTATCGCGACGCTTACCTTCTCAACTTAGACTTCTTGTCTGCTCAATTGAGAATGGAATCCTGGTCGTGTTTGAGTGCAACATTTCTGCAAAGCGGGTTCAGCAGATTATTTTCTTCAGTCACCTTCCCTTGTGTAACATCAGAGGTCTCCCTCGCCCGCAGCCCTCCCCCACAACTTTGGACGAGATTTTCCAGAACATTTTCACCTACATCGACCGCCTCTTTGGCATGGTCCGGCCCCGGAAGCTGATGTACATGGCCATCGGTGAGGACGTCTTACACGCTGACCTATGAGCATGCAGAATTGGGGTTATGGTGAAGAATGCCGCGCTCGGTTGTTGGCCGTGATGGTTGGTGGCAACCTCTTTATTGCATGTTACTTGTGCTGCAGAAGCTTACTGCCTGGTCCTTGATATATCATCCTTTTTGGATTGCTGATTGCTCCTCATGTTGCAGACGGGGTTGCTCCTCGGGCTAAGATGAACCAGCAGAGATCTCGGCGGTTCCGGGCTGCGCAGGATGCTGCCGAAGCGGTGAGGCGCTTGGTGTGAAACCGTTGTACCTGCTTCATGCGCTTGCTCCGTAGATGTTGAAGTTTAGCTTATGCATTGAATCATGCTGTTAGAATTATTACAGGGGCGACATTGAAAGCCAGTCATCTTTCAGATTAGGGTTGCTTTACATCACCTGTATTGGCCGTTTATTTGATAAGAAGAGTTCATAAACATGTATGAGTTTGATGCAGGAAGCGGAGGAGGAGCGGTTGAGGAAGGAGTTCGAGGCCCAGGGACATGTTGTTCCTCCCAAAGTGAAAAAGGAAGCCCCGGACTCCAACGTCATTACTCCTGGCACAGAGTTCATGCACAAGCTATCGGTAGCGCTCCAATACTATGTTCACATGCGATTAAACAACGACCCTGGCTGGAAAGATGTGAAGGTAAGCCTGCTCGATGTTCCCTGGCTGATTTGCCATCTTGATTATGCAGAACAAAGCATTGCTTAGAGTCCCCTGTGAAAGTGACTTCTTTATGGAAATCATGTTCCTGCGTTGACCTGATCATCTGGACAGCAGCAAGCTTTCACAAGTTGGATTCAAGTTTCACCGCGCTCGTCTCCACTGAGTCGGTTGTGCATTCCTTATGCCCAGATACAAGTGTAGCGCTGAACACCTTGACAGAATGGAAGGAGAGAGCACTTGGATGTCTGAGCCGATAGAATAGTCCTTTTCTAGGATAATATCAGAAGGGGGCCCTAGGGAGACTGCTGGAGTCCCTGTTCTCTCTTTTTCGGTTTAGACAGCTAACAAAGTTTGGAAAACCACGTCCAGGTCATCCTGTCGGACGCCAGTGTTCCTGGGGAGGGGGAGCACAAGATCATGAACTACATCAGACTGCAGCGCAACCTGCCAGGCTCCAATCCAAACACACGACACTGCATCTATGGCCTGGTGAGTTGCTTTGCAGCCATGCGCAGCCATGCACCGTCCTTCCGGTGCTTCATGGCCCAGCTTTTTGCCTACCTACATCCTGGGATCCTGACTTTTTGAGGCACTGCACGCATCCTTATCCTTCAGTTTCCAGTCTGGAGCAGCCTGTTGTCTCTGATCTGGAACAACTGTTTTTAGTGAATTTTGATCCGTTCTTTCCGTTCTTTTGCTCTTACACAGGATGCGGATCTCATCATGCTCTCGCTGGCCACGCACGAAGTGCACTTTTCGATTCTGCGTGAGGTCGTCTTTCTGCCAAACGCTAAGGACAAGTGCTTCCTGTGCGGCCGGGAGGGGCATCTGGCTGCCGAGTGTGACGGTCAGCCCAAGAGAAAACGGGGGGATGAGGAGGAACCCAAACTGGAGATGGCAAAGAAACCCTTCCAGGTAAGCTGTCAGGGGCTTCCTTGTACTGATTTTCTGGCATCGTCTTGCCTAGCTGGATTAGACCGCTTGAAGATGTCAAAACAAGTTGCGTCCTTGTCGGCTTTACTGATATCGTCTTTCCTTTGCCAGCCTGCCTTGACCTGGTGTATTAGACACACGAGAGCTTTCAGATTGCCCTCAGAGCTTGCTTGTGAACTTCGTTTGCAGTTTCTGCACATTTGGACCCTGAGGGAGTACCTGGAGTTCGAGCTGCGAGTTCCAGATGCGCCCTTCGAGCTCGACATTGAGCGGCTGATAGACGACTGGGTGTTCATCTGCTTCTTTGTCGGCAACGATTTCCTGCCCCACATGCCGACGCTGGAGATTAGAGAGGTGAGAAACCGTTTGGTCGAAAGCATCCATCTGTAGCAAGTGTTTTTGTCACGTCTCAGGTCCGGGTGGTGTTGTAATGCTTTTTCAAGCCTTCGCCTTTGGCAGGCTTCTGATCGCTGTAACGTTCCAGATTCATCGTGCCGTTCTGGTTTTCTGTGGTTCCAACTGCCGATGCAATCACGGGCTGATTGCAAGCTGTGGTATCTGCAGGGGGCAATCGACCTTCTCATAACGATTTACAAGCAGGAGTTTGCTCGGTTAGGGGGCTATCTGACAGAAGATGGAGAGGTAAGCACTGGCAGATTCTCCGAAGAAGTCATCACCAATTCTCTTTTGTTGGTACTGATACGGCGAATTCGTGGTACTGACACGGGAAATCGGATTGTGAAGTTTGCTGCACTCGTCAGTTGCTTGAGGGTTTTACCTTCGTAGCCAAACAGCTTGAAGTGCGGCCTTTCCTGTTGCAGGTCAACCTGGGGAGGACCGAGAAGTTCATCCAAGCGGTGGGGTCGCATGAGGATGCCATCTTTCAGAAGCGGGCAAGACTGCTTTCGGTACGTATGATTTTGCTGCTCGCTCTTACAACTGCTTTGGAATGCAGTGCCGTTAGATGACGTTCTGATAGAGAGATTAGCGTTTTCGTCATGAAGGTGTGTAAACCCTCGTACTGGTCCTAAAGAGCCCGTAGTTCAGAGGAACATATCTGATTGTCAGATCACGCTTTTCAAGCCTCTTAGTCAGTTTGTCTGACTATGGAGATCTCAAAGGGCACAACATTTAGTACAGTCGGCCTGGTCTTCTTCTAAAGCAGTGGGCCCGAACAAGAAAGGCTCGAAGTCTGTAAGATGGCCTCTTATGCCCTTCCCCTCGCGTTTCTGCATGCTACAGAAGCAGATTGATCGATCTCGCCATCAAAAGAAGCAGCAAATGCAGAGGCAGAGAGACAGGAATGGGTCGGGTTTCGCCCCCCCAGCTGATGGATTCATCCCGGTTAAACGCTTTGAGGGCTCCCGGTTAGCATCGGCCCCCCAGCCCGCCCCACAATCCGTAGGGGGGTCTAATCAGCAGTCAAACGGGGCTCCCAGCGAGGGACCCAAGTCAAATACAGATGCTGCTAAGGCTCTGAAAGAGAAGCTCTTGGGAAAGAAGCCATCCGCGCCTCCGCCCGCTAAGTTGTTGAGGGTTGATGAGACGGACAGCAGCATTGCGTCGGCGGTGCCTACCAAGGTGGAGGAGAAAGGGATTGATGAGGTAAGGGTGCCGTGCATTATCAATGCTTTACTTTTACTTTCTCTCTTCTCGGTGGTAGTGTTTCTGAGACGCTCTGCTCTCCGTTGTTCTGCTAGGATCAAACACGGAAAGCACGTCATAGGCGAGGGAATAAGGAAGATACCTCCATTCCGCCGGCAGTGGTGACGTCATTGAGCGGCCCAGACAGCGCCGCGCAGCCCTCGGGCTGGGCCGCTCCTGAAGAAGCCGATGATCAGCCTGAGTCCGATGCTGACGCTGAGCAGCCGTTTGCTGACCTGGCGGACGAGCTCTGGCAAAAGGCGGTGCGGTTCCTAGTTCCTGTTGATAGACATAGTTGCTGCGTGATGTACGTGTCCAATGCATAGACGTCAATATGATTGATCCCTCCCATCAACGATAGTTTTGCCTCTTATTGTGGTAGCATTTCGTTTGCTCCGCCCCATGCTGCTTTTGCGTGTTTTTCAGATTCACTTGATAACTCTATGCCGCAACCTGCTGATGTCAGCGTGCGCTTGCAGGAACTGGACGTGGCGGAGGAGATCAAAGTGAAGCTCAAGACGAGGATTACGGAGGCGGCAGACAACCTCGACACAATGGATGACGACAAGGTACCGTCCAGCCCTCCTATCAATTGCGCTTGTATTCCGAGCCCCCATTTGTCAGTTTTTGCACTGGGCAGACGCAGAGTTTGCAACCGCTTCTTGCTTCTGGTTGTCTCATCTCGTGCTGTGAGGAGACGACGCTCTCTGGTTGAGGTGGCAGACAAGCGTCGTCTTCAACCTGCTTGAATTTGTGCTGACGATTGCTGGCCCACTTTCGTGGTGCAGATCCGGCTTGGGGAGGAGGGCTGGAAGGAGCGCTACTACTCCGAGAAGTTTGGTGCCAAAACGGAAGAGGAGCGCGAGGAGATCAGGAAAGACGTTGTAAGTGCAGCATGGCGGCACGCTTTTCAATCTCTAGACTGTTGTTTTTCCTTCAGGCTGGTCCTCGCTTCAGCGACTGCCTTGTCTTACCTCAAGGGTCTCGTTTTCAAAGCACTTCGGACCTGTCCTCAAATCGAGCTGTAAACAGGACCGCTCCTGCAAGCGCCTTTTGGAAACCATCCGCTTTGCTTCTCATCACCTGCCAAGTAGCTTGACATTTTTCATAGCCACGTATGGCGCTGTTAGCCCAGCAGCTGAGCCCCGTTTTCTGTCGTCCTCTATCCTCAGGTGCTGCGATACTGCGAGGGTCTGGTGTGGGTGATGCGGTACTACTATCAGGGCGTGTGCTCCTGGACCTGGTACTACCCGTACCACTACGCACCATTCGCTTCCGACCTGCGTGACCTGGAGGAGCTGGAGATCACCTTCTTCATGGGCAAGCCCTTCAAGCCCTTCGACCAGCTCATGGGCGTCTTCCCCGCAGCCAGGTGAGCGCCAGAAGGAACGACACAGCGGATGCTGCAGATCTGTCAGCTTCTCTGATATTCTTCGGATTGCCCTACGGAGTAGTGACGGGTTCAAAGAACCTCCGTGAAAGTACCAGCAATACTGCTGGTACTTGACCAGTAGATTGACTGGCATGCTGCGCTGGATCTTTCATCAGGTTGGTTATTTTGAGGGTTAAAAAGCTGATGCCTCTATCTGTATCCTCTGCAGCTCTCACGCACTCCCCAAGGCCTACCGACCGCTCATGTCCAACCCCAACTCACCGATCGTCGACTTCTATCCCAAAGGTCAGCGACAACGACCTGTTCATGTCAGAGAGTTAGTCAGACTTGCAAGTGTGACTAGCGGGTCGAGCTGTCGAGTCTTTGCTTCCTTCGTTCTCAGATCTCGCGCTTGCACGTCTGGAAATCTGACTATCGAAGTACTTGTCTGGGTCAGTCATTAATAGTGGCTTCTAGGTGACGTTGGTTGCTCTTAAGTCCAGCTCAATGTGCATTATGCCGACCATGTTGCTGCATGCAACCTACGGCCTGATTGCGTTCAACTCTAACCTCATCTTGTTCTCTGTGCAGACTTCAAGGTGGACATGAACGGCAAGCGGTTTGCGTGGCAGGGGGTTGCGCTGCTGCCCTTCATCGAGGAGGACAGGCTGCTGGAGGCGATTTCGACGGTCGAACACACGCTGACGGTGAGACTGACGCATGAGGCAGGGGATTATACCAAATACCATAAAATTCAAATACAAAAAACTGGTGTTGCTCCTGTAAGGGTTGGTTTGATCACAGGAGAGCCACAACCATGCCTTTCTGGAACCGCCACATCTGACAAGGTATGCAAGCTATCAACTTTTCTGTTTTGAAACCCTTGTATCGAATAAGCAACAAAGGAGGCTTAGGCATCTAGACGCGCCTCCGATATCTTCGCTTGTCCCGCTAGCCGTTCAGGGTTTGGCCCCAGAACACAAGTCCTTCACGGCTGCACGTTTTAGCCAGTTGTGTTCTCGATCCTGAGCCTTATCGTACTCGCCGGGCGGTTGCAGGACGAGGAGCGGCGGCGGAACACGACCCTGTCTGAGTTCCTGTTCCTGCACTCGGCCCACTCCTTGGCGCCCTTCGTCTACTCCTTCTACGACAGGTGAGCACGGCACCTGTTGAATTGGATTCTAGACGGACGGAGTAGCTTTGCTTCCGTTTATTCGTCTGCACGTTGACTTCCTGCATGGTAGTGTTGCCCTACTGATACAGATGCGCCGGAAGAAACTGGCCCAGCACCGCCAACTTGGATGCACGTGGTCTTTAGGTGACGGCCTGCTTGTCTCTACCTGCTTCGTATCCGTCGCTTCGTCGAACTTTCGGACTCGTACGTAACCCAGAAGAGCCTCGTTTGTGATGGCCGGATTGAGCTGGTGCCCCCTCAGGCGAATTCATTCGCCTTTGCTGCTTTTTTGACGCAAGATGTTCCCTGTGCTAACAGACCCTGACGTGTTCCGTCTGGTGCAGGTGTGGTCACTTGCCGGCGGCGTCCGCCGAACGCGCCAAGGCGAGCGAGGCGATTGATCCAGCCATGAGTGGGCACATGAACGGATCTATGTTCCTGTGCGAGGGCGACGCGTGCCCCGTCGTGTTTCCGGCCCCAATCAAGAACATGGGCAACGTCAACAACAACCAAGTCCTGTGAGCAGCGCACCGCGTGCCATCTTGAAGGGGTATTTATGTGTCAGCCTGGAATTTTCCTGCATTCTTTTCGGTCCTGAGAGTTGATCGAGATCGAAGTCTCCTTGCACAGGTCCTTCATGGTCATGACTAAACGTTGAAAGACATCAACACGATATGATGATGAAAAAGGGTGATTAGATCCATTGGCTTCCGGCTTGACGTATTTTTCAGCCGTCTCATTCCCGTCTTGACAGGGGCGCCCCGTATTCATACTCAGCAACTGACGTCACCGATCCTTTGCGTGTGCAGGTCCTTTATCTATGCCAACCCGCCGTACCACCGGCACGTGTCAAGGCCGCCTCCGGGAGTCGTCATCCCGGAAAAGGTGAGCGGGCTGGCAGCCACGAGGAAGCCGGAGGGCGGCTGGGTCCGACACCTTCTGAGCATGACGGCACGTCAACTCTGGGCTGATGCCCACACTGTGTTTCTTTCCTTCTCTTTTCTTCTGTACGGCTGTCTGATTTGCGGAACCCTGCTGCGAGTGGGGTATTTACTTGAGCACCAAAGCGGATGGAGGAGCTCGAAGCTTCTGTGCACAAACATGCCCGTTGTCGTGCTTAGGTCTGGAGTAGCCGTCCATGGCAAATTGCTTGGTTTTAGTTGAGCACTTCATGCTCCAAAGCTTCTTCCTGTGTGGCGCATCATCGCTACCGTTTGCTGACCAGGCGCGTGCTCGTGGTGCAGAAAATCCGGGAAGAAGACGTCCAGCCTCCGAAACCTCTCTGGCATCAAGATCGGGGTGGAGGAAGAGGAAGAGGGAACGGAAGCGACCAGAGGTAAGCACATTGTAAATCGGCCAATCTTGAACGAACATGCCAATCAGTGCGAATCTGACGTGAATTGAATGTCGGGCTACTGTTTGAATTGACTCGGTCCAGCGGAGCCTGAAAATCAATTCAGGCTCCGCTGGACCTTGCACCTTTTGAGTTGAAAAGAAGTCCAATCATTTCAAGTGCTCAGAAGCACTCTTGCCAGCTCCGACTTCTACTGGTCGTTCTGCTCATCTTCTGTGCTCGCTCTTGCTGCAGAGCCCCAGTCCAGAACGGCGTCTATGGTCACCAGCTCGCCGCCGGGGCGCACCGCATGGTCCTCAACAGCATAGGCCGCGGCAGCGCAGAAGCCCTAGCGTATCTTCAGCAGCGCCAGCAGGGGGGCGGCCAGCAGCTCGCGCAGCAGTTTGGCAGCATGAACTTCCCGCGGCCGCAGCCCCCGGGGGGCGGGATCCTGGGCATCCCCTCCCCCTACCAGCAGATGCAGCCGCAGTATAACCAGCCCGGGTTAGGCTATAACCAGCCCCAGTTTGGCGCGCCAGGGTTTGCGGCTGCCGGCAGGGGTCAGGCCCAGGGGGCGTTCCAACAGAACCCCTACGTCCCAACGCCGATCATCTTGCCCCGCCCGAACTTTCAAGCCCCGCCTGCGCGGCCTGGGTGTCAGGGGCAGCAGCAGACTCGGCCCGGTTTCCAGGGGCAGCAAGCGCGGCCGGCGTACCAGCAGGCCGCGCCCAGTTACCAGGGACAGGTGCCCGTCCCACAGCCCTATCCAGCCACGCAGGGAGGCCAGGGGAGGGGGTATGGGACTGGGGTTAGCAGTGCGGGCGCGCCCGGGTTTGGGGGCGGGGCTGTTTACCAACAGGTGCAGCAGCAGAGCTGGGGGAGAGGCGGGGGCGGAGTGGCCGCGGTGGCAGGCAGTGGTCAGCAGTATGTGGCGGGACGAGGCGGCGCTGCGGGGGCGAGGCCGCCAGCGCAGCAGGGGGGGAACCAGTACGCGCCGCTCGACAGGAGGCAATCGCAGCAAGGCCAGCAGCAGCAGGGGCGGAGATATTGAAATGTGGGTTGGTAGTGTGGTGACGTTATGGGTAGGGGTGTGAGAGGTTTGCAAGCAGAATAACGGTGGCCACTTCTTCAAGGATCGCTGCTGAGGTGATGTATGAGGTAGTTCCTTAGGGCTCAGGACCCCGCTTTCTAAAGGGGTTGATGGGCGGAGTATCAAAAGCAGGACGATGTAGGCTTCATGTTGAGGACCGGCCGTCAAGAGCTGGCTGTGCGAGAGGGATGGCCACACTAATTCGACTGAGCGTCAAATGGGTGTTAACTTCTCTCTTAAAGAGCGACTTTCTGCGGTTTTGAAAACGCTGGCAGCAAACACTTTGTGGTGTTTGCGTGCCGAGTCCCACGTTCCTGTTGTTCTTTGTCCGAGTGCACTGCATATGTTGTGCACGCCACGGAGATTGCACCACACAGCGCGAGATGGCGACAGTGTCAGCAGGTTGCTACTCACTACGGAGATTGCACCACACAGCGCGAGATGGCGACAGTGTCAGCAGGTTGCTACTCGCTTTTGCCAATGATCGATTGGTTCTCAGTCTCACAGGTCGATTCACTTTGGTTATGATGAACCGGTTTCCCATCAGACGGCCCTTAGCTCCGACATCCTATGCTAGCTACATAGGCACAGGTGTGCCTTGCGGCCTCGAAGGCCAGAAATGCGATGGAGTCTACTCAGCTTGGATCTTCCACGGACTCCGTGCGCTCAGTTCAAGTCGCATATTCGAGCTTGGCTACATAATCGGACCCGGCCGGTCCTTCAAAGTGGAAGATCCTCAAAGCAAGGAATTGCATCTCTGGCGCTCCCGACGCTGCTCATAAGCAGGACACCACACCTATTGTGACGGCCTTAGCTGGGGAGCCTCGAAAGAGGAATTTGGGCATTGTGTCCACTTCAATCCCGTGTCTGGTTAATTATACGGCTAGGCTCGATTCAAGTCAGTCTCGCTAGAAGTTTGTATAGCCTTACGTACTGCTTGTCATGAGTGAAGCTGAAGAGATTCGCAGCTTCGTATGTCAAACGGCACAAGACAGAATTCGCACTCTAATTTTGTACTTAAGCCTTGCACACAGCCTCGCAGCACACAGCATGACCAGAAAAGCGGTTTGAGGATTCTGTATATTGGTGTCACCATTCAAAAGTTCGAGTTCAAGAATGTGGTTGACTGAACATCTATACCTTTCTGACAACGGTTTGTCCTTGTTGCAAAGACCGTCCTGCAAAGCAGAAGAGATGCACGATTTGAGGGGCTCTGTAGCTTGCCGCTGCGCAGAAGTGATCCAGGTCTGATGATGATTAGGTCGTCTCGAAAATGAATCAGGGTGGCCTTGAGAGAACACAGTCGGCTGATCCGACAGCCGGTCTTACATTAGTCATAATAACTCGACTGAAAATGAAGACTTTATCTGCGTGAAGGCAAAGCTGGGTCTTACAATCGTCAGACAGATCAATCATAAATAAGCAAAACATCTGTCTGAGCGAGAGCAGAGAGCCCTCATTTACGGGGCATCAATTGACAATGTCCGCCTCTACTTCGGAACACTGCGCTTTTAACTGAAACCAGTCGACCAGTTTGAAGCAAAACGAGTGTGGATGTGGGGTTGCACCATCGTAATGAGTGGTAAGCAAAATTCGTCCCACCACGACTTACGATCTACCATCTTCCACAATGTCTCAAGATTCGAGCCGCAACTATACTCGAAGACGGTCCCTTACAAAACATGCTGAATAGTGACCGAAGCAAAGTGTGTTGGTGCAAGAGTCCTTCAGCACCCGGCCTTTGAAGGCAGATTAGCAGGATGCTCGTACTTGAAGTGTCCGCAAGTATAGTGATATACGGCCGTGCATCTCGTTGTGATGATAGGCCTAAAAATGGGTAGTACAAACTGAGCAAAAACTGGATCACTGCCAATCGCTACAGTGGGCGCCACCATGTCCTACGAAAGCGTGCCTCAAACCCACTCTGGTTAAGGGCACACGATAAAGGGCTCAACGCAAGCCGAGAGCTCATCACTGCTGTATATGCGCGGCCTAAAAGCGCGCCCTATTTAGGGTTTGTCCGTCCTGTCTTCAGGGTTGAAGCAGAATGTGGTGCAATTTAGCCACATCCGTCAAAAACAAGCAGAAGCGATGGCGACCTTGCTCCTTACAGTAAAAGTGCACTTTCTATTAAGGTGCATTCCCCACATTTGGTCTGCCGCTGCCATGCATGGGGCCCTACATTTACAATGCTAGACGGGGAGTTTCGGTGCGTTGACGCGTTCTCACATCGCTCTTGATTAATCTGAACATAGAGATGGATGCCTTGCGGAAAGATACTCACTGACGAAGCGGGAAGGTGATGCTCTGCCCGCATGCTCACGTGTGCTAGCAGCCATCTTTCAGACACATGAACACTGCAATACTTCGAACCTGTAGGCAAAGAAAGCATAGATGACAACCAGCCATCCGTATCCTCAAACGGGACTGTGAGGAAATACCGAAACAGGGGACAGGCAGCTCCACGATGGGACAGCATAACCCAGGATCTCGACAGAAGACATGCCGGGAGCTCAACCCCACGAAAGCCTTTTGTTCTTTATCACATGTTCTGCTGCATGATTCCGTTTTTCTTCTCACCGACTCATTGCTGATATCCGGAAGATGGTCTTGGAGGGCCATAGTACTGCGGGTTCTGGAACTGCGGATTTTGGAACGCTTGCCCCATCTGTGCTCTGGTTGGCGCGAACCCTGCGTGGAGAGGAAGGGTGTCCCAACGAAGAGGTAAATGTGAACAGTGTTTACGATTTTATGCACTTGTGAAGTGGAGACGAAAACTGCCAACAGCCGCCACTATACCAAACAACTCACGAGCAGCAAGAGCATGCACGCTCGAGATTGTTGTCGAGGTTGCCTTATTGCTGCCAACAGCGTATGTCGAGACTTTTGAGTACAGCAGTAGCTCGGGATCACGATTTGCTTTTCCGTGGGTACGTTTCTTTGTACCAAACCTCGAATATCCTGGCACCGTAAGGGACCCCCAATGGGGTTTTAGGCACCCTCAGCTCTCCGACTCAACCTCGCACTCAGCCTCTTCGCCCACGTGTCACTTTACCTGGCCGCAGATTCAGCGGAGCACCCATCGGCGGTGCTTGACCGTGCATCCCGGACTGTGCCCTGATTGCCGGGCCCATCTGCCGGGGGCAAGGCCCTATCCCGCCCGCGTACCCGACCATCGGGTTCACTCCACCCCCGTTTGGAAACCCTGCGGCTTGCACGGGAGGGAAAGCGGTTGCCATCCCTCCAAACGCGCCTTGAAAAGAGTTGGGCCGGGGGCCACCGGGCTGTGGGGGAGCGCTGTTGTATTGATATACAGGGGTGCCCATTGGGGGAAGCTGAGCTGTCGGTTGTGGGCCTGGGAAGGGTGGGCCCGCATAGTTGGAAGAGGCGTTGGAGATTGGTGGCCCTGAGGGCTCTGCAAATGGAAGAAACGGGCGTCAAATTGAAACGAAGGACCCGGATATTCGCTCTCCTTCGGGCGTGGGGAAGAACGCCAAAGAGCTACGACATGAACCAGATCGCAAGTGGATTAGAGCAGAAAGCAAAAACATGGCTGCGAAATGACGCGGAGTTGCGCATTCACCAACTCAGACCTGTGTGCGATCTCAAGAACAGAGGGACTACTGTGCTTACGTGGAGCGCCCTGTAGGTGCATGCCACCAGCTTGCCCCGCCTGCCCACCGAACGGCGGCCGCGGCGGTGCAAAACCTGGCGGCGGCCCCTCCTGCGGGTGCCCGGGGGCATACTGTCCCTGGCCCGGAATCCCGCCCTGAGCTTGACCGTTCCACCTTTCTTCTGGTCTTTGCTCGACACTGTGCTGATGGAGAGGGGGGGCTGCTTGAGCCTGCGCGCCAGGATTTCCGGGTACCCCCCTAACTTGACCTCCCCACGCTTCGTGATTTGGTTGTTGAAAGTTTTGCTGAGGAATGGGCCCTGCTCCTTGGGCCAAACTTTGCCCCGGCCCTCCACTGTGCGCCTGCAAGTGGCTCTGAACCGGTTGCTGACCTCTCCACTGAGAGGAAGAATGCCCCTCTTGGACTGTGTTTGGAGGGGCGCCTCTCTGCTCGTGCGGCGGTTCGGCGGCTGGCCCCGGTGCTTTGTCCTGCGCCTGCGGCTGGCCCCCCGATATCGGTCGAACTCCCGGAGGCTGTGTGGACCGGTTGGGAGCGGCGGGGCGAGGCGCGTACATCGCCGGGTTCGCGCGCGCCATGATCTGAACCCCTGCCATATTTGCTGCGAACCACTTGAGCCGTCTCGCCTCCTTCTTGAGGGCAATCCCCGGCTTGCCGGCATCGTCCGGCGAGCTCTCGCTCGGCCCTTCGCTCTCGTTTCGCAGAACCCTCCCGCCGTGCATTTCCTCGCCTGGGGGACCTTCGTCGTCAGGGCTGAATGGGCTCAAGCCAGTGCCGCCCCCGTTCTGGGGGGCGCCATCCAAGTGAGAACCCAACCCCTGGGGGGTGGTGTTTTGCTCTTGCGCACTGGCTCCGGGACCCCCCAACATATCCGCGGCTTCTACAATTGGAACCTGATACAGCCCCCCCTGAGGTGGGCCCCCATAACTAGCGGGGTACCTTGGCAGGGGGGCATTTGTGTAATCCTGAAGTGAGGAGAAGGGGTCGTAGTCGCTAGGCACAGGGGGCCCCGCCACAAGATCGTCCATTGGGGGCGGAGGAGGGGGTGGGGGCGAGGGAGGGGGCGAGCCATTTGGTGGGGGCGGCGGCTCCTCGCCTTCCAAGGGCGGCGGGGGGGGTGCATCGCCGGGTGGGGGGGGAGGGGCTTCCCCCAAGCCTGCCATTCCCAGGTCCCCGTCATAGCTGGCATAAGCGGCATGCAGCAGATTCTCGCCGGGGGCCATGGAGGACTCTTGTCCTTTGTGTCCGCCTTCCTCCGCTCGCGCACCCCCCTCGAAAGGTCCGGAGAACGTCTCACCCTCCAGGATTTCTTGGAAGGGGGAGTCCAGCTCGGCTAGTCTATCCCGAGCTTCCCGTTCTGGGGGGCTAGACACGGCTTCCCGTTCTGGGGGGCTGGACGCAGCTTCTGCGTTCGCTCTGGTGGGGGCGGGGGGCTCGGGGGTGGGCGCACGGTCCTCCTCTTCCTCGTACTCTTCGTCTTCGTCCGTGTTGCCACGCAGCTTCAAGAAATCAAGGCCAGCGGAGCCCACCTGACTGCGGGGTATAGATACAAATATCGCGTCAGGTTTCGCAGGGGCGTGGCTTGGGAACGGGGTTCAGGCAAGTAAGAACCTCACTTTTCACGTGACTGCAGAGACTGCCATTTTTATCATTGAAAAAAATCTGCAAGGTGCTCTGAGAAGCGATGAGAAGGGACTTAGGCGCAACTACGACCACCAAGCACGGAGAGAAGGTTGGCAGCTCCAGCTTCTGAATTCGGCTGACGAGCACTTAAAGAGGACAGTGGGAATCCAAGAGGAGCGCAGATTCGCACAATCTAAAAGATTCCTGGTGAATTGCTGAGCAGCGACTCCAATTACAGGCAGAGCCCTACACCAAGCGAATGCGAACGACGTTTCTAAGAAGAGGGGCACAAGGATATACCAGACTGCGAACTCATCATGTGCACAAACAGAAATTTCGCTCCCCCAGTAACAAGACCCCACACATGGTTTCGAATAGGCACACTTCGCCACACTCACGTGCCATACTCGTCGTCCAGCATGTCGTCCAAGCTGCGCAGCACGTCCCCCGCGGAGCGCTCGCTGCGCTTGGCCTTCTTTGGGGGGGGCGCCGCGAGGGCTGCGGCCGCGGCGGCCTTCACCTTGTCCTCGTTGTGCTTCTTGAGCTCCCGCAGAAAGTGCGCGAGCAGCTTCTCCGACATGATCTGCCGCTCCATCCAAATGCTCAGCACCTGTCAACGAAAAGGCCAGGGCCGTTGTTAGGGGCTGTGACATCGCGAAGGGAGGGGGGCAGGGAACTGTTTGACAGAGCGCCACACTCTAAGCCTGCAGTTTGAGAAGCTTTTCGGAACCGACAGAACAAGAACCTTTTTCTTCAGGGCAAAGCGGCCGAAGCGATGCGTCGACCCACCTTGAGGCACTGGTGGTAGTTGTCGGGCTCCGCCTCGGGCTTGTTCGGTGGCAGCACGGCGGCCAGGATGCGGGGCAGAGACTCCGCAACAGCTGTGGGGAAATCCTTTTCGGGCCGGCTCTTGTCCTTGAGCGACAGCTGGAAGGCGTGCTGTGTGATGGAGTCGATCAGGAAGAGCAAGTCGACGCGCTTGGAGGGGACTGCCTCGTCCGCCGCGCGCTGGATGATCAGGTCGATCACCTGCATCAAAAGAAAGGGGGTCCAACGTTTGTTTGGCAGAACGGACACAGTTTCTGGCCTTCGTCCAGAAAGCGGATGTCTAAAAAGCGGATGTCTGGAAGAATGCATGCCGTGTTTCTTTCACGAGTTTGAATCGGTGTTTCAACAGGCAGCTCTAGCGCAGTAAGAGGGTTGGCCACTTTCTTTCAACGGGGTGCGCGCCCAGATGATCTGTCATTCGTTGCTTTCTGGGACGATGAATGGCATCGTGGACTGTTAGGATTGTTGGCTCTCAGCATGGTCAGACCTCCGGTAGAAAACAAAGTGAATGAAACGCGGCCTTTTTGCATGTCTAGACGCAAGCACCCAATTGTGGAATATTCTCACCCTGGCCGCGCCTGCCGTCCTCCCTGTGTCCATGGCCACCTTGGTCAGTTTGGTGATGCTCTCCTTGGACCGGCACAGCGTGTCCAGGAAGCTGGCAAACGTATCCAGCGCCACACGCGACTCCGCCTCAATCCGGGGGTCTACCACAACCGGAGCTGACCCCCCTCCGCCGGAAAAGTTTCCGTTTGCAGACGGCCCTCCGACGGCAGCTCCGGTGGTTGGCTGCATGCTCATGTAAACCGTCGGCAGTCCCGCTGACGTCACCAGCACTGGTGCTGACGACGGCGGCATCAATGCTGACACTGGTGGTACCAATGCTGGCATCGGCGCTGGGATCGATACAGCCGCTGACGTTGTATGGGCCCCTGCTGACGTCACCTGAGCAGCGGGCACTGCAGCGTCCCACCGCGAGGGGCCCGCCTTGATGCGCGGCGCCGGCTTGGACGAATCGACCAGGATCTTCCCCGGTTTGGCCGCCAAGCCGCTGAAGCCGGGGGGTGGTATTTGCCCCGGCTTCTGCCCCCTTCTGAGGGGACTGTCCCGTTCCGCAGAGGGCGATGCCTTGGCGCCAGAGAGCCTCGCAAGGGCCAGTGTTGCGAGGTTTGCCTGTAAGCCGACTTTCGGGGTCTTGGCATTTGCGAGGGGCGTGGTTGCGTCGCCCCTTGGGGTCAAGTCGGAGCTCAGTAAACCCTCTGGCGACTTTTTCCCGTTCTCAGGTACAGCGGTCCCGCTTTTGGGCTTGTCGCGCTCCTCCTTTGGGAAAAATATGGATTGCTTTGAGAGTTTTTGGCTCTTTGCAAGAAGGGAGACGGACTTGGGCGTCGAATTGGACGCAGCGGAAGGGCCGGACGCTTCGAGGGCCTTGAGGCGCTTGGCGGGCGGCGGGGAGCCGGCCTTGGTGTTGATCTCGATTGTCTTGCGAGAGTTCTTCTGCTTGTCAGCTTCCGAGTACCTGGCACAAGACAAGGGCATGGTTGGCAGGACCTAAATATGGGGTCTTCTGCAGAATGGTTTCTGACTGTTTTGAAGCTTCACACCTTGGCAACCTCTGACAGCACTCATGCCAAAAGGTGGCTTGTTCCATGATCGGCTGCACCCTTCAATTTCCTGCCCATCCCTCTCAGGCTCCGGCAATCAAAAAGCAAAGCTAACCACCTCAAGGGAACACAAACTGCCGAGGCAATCAATACCACGTACACACACGAGGGACTTACGCGCGCTTCAACTTCTGTTGCGCCTCCGGCAGGTTCCTCTTTGCCGCACCCCCCGCCTCTTTCCCATGCTTCTGGATCAGTTCCTGGTCTTCCCGCTCCGCCTTGTGCACCAGCTGCAGCAGCCTCTCTGGGCCCGTCGCCCGCTTCTTCTCCTCCCCATCCCGGCCCTCTGCTTTGGCTGCTGGGCTTGTCTCTCCCACCTTCTTCAACCGCTTCCTCCCTTCCCCGCCCGCACCTTCCGGGCTCGCTGGCGTTCCGCCTGCCTTTTCCGAACGATCCTTGTTTCCCCTTGCCTTCTTCACTTCTACATCGTCTTGGTCCTCCGCTTTGTTCGGGGGAGGGGATCCCCCGACCTTCCTCAACCGCTTCTTCCCCTCCCTACCCACTTGCCCGCCCGCGCGTTCTGGGCTCGCAGGCGCTTCCCCCGCTTTCTTCTCCATCCCCTCACGAGGCTCCGAACTCCTCCTTGTCTCTCCCTCCATCTCTGCACCTTCGTAGCCCTCCCTTTGAGGGGATGATCCCCCGACCTTTCTCAAACGCTTCCTCCCCTCAATAGCCCCCGCCCCGCCTCCCCTTGCAGGGCTTGCAGGCGTTTCCGCCACGTTCTTTTCATCCCCCCCAAGATGCTCTGGGCTTCGGAACGCTACCACCCCGAGCCTCCGTCGAGTGCGAGCCCCGTCAACCGCCGTTTCCTCAGCCTTCCGGTCCTTTGCAGCAGCACCCACGAGTGATTTCCCCTTGCCGGTTTTCTTGACCTTCCCGCTCTCCTTTGCAGGCTCTGCCTGTTCCCGTTCCGCACTTTCCTCGACTTTGTCCCGAATCTCTTCCGGAACTCCCGGCTCCAATCTCTGGAGAAGTTCCGACCCCTCCGTGCCCTTCTTTTTCGCTCCACGCCCATCGTTCTGTGGCTCAGCCTCCGGTGTGACACCTGGCCCCTCTTCCGCCTCGCCAGCGAAGCCCTTTCCTGCCGAGCTCTCCAGACCAACTTCGCCGGCGCTTCCCCGCTCTGTTTCAGGGGCCACCAAGAGCTGGCCCCTCCGCTCCTTCTTTTCCCCCGGTGACGCCGATGAGACGTCCTTCAGAATCTTTCCTTCCTCAGAGGGCCGCCCCTCCTTGACCTTGCTCTCTAACCGAGCATCTCCCTGTGCTCCTGCACCTTTGGGCGTCTGTTCAGCACCTGTCGAACGCCCTTCTTTCCTATCAGAAAGTTTTCCAGCGGCTAGGTTTTCGTTTGAGTCTGCACCTGCTCCAATCATTGACGACCCCTCATCCTCGCCTCCCGCTTTCCCCTGTTTCTTCACAGGCTCCCCGCTTGAAGGGCGGTCTGCTCCCATTTCTCCTAACTTTTGCTTCTCCTCCACCTTTTTAAGCCGCCTCCTTGTTGAAGGCGGCTGCACTTCAGCCCCGTCGGCCTTTAAATCAGCTGCCTTAACGACGAGGTCGCTTCTTTCCACTCCCAGTTTGGCCTCTTCAGTTGCCTCAACCGCCCCTCCTTGGGCAGGCGGCGACCCTGCCCCTCCTTCCTCCTCGCCACCAGAGCCTTCCGCTGCACAGCTTTGCAAACTGCCCTTCAAAACACCGCTTCCCCTAGTGTCAGTGGCCCCTTGGAACCGACCTTCCTTGCTCTTCTTACTGCCTGGGCGTGCCTTAAATGCCAATGGGACATCCTCAGACAGCTCTCCTTCCCTCCTCGAGGGCCGTGACTCGTTGACCTCCCCCTCTGCCCCAATATCATGCTCCTCTTCTTCATCGTCCAAGTGCTGCTTCCATTCCTTCTGACGCCCTTCTCTGCCCAAATGATACTCAGGGGCTAGCTTTGTAACAACTGCACCTGCCTCATCCTCCGACGGCACCGGTCCCTCATCTATATCATCCTTCTCCCCTTCCGCCCGCTTCCTGCTAGGAGGGCGGTCCCCCTCTTTACCGCCTGAACTCTGCCCCTCACCCACCTTCTTCAGCCGCCTTCTCGCCGATAGCGGCCGCGTCGAGACCGTTTCGGCATCCGACTGAGCCCCCTCAGCAATCAGAGCACTTCCTTTCCCCCCAAGCCCCCTTTTCTCACCATCACCCAGGGCCTCTTCCTGCGCATGCGCTCTTCTTTTCACTGTACCCTCTTTCTCCTTGTTCGAAGGCGCACCCTCCGCCTTGCCCTTTTCCAGCCGCTTGAATTCCTTCTTCCTTTGGTTCATTCCTTCTACCCCAGCACCACTGCCAACCGCTTCCGCCAGCCATGCCACCTTCGCCCCTTGCTCCTGCTCAGGAGACACTGCTCCTCCATCTGCGCTCTCCGCGTCCACCCCCAATGAACCATCGCCTGGAGGACCTTTTGCGCTTTTTCCATACACACCCGTTTTTCCTTTTTCTACTTCCTGGTCCTCTTTCCTTTGCCCCTTTGAAGCCCCTCCCATATCCTCATCTCCTGGCCTCCGCCAAGGCTCTACAACCTCTGCAAGAGCCGCCCCCTGCGACCCGGCTCCTTCAATTGGCACAGCCACAGGCAAAGCCTCCCCCTCGTTGCCTGGTTTCGAATCCGGATCAGTATCCTCTTCTTTCCGGTCCATCTTCACAGCCGCTTTGCTGCCTCCCCTTTCACATGTGTCCGGCTGCCCCTTGCACGTCTCCTCTTCGTGGGCTGTGCCCTCCCCTGCAGCAGTCTCCCTCATTGCACCAAGCCCGTTTCTGCTCTCTGGTCTCTCTTCGACCATTTGCATTCCGTCACCGGAGCCGTTCTCCTGCTCGTCTGCACCTTCTCCGACCCTCTGTTTCGAGCCTTTCTTGGAGGCAGCCGGCTTCTCTCCACCTGGGCGCCCCACCAGCCCACCCTGCCCAGGGTCCTCAAGCCCCTGACTGATGACGGCTGCGTCGTTGGGGCTAGCAGCCAACTCTAGTTGCTGCTCGGATTCTTCTTCCTCCAGCACAGCTGGGGAATCCCTCCTCTCACTTTTCGGCCGCCCACGGGGCCCCACGTCCCCTGCTGCCAGCTTCGAGTCTGTGAATGGCGCGCGGATCGCCGCGCTTTTGTCCTTTGCACCTTCTGTTCCCGTCTTCACACGTTTCTTTCGATGTTTTGCGCCCGCATCCTCCTCACGAGGCCGCTCTCGTTTCCCTCGGGTGACGGCCTTCCCCTCTTTCCCCACTGCCTTGATGCCGTCCTCCTGGGAGATTTCAGTTCCCGCCTTGGGCCCCCATTCCCCACAATCCCCACCAACTAGCGCCCCTGTTTCCAGCTTGGACTTGTCATCAGGGTTTTCCACGGAGCCAACGCCGCTCCCGGTGAGGCTCGACAAAGTTCCCACAAACTCAACCTCGTCGTCTCCGCCAACCTCGCCGTCCTCCGCATCAAAGAAAGGGGAATCTTGGGAACCGTCCGAAACCTCGTTCACAGGACTCTGCTGACCGCCTTTCCGCTCAGCCCACAGCTTTTCCAACTCCCGGACTGCATTAGAAAACTTGACTCTCCACTTCTTCTTTATTGTTTTGGATCTAGCCCTTTCCTTGAGGCTGCTCAGGATGTCACCCGTAATCTCGTCCAGCTCGGCCACCGGTGCCCAGAAACTGAAAATGAAAAAGGGTGATACAATCAGTGACTATACAATATAGCCGCAATTTACACCTGATCCTCTGCCGGTTGCATGCTCAAAGCTGCTAGAAGAACGTTGTGCAAGAGTGCCAGTGCATGCATGGTAAAATGCTTCTAGGTGATACATTGTGATCTACATACTCCCGGATTGCAGCCTGGGACTTGTCAGTGCACACAGCAAGTTGCACTCATGCTCGTGCTATGCCTGTGCATATTAAACAAAGACACTAATAGCAGGCCCGTTCAAGTTTTGATAAAATTCTACGAAGATTGAAGTAGGTACCTACTCTCCCCTCGACAAAAGTGTGCTCCACCAGAGAAGCTCCAACCAAAGCCTCAAAATTGATACAATAACAATTAGCCAGAAGAAGGCAAGAGACCTAATCAATCGACCAGAAACCAGTCGACCTTGCTTGAAATAAAAATGACTGCTTTGCAAGGGCTCATGTATGCTTACCGTTCTGGGAGACCTAGGTACTTCACAAATACATATCCCGGTATTGATGCACTCTTCTTGGCTTTGCATGATGAAACCTGCACACCCACAAGCGCTTTACAGTTTAAGTGGATGGCATTTGTCAAGCAACAACTTAATGCTTCGTGGTCCAAAAGCGTACTTCTTTGAAGTATTGCACGCCTGATTGGCTTTGTCAAAACTTCATAGACTAGCAAGTTGCATCAGCGGCCAGTCAACGCAAATGTCAAAGGAACCATTGAAGCAATTGCATCTTCCACAGGCTGCTCGCAAGCTCAGCAATGCAACGTCCGGAAATCTCCTCACCATTGCAGGCCACTCCGGGAATCCCTTGAGCTTGTGCAGCACCAGAGTACCAAGCTTGTACTCCATCCTGGGCAATCATGCTCGTCCAGCTTGACGGGAAACTTCAGCAGGCGATGCAATTGTGCAATTTACATCCCCTCGTTGGGCAGCGTGGTGTGCAGACCGATGCATGACATCTAGGTACCTAAAAAAGTAGCCTCTGGTTCAGTCTTTGGAGGTGATGCGGGGCGGACAACGTCGGAACCTACGCAGGATGCTCATCGATCTGCCCTGTAGGCTGTAGCGTGTAGGCCGCTGTTGTGGCTTCCATCATCAGCGCCGGCCATCATCAGCACAATTAATTAAAGATACCGTAGGACTTTAGAAGTTTGGGTGAGCACAGGCTAGGTAAAGGAACCACCCATGATGTGTTGAAATAAACGCGCCTCGAGCGCCTTTCAAGAGGAAGCACAACTACTAGAAGTGCGTGCCAAATACATGGTCAAGTCCAAGCCTTATGGTCTAGCTTTAGCCCCTGAATATGCAACATCGCAAATCGACGGCTGTATT